CTGACTGAATGCTAACACACGCAGAAAAGTAGCTGTAACATATTTATGTATATCTGCTTTCCAGGAAAGTGAACAATTGGAGAAAGAAAATGCTGCCTTGAGGAAGGAAATCAAACAACTCAATGAAGATCTGAGCTATTTTGGCACAGTGCTGAAAAGCCACGAGAGCCTTTGCTCTGTAATGAGTTCCCCAGGGGCGGAGATGGGTTACCCAACTCACTCCTTCCAGCAGACACATGCCAGCATACCACGGTTACACCTGTGATTAACTACAGCGGCAAACTCACAACATTGATCATCGGATTAATCATTCCACAGGAAGTGAGCAGAATTATTGAGGACTGATTTGCAGCATGGCAAATACCAGTTCATGTTCCTCCATTGGCACACATGTTGCCTGAGGAGCTGATCCATGTCAACCTTTAATGCCTAACTGAGTACCCCAAACCTTCACTCGGTACTCGAATTAGACAGTAAAATAATGGAGTCCTCTGAAGACTGAGGAGCCAAAGGAGCAGATATTTGAATAATGCAATCACACTCCTGTACCTACAAGAGAAATCTGCTCATCAATGAAAACCTTTAACAACAACGACAACTTACATTTATATAGTTCCTTCATGTGGAATAGGGTCTGGGACCTTGTCTGCTTCCTGTTTCTTTGCATCACTGCGATGCACATGTTTACCTTCAGACATCCTCAAATCTTCAACCCAGGTGTGTGCCTTGCCTACTCCACTCCTGCATATTTTCGTAGAAATTCTTTTCACCCTTTTTCCTCTCTCCCCCATCCCCCCCCCGAAAAAAAATAATATGTCCTGTGTTATTATGAAGGAGCAAACTGACTTAGCCTCAACTTTGATCCATTTACCTTTTTTTATTCCTTCTCATCCTTGCCCTCCACCAGGCTTATTATTTCTCTGTATTTCCAAAGTCATTCCCACTCTGCACTGCCCACTCATTCTGATTTCAATCGTGAGATGTGAAATTTTACTTTTATTTGAACCTCATAAAACTGGTAGACCTTGAAATAGTAATAAACTAATATCCCTGGTGAATCTTCTGCTGCTTTTGTCAAGGTGCAGGTAATGAACAACAGAAGGTGGAACGAGGTTAAAGTTAAGGTTGGGCAGAGAACAATAATAGTTATGTTCTCAGACACCTTCTACAGGTTTGGTATTATTAACCTGACTTTGAAACAGTTAAACTCTACACCTACCAATCTGACTGCTTTATTAACTGCTCCTGACTGCTGGGCATCATCTGTGTCCATGTCCTTTATAAAGAAATTTGTTTAATATAATTTCTTAAAATTGTCAATAAAAGACAACATTGGGTACTTGTGCAGCTGAACAGTTTGTGTGTTTTCAGTATTTCAGGATGAACCGGAGGTGCCTCCGAGCCAGGCACAGGCTGCAATCCATGCCTCTCCTTCCCAGGACTACTCCTACCTTCAGTCTGTCTACCAACTCATCAAAAGTGTGCCCTTTCTTCTTCTGGTTGTCAGCTATGGTATGTCTCTTTGCTCTGCACCTTGGTGATTCTGTCTAGATCTCCTCCCATGTTGGATCTATATCCTAAATGGCATTAAAGTAGTAGGAACGGCTCTTGTGCTGTAATTTTTGTGATTTTATGAAATATACACAAAATGTAGTTATTTTTTGGGTCAGCTGGGTATCTGACACACAGCGATACTCATCACCATGCTTGAGTATTGTAAATCAGGTTGAAGGTTCCACACATGCATGTCGTCTACACAGAAACATTTCCGTGTATCTGGAATGGAATGCACACTCTCCCTGGAAGGACTTTCCTGCTTACCTGATTCCATAGCACAAGGTGTAGGTTGGCAAAAGTCAAGATTTGGAGATTTGAGTGTGCGATAGGGTAACTGCTGGAGTTTAATCAGTTAACGACACATAGCTTGCCATTGAGAGCCCCGTCTAGCAAGTTTCCTGCTAGTTGTTCGGCTAGGACTTGCAGGATTAATGGGAGTCGATTGGGAAGAATTCCTGCTCCCAGCTACTACTCTGCCCTTCAAATCCCTGCTGATGAGCCTAGCTGATTGGTCAGCCATCAGGAGTGCCCCGGAGTACCGCAAACTTAGGAACTGGACAACTCAGGTCACCACAGAGGGTTGAACTCAAATCCGACATTCCATTGCCAAGCATCCTTACCATTGAGTCAGAAGGTTGTGGGTTGAAGCCGCAACCAGGACTTTCAGCTTCAGTGCAGCCCTGGGCAAGAGCCACATGTCTCCTCGTTGGTGAGATGCTGTATGTGTGTGCGTGTGTGTGCGCGTGCGTGGGGTGTGACGGTCACTGTGTATTTCAGCCTGAGCTCTGCTATAGTTAGGTGCTTAGCCACTTGAGACGGAAACTGCAACTAGCAGGAAACTTGCTAGACAGGGCTCTCAATGGCAAGCTGATGTGCAAACCTTTTCTTGTCTTTCTCTGCAGGCATTAACACAGGCTCCTACTACTCTGTCTCGACCCTGCTTAACAAGATGGTACTGATCCATTATCCAGTAGGTATACCTGTTTTCCCACCTCCCCCTCCATTGCTCCTTTCTCCCTCCATTGTATTTCCCCTCCTCCTGAGAATTGTTAAATGTTTTTGTAAGTGAAAGCTGCTATATAAATAATAATTGTTCCTGTTTAAAGTTAATGAATCCCATATGGAATTCTGTTTCCAGTAATGGGGCAGGTAAATCTGTCCATAAATCCAAATTCTGTTCCAGTTAGTAAAATGTAAAAGGATTTGCAATCTAACCTCTGATGTAATTCTCAGAGATGTAATTCCCATCATGTCTCCCTGTCCAGGTCATTTGCCTACACATTGACCAGTCACAAAAGTGAGCTGTTTGCTTAGAGATCCACAGAAATTAGAACACAGGTCAAAAAATGTTCATTTGCTTCATATCCATTCGGCCCCTCAAGCCTGCTCCACCATTTAATAAGATCATGGCTGATCTTCTAACCTAATTCCATTCAGCCGCCCTATCCCCATATCCCTTAATCCCTTTAGTTTTTAAAACATCTGCTGATCTCAGTCATGAATATGTTCAAGGACTGAGCATCCACAGCCTCTGGGCTAAAGAACTCCATAAATTCACTATCCTCTGAGTGAAGAAATCGTTTCTCAACTCAGTTCTAAAAGGCTGACCTTTAATCCTGAGAGTATGACTCCCTAGTTTTAGTTTCTCCAACCAGGGCAAACAGTTTCACACTGTCTACCCTTTCAAGACCCTTAAAAATCTTATATGTTTCTATAAGATCACCTCTAATTTTTCTATATTCTAGAGAATATAGGCCTCTCCTCATAGGTCAACCTCCTCATCCCAGGAGCCAACCTAGTAAACCTATATTGTATACCTAAGGCGAGTATATCCTTTCTTAGATAAGACCAAAACTGCACACAATATTCTAGGTGCAGTCTCACCAGGGCCCTATACAATTGCAGCAAGACTTGCCTACTCTTGTATTCTAACCCCTTTGCAATAAACGCTAACATGCTATTAGCCTTTCTTATTGCTTACTGTACCTGCATATTAACTTTCATGTCTGTGCTGGTGCTCGCTCTTCTGTAGCTCTCTACTCTAATCCCATTCTTCTGTTCTTTTTCCAAACATGTCTGTGCTAATGCTCACTCCCCCACTGCAGCTCCCTACTGGTGTCACCTCGCTCTGTCGGCACTTTCACCATTGAGCCAGAAATTTATGGGTTCGAGTTGCATTTCAGGGCTTTCAGATCACAGTCTAGGTCCACTCTCTGCTGGGGGATTGGGCTGGATTGTTGGAGCTATTGTCCTTCGCAAGAAAACTTAGATTGACGTCCTATGTCTACCGGTTCAGGTGAACATTAAAATCCTGTGGCACCATTCCAAACAAAAAGGGAGTTTCTCCCAGATTCCTGAACAAAAACACTTGTTCATTTGCTTACTTGGCTGTTTGTGGGATATTGCTATGTACAAATCAGCTGCTTATTTGCCTGACTAACCCAATATAACTTGAATTTATGCAAAGGTCCTTCATGTGGGCTGGCATCCCAGAGTCCTTAAAAATGCAGTCACTACATTTATTATAAATCCTGGGAAGCGATTGAGATGTTTTGATGAAGTGATCTGATTATTACCCTTATCCCATTTCTCTCTTTTCCCCTATCCTGTTTTGTGTTGGTACTTGCCCCCACCAACTGACTCCTTGCCCCTCTCCCCTCCCAAAGAAGATGTATATTTACCAGTGGAGCTCATGGGTTATTGTGTTTGTTGTAGGGTGAGGAGGTGAATGCTGGGAGGATTGGTCTGACCATTGTGGTTGCAGGAATGGTTGGCTCCATCATCTGTGGATTCTGGCTGGACAGGACCAAAACATACAAGTAAGTTACCCCCAGGCAGCTGCTATGTACAGGTTAGCTGAGGGAAAGCAACAAAAATAACATATTACATTTGTATAGCGCCTTTCATGTCGGGAGGACGTCCCAAGGCTCTGGACAATCAGGGATTTCTCCAAGGCTTTCCCACTGAGACGAGAAGTATGGTGCAGTAGAGCTGAGTCCCTTGTTGTACCATAGGCTGGTTCAGGAAGAGGGTCCCACAAGGACCTTGACTCCCGCCAGTACTTGCCCATGTGGCTGAATATCTGGCTAATGATGGTGGAGTAGAGGGGACCAAGGACAAGCAGGAGGCAAGAGTTGGCTGAGCAAAGGGTGCGGTAGAGGAATGGGGTGGAGAGAGATTTGAGAGAGTTGCTGGTGCATGAAGTGATTTGAAGCTGAATGTGATCTGGGGTGATGTAACAGCACGGTTTCTCTCAATGTCCCAACTGACAATCTATCTCACATAAAATGAGTCATTCTGGATATTGCGGTGTACAAATTGGCTGCTGCGTTCTCCCCAAAAATACCCAATATTGCATGATTGTCAGATACACAGATACTCAGCAGACACTTTATTAGTATAGATGTTATTACTTGTGAAGCACTTTGCCACGTTTCAATGTAATATACAAATTGCTGCACACATTGCTGCACCCCGGCATGCACTACTGACCCGCACTGTCTGCATATGAACTCTTCTTTCCTCAGACAGACTACGCTGGTTGTTTACTTCTTGTCCTTTGCTGGGATGCTCGTCTTCAGCTTCACCCTGAACGTGGGGTTGATCTGGGTGGTGTTCATCACCGCTGGAATAATGGGGTGAGTAATGTGATGGGGGTTTGTATTGAGGGGCACGAGGTGGGAGAGGGGAGGGAACTAAATAGCACAAAGATGGTCTTAACAATATGAAACGTGAAACCAGAATTGGCGAGAGAGTTTTATTCCATGTTCAACCTAAGGAAAGATACTGCCAGCTTCCCTCTCAGCCCCTCCGACCAGCCCATAATTCCCACCCTGCACTTTTCTATTGGCCCAGGCTTTAGTAGCTGAATTGTGCTGGGCTATTACTGGGATTAGTGACTGCCCTGCCCTGTGCAGAGAATTTCTGTAGCAGCTTCGGCTAATGCTTCTTCCACACAACTGGCTTTTTTTTGTTGCCATTTTTAGTGACAGCATTGTACTAGTTTTGATTAGTTCACAAATAAAAGTCAAGTAGCATTTTGTTTACCGTAATACAGGGGGCAAAATCTTATATTTAATTTGGAACAATATGGTATGTGTTAGCTTCCGGGAGCCAAAGGGCCTACTTACTACTGGATAATCCTGTACACTAGTGCCACGGAGACAGAGTGGCAGTCACACACTGATCATGTTTCTTCGTGTCCCTTGAAACATACAACTTTTAAAGGGAAACTGGATAAAAAAACAGAGAAAAAATAATACTCAAGTATTTGGGGAAAAGCAGGATAAGGGGATTAAGGGGATTGTGGAGTTCTGTGGCTCAGTGGTTAGAGCACTCGCCTTGCAAGTGAGACACCTGGGTTCAATTCCAGGCAGAGGGCGAAACCTTGGGCAAGTTTTCTTACTCCACACACCTGATAATAATCCCTCCAAAACAAAACAATGATAAACTTTCAATCCATGACTATTTGTAGGACGCTGCTGTGCGCAATTGGCTGCTGCGTTTCGCCCACAAATATACAGTCAATTCACTTTACAGTCTATTCTGTGAAGTGCTTTGAGACATCGAGAAGACGTGAAAAGCGCTACATCAAATGCAAGGATTGTTATTATTATAATTATTAAAGTGCTCCAGTGGGAAAGTGAACTGCAAGGCCATCAAATAGCCTTCTGTAATGTGCTGTTCCTTGTGGGATTTGTGAATTTTCTTTCTTTCTGTTCATGAACAGGTTTTTTATGACGGGTTACCTGCCGGTCGGCTTTGAGTTTGGTGCAGAAATTACCTACCCAGAGTCTGAAGGCACATCCTCAGGTCTGCTTAACGAGGCTGCCCAGGTATAACTGCCAAACAGTGAAGCATATACACCTGTGTGCACACTCACAATTATGTATGTTTGTGTAAGGATGCTTTTCTGTACTGTATTATTTATGTAATTTCACACACACACATACTCATACATGGACAATTACCCACACACCCGTGCCTACTTACCTTGGGTCATCCTCCCGACGTGAGAGCGGCTATACAAATGTCATTTTGTATTGTACAAACACCTGCACATCCTAGCAATCAAACCACAATCTGCCGGTTTACAGTGCAGACTAATTAAATACACTCTGTAACTCTGGGCCAGAAAACAAGAGACTCAGAAATCTTGTGTATGGGAGTTTCAGAGCCTAAAAAATAATTTCAAATGACAAACTGAAATAGCACACACTAAGTACAGTGTCGCACAATTTCACTGAAGCTCAGGAACTCCAGGAGGCACTTGCTTTTATCAGCCAGCACTCTCATTGGTCTATGTGTCACCACCACCCCCCACCACTAGCGCCCCCCCGCCCTCCCCATCTGTCCCACCAACATCCACTCCTCCATCGTCTATCCTGCCAGTGTTGTGTCCCCCATCTTGCCAGTACCCTGTTCCGACTGTCTATTTGTCCATCCCAGAATGTGCAGATATTCAAGATTCTTGTGGCTCCCTGTCTGCTTCCCCCAACCCCAGGAGCTAGTGTTGTCTCTTCATTCCAGTGCCTAATGTCCACGTATACTGCCAAGTCTGCTCATCTGTTGTCTCTGCCAGTGCTGACTGTTTGGGAAAACTCTGTTTGTTTCCTCCATTCCAGGTGTTTGGGATCATGTTCACCATCAGTCAGGGTAAAATCATCGATTACCATGGGACCGTGCCAGGAAACATCTTCATCTCTGCCTTTCTCCTGGTGGGCTGCGTTCTGACAGGTCAGTGATTATACACTGTGCTGCGGGGCATGGAGGGAGGGAAGGGGGAGGGTGTAGTTGAAGATTTACTTGGGCTCTGCCTTTTGTTGGGTCAGTCTTACATTACTGCAGAGTTTGCTCCACATCTAACCACGTACTTCTATTTGTTAGACCTAATGCTGAGGGGAGAGAGGCAGGAGGTGTATGCTATTGATGCTGATTGTTATGTTACTCTATGTGTTACAGCTCTCATCAAGTCAGAGCTTCGGAGGCAGCAGGCAAACAGCAGGGATTTACAGACGACGGTGACTACATTTCTCTCTTTATTTTTTGCTTTCTCTTCATTTTCCTTCTTTTACATAAAATGTTCTAATCTTTTTGTGCCTTTTTTCCACATCTGCAGCATCAAGGCACCAAAGCCCTGGAGGACAACTCTGTTCCCCAAATCTTACATCAATCCTCACTGTGAGGATGGGGATTGTCAGCTCAGCTCCAGTTCTAACCCTCAGCAATGGAACTGCTGTCACTTCCCTTCGGGATTATTTTCTTTACATTTTCTAATCATCACTTCACCTCATGAAGCAGAATCAATGGCTCTGGTGGTGCTGCCAGCTCCTCGGGTGGGGTCAGTCAGTCAGTCTGTGCCCTCAGCGCAGTGGGTTATATGTAGGACCTGTCTCTGGTCACAAAGTTTTCAGAAGCAGCTTAGAATGTTGAGTTCAATTCTGGTTCTGAACTGCTGTCGGTGCAGTGATTTTTTTTTCTGTTCACCAAGTGTCCGACATACATATAAACCCATCACTGTGCTCAAGAGAATCCAAACCAGCCTAAGATTGCCTCACATGTATGACACCTACATGTGCAAATTCCCATGGCTGGAATACAATGCACACTCTCCCTTGAGGGATACACCTTGCTTACCAAATTCCGGAGAGTATTAGGCTTGAAGAGTCGAGACCTGATGACCCCAAAGTATGCATCAGGGTAACTGCTGGAGTCTAACCAGCTAAAACCACACAGCTTGCCATTGGAAACACTGTTTGGCCAGCTTCCTGCTGCTTGTCCAGCTAGAACCACCCTACCCATTAGGGCTTCGGCTTGCAAGGTTAACAGGTGCTGAGTGGAGCTTCCAGTGATGGCTCTGCCCCTCACGCGGTGTGCTGCAGACCCAGCTGGCTCAGCAACCGGACAACTGAGCCACAGAGACATTCTGTTGCAAAACACCTCTCCTTAGAGCCAGCTCTTCTTTAACGAAACCCTCTCACCCACCCCCAGGATAGTTGTGCAGTGGTAGAAGCTGAGGTTAGGTGTAGGCTCTTGTTCTTCCAATGTAGAGCAGCTCAGCCCTAGTGTGGAAGCTTCATCAGTGCACTGCCTGCTTAGTTCATTCAGCAGGAATCCTGTATCCCTTTCCCTCTTCAGATGCAGTACAGCATTGCAACTTCAGGTAGTTTAATATGTCAAAGCACTTTACAGGGGCCAAAGCAGGGTGAGAGATTGGGACAGCGGGGAGAAGACAGATGAAGACTGGCCCATCGATTGGTTGGGGGGAGCATGAAACAGTCACAAGTTGGTAAAAGTGAAGGAATGGTGGGGGGAGTAGGAGCACAATTCACAAAAGTGGAGTGGGCCAATGGTGCGAGACAAATTAGAACTAGGACCTTATTGATCTGTTGGGGAATAAGGAGCAAGCAGAGCTGGTGATGGTGCGAGGCAACCTCCCTTTCCACCTTTAAAGCCCACCTTAAGTCTTTTCAACTTTCCTTTGGGTTATGTTTCTCACCCACCTTAACTACCCCAATTCTGAAACGTCGTCTCAGTGTGAAAGGTGCTATATAAATGTAAAGTTGATGATACGGACTGTGAAATTTTGGGTGAGCTACAGCCCTTGGAGGGTTAAACTTTAAGGAAGCAGGTGAGGGGAGGATTGCAGAAGTCAAGTGTGGAGGTGACACAAGTGAGCAGGAGGGTTTGTGAGTTAATAAGGTGATGTTCCAGAGATGAAGGACAGTGGACTTGGTTTAGATCCGGGTATAAGTCTTAAAATGTGGTTCATCTTCCAGGTTGATATTTCTTTGCATTTACCATCCAGGCTTTGCACAGAGTGCTTCCGTATAATGTTAGCTCAGCAACTGTCAGCCCTACTTCCCTTTGTGTGACATGTCAACTGGCTAGACAGTAACTGAAAGTGTAGGGAATCCAGGACTGTCCCTGAATGGACAATATCTGACACTGAATGTTATTGGTGCAATGGCAGCACCACTGTACTGCACAGAAAAGCAGTACAATTAAATCACTATGTTTTAGCTAATTGACTCAACCTGTGATGTGAGAGGTTTTTAGCAGCAGAATCAATCCTTAATCATTATGACTGATTAGCAGGAGTTTGGGATCAGGTCCCCATACAAGGCCATCAATGATAATGTAGCAATAATCTGCTTTTATTTTTGTGGATCTCTGTCAAGTGAAGTAAATTTTGAATAAAAATCACTTGTTAGTAATCTTGTTTGGCTATCATTATCATCAGTACTGGCTTATCACATATCACTCTGCAATTACAATACTCCCAAGATTCTGTTGTGCCAGAGTATTTATTGCGTTCTGTTTCAGGGACTGAACTATAGGAAGGAAATGCAGTGGACCCTATTCCTGGTAGCTATCACTCCGGGATGCTATCCTGCGTGAAGAGCTCTACATAAGTACAAGTAGTTGTTGTTCCTGGTATCTAGGCTCCATAAAATGGGGCATATTTGTCATTAGCACTTGTGTAGGTCTCAACTGGTATCACTTCCTGCAAACATTGATGTCTGGCGCAGAAAACCAGCCAGTGTTTGGAGTAAGACAGCTGTTTTTTCATACTGCCTTTTGGATTTGTTTGGTAAGTAACAATAGGATCCACACTGCAAACAAACCGCATTATAATATGTTCTGTTGTACTAACCTAGTGTCAAGCAATGACTAGAGATTAATAATTGGGATGAAGGATTTCAGTTCTGATGAGACGCCAGGTAGTTTTGGGGAATATTCCTCAAGTTAAAGAGTTTGAGGAGTGATCTGTGTTCAATATAATGAAAGCGCTGTCAAGAGAAGAAGCTCTCTTGGGGGACCTTGGCGGTGGTGAAGGAAGGTGTCAGTCGAAGGGACTCCAGGCTGGAGCTCCAGAGAGTGGGGACATCTGTACTGCAGATGGTTGGATGGCTGGAGCTTGTGGCATGAGGGAGGCTGAGCGGACGCTATGAAGAGAGATGTAAAAATCATTGGTGAAATTGGGTTAAAAAATCAAGATTAATGTCTTCTCCCCCACTGGAGAGCTCTAACCCCATTCCCTTCTCTCTCTCTCTCCATTGTGTCTGTTGGTGCTCGCTCCCCCACTAGAGCTCTCTACTTCAGTCCTGTCCCTACCCACAGTTCAGACATAGCAGCGTAAAAAAATGACCAAATGTGAAACAAATATATTTTAGTCTTTATTATGGGGTGAGCAAGACCCTGGATAAGTGAGTGTGTAGCTCAGGGGCAATACATCTAGATCCTTTTTTTGTGTCTTACGGAACTTCCAGCTGATGATTCCTGTTTCTGCAGAAACTGTAGCCCGATCAGCATTACCAGAATAGAGAAACCTAAAGGACAGAGGCACAGAGTGTCACCCAAAGCAGCTGTGCAGTAAACCCTCCCCCCCCCCCACCCTTCCCATTGATACGTCTTGTCTCTCCAACCCCACACCCACACCCACAGTAGTCATTTTGCCCTTTCTCCTCCCCCCTCAACAACAACAAAATGACATTTACACAGTGCCTTTCACATCGGGAGAACGGCCTAAGGCGCTGGACAGTCAGAGATTTCAACCTGAACTGGGGGTTGGGATCAGGAGGGGTGGAGGGTGGGGGTAGAAGGGTGAGCGAAGGTATGGTCGAAGAGAAGGGTCTTGATGTGCCTTAAAGGAGGCTGTGGAGGGCTTGAAAGCGAGGATGAGGATTTTGAACTCTGAGGGATGGAGAGCCAGTGGAGTTGGGCGAGGATGGGGGTGATAGGGTCACGGAGCCTGGTGCATGGGCTGCAGAGTTCTGGATGATCTGCAGCCTGTGGAGGGAAGGGTTGGGGAGGCCAACAAGCAGGGAGTTGGCGTAGTCGAGTCTGGATGTGATAAATGGGTGGATGAAGGCTTTGGTGGTCTGAGGGGAGAGGCAGTGGTTGAGACGAGCGATGTTGTAGAGGTGGTGAAAGGCAGAGTAAGTCATGGCACCCAGTCTGTTCCCCCCACCACCACCCCATAGTGGTCATTCCTAGCCTCCACTTCCCGCAGCAGCACCTAATGTACCTTCAGGCTGAATGTCGTGGACCTCTCACTTACTTGCCACGAGGAGTGGGGCCAGGACGCCGATTGCAATGGGAGCTGTGCCGTAGACAAAGGCTTCTGACAGGAAGTAGCCCAGAGCTAATACAAAGGTCCATAGCGTGATGTGATATAATCTGTTGAGAAAAAACAGCAGCTCAGAACCGTCAGGTACTGGGGCAGGTACAGCCTGGGGGTGGGGTCCACACATTTCTTGTGACACGTGACACATTATAAACCTGCTCACTGCCTGAGGCTTTCTGCACTCTTCATCACTGCTGACAAGATCTCCTAATTTACTATCCACTGTAAATTTAGATATTATTCACCAACTTTAGCATCTAGATGAGCAATGAGAGGCCTAACACCGATCCCTCAGACACCAAACAAATTACTCTCAGCCAATCAGAAAAACATCCATTAATACCTGCTCTCTGCCACCAGTCCTTCAGCCAACCTCTCTCCATCTCCGCTTTCCATCTACCCATGTATCTTAATGTTGGAGACGGGTCTCTTATGTAGCATCTTATTGAATTCCTGACTAAATTAAATTAATAATAATTAATAATAATCCTTGCATTTGGATAATCCTGGAGGCGAAGAACAACCCCAGGCTACTGTTTTCCACCACAACCCGACTCCTCCGTCCCCCCCGCCACCCCGCGCAGGTCATATCCTCCAACCTTCACTGCGAGGAGATGCTGGATTTCCTTGAATCCAAGATCAAGGGAATCCGCTCCGCGGTCACTTCCCCTCCAACTTCCACCCACCACCCACCCCTTCCCTCCCACACTCCGACTCCTACCCATCCTCCCCTACACACCTTCGTACCCGTTTCCCCACCCTCTGTCACTGAACTCATCCTATCCCTAAAACCAACCACCTGCTCCCTTGACCCCATCCCCACTCCACTCCTTATCTCCCAGCTCCATTTTCTTGCCCCACACATCACTGACATCATAAACCTGTCCCTCTCCTCTGGCTCTGTCCCCATTCCATTAAAAACTGCCATCATCACGCCCACCCTGAAAAAACCCTCCCTTGATGCGTCGCAGCTATCAAGCTACCGGCCCATCTCCAACCTCCCCTTTCTCTCCAAGGTCTTGGAAAGAGTTGTCGCCTCCCAACTGCGCTCTTTCCTCTCCACCCATTCTCTTTTCGAACCCCTTCAGTCAGGTTTCCGTGCTGCCATAGCACAGAAACTGCCCTGGTCAAGGTCACCAATGATATCCTGACCATCTGTGACCAGGGCTCCCTCTGTCTCCTCGTCCTCCTCGACCTATCGGCAGCATTCGATACGGTCGACCACGCTATCCTACTCCACCGCTTGTCCTCCCACCTCAACCTTCAAGGCACTGTCCTTGAATGGTTTAGCTCTTACCTTTCCCACCGTCTTCACTTCGTCTCAACGAATGGCTTCTCCTCCACCCCCCGTACTGTCTCATGTGGTGTCCCTCAGGGCTCTGTCCTCGGTCCCCTCCTCTTCACCCTCTATATGCTCCCCCTTGGTGACATCATCCGCAAACATGGGGTTAACTTCCACATGTATGCGGATGACACCCAACTCTACCTTTCCTCCTCTACTCTCAACTCCACGACCACCGATGTCCTGACAGCTGCCTGTCCGACATCGAGTCCTGGACGAGAGACAACTTTCTTCAGCTCAACGTGCGAAAAACCGAGGCCCTCCTGATTGGCTCACGTCAGCGCCTCCGCACCTCAGGCGCTGACACCATCAGCATCCAAGGCTGCACTCTCCACCTCTCAAAGCCAGTCAGGAACCTCGGCGTTTTGTTCGACCCTGAGCTGTCCTTTCTCCCTCACATCCGCACCACAACTGGCACCGCCTTCCATCACCTCCGGAATATCGCCAGACTACGGCACTACCTCACCCCTCACGCTGCTGAAACCCTGGTTCACGCCTTTGTCACCTCAAGGCTGGACTATGGGAACTCTCTCCTCGCCGGCCTTCCCGCCACCTCCCTCCACAAGCTGCAGGTCATTCAGAACTCTGCAGCTCGTGTACTGTCCCGCACCAGGCTTCGGGACCACATCACTCCCACCCTCGCTCGCCTCCACTGGCTCCCCATCCCCCAGAGGATTGATTTCAAGATCCTCATCCTCACCTACAAGGCCATTCACGGCCTTGCTCCCTCCTACCTCTCCAACCTACTATCCCCCTACCTACCTGCCCGTACCCTCCGTTCCTCTGGCTCCGGTCTGCTCCACGTCCCCCGCCCCAACCGCCCTACCATCGGTGGCCGGGCCTTCAGCCTCTCAGCCCCGAGGCTCTGGAACTCCATCCCCCAGTGCCTTCGCCGCTTCCTCCCTTTCCTCCTTCAAGGCCGGTCTCAAAACCTTTCTCTTTGACCGTGCCTTCAGCTCCCCTCTCGACTCTCTTCCTCCTCCTCGCTCCCTCCCTTCCCTCCCCTCACCCTGACCATTTCCCCCCTCCTCTATCCCTCCCTTCCCTCCCCTCACCCTGACCATTTCCCCCCTGCTCGGGTCATGACCCAAATGTGCAGCGCCTTGGGACGTCCTCCTGACGTGAAAGGCGCTCTATAAATGGAATCTTGTTGTTGTTGTTGTTGCATTTGATAACATCTTTTAGACATCTCAAAGAGCCTCACAGATACTGTAAATAATAATATTAATCCTGGCATTTGATACAGCGCCAGGGCCGCTGCTGTGCGCAATTGGCTGCCGCCTTTCACCCACAAAGTATACAGTCAATTCACTTTATATCCTGTGAAGCACTTTGAGGCATCTCTAAGGCGTGATAAGTCCTGTAGCTCAGTGGTTAGAGCACTCACTTTGCAAGTGAGAAACCTGAGTTCAATTCCAGGCAGAGGGCCAAACCTTGGGCAAGTTTCCTTACTCCACACAGAGCCTAATAATAATCCCTCCAAAACCAAAAACAATAATAAATTGGTCATTTTCAATCCACGACTGTTTGTGGGACATTGCTGTGCGCAATTGGCTGCCGCGTTCGCCCACAAATATACAGTCAATTCACTTTACAGTGTGTTCTGTGAAGCGCTTTGGGACGTCCTCCCGACGTGAAAAGCGCTATATCAAATGCAAGGAATGTTATTATTATTATTATTATTATTACATACTAGGTAAACAGGTGTGTGGAGTAAGCAAACTTGCTAAAGGTTTAAAATCTAAATAAATGACTTCATTGCAAATCAGAATTTGCTATGAGGGGAGAGCCTACTCAGCTGATAGTGCTCTGATTTCTGAATCAGATGATTCAGTCTCGTGATAGAAGAAATGAAAACTGTAATACCAGCTGGCACTCCAGTACACCTGGAGCGCTGCATTGTCAGAGGGGCCGTCCTTCAAATGGTCCTTAAACCAAGGTCCCCGTCTGCTTGTTCAGGTGGACTTTAAAGAATCCATGACACTATTCAAAAAGTGAATCGATTTTTTGCTGATGTCCTCGGCAACAATCCATTTTGAGAGAAAGCATAAGAAGAGGCAATATACGTGGAGTCCTGTAGTTCAGTGGTTAGAGCACTTGCTTTGCAAGCGAGAGACCTGAGTTCAATTCCAGGCAGAGGGCGAAACCTTGGGCAAGTTTCCTTACTCCACACAGAGCCTAATAATAATCTCTCCAAAACAAAACAATGATAAACTTTCAATCCATGACTATTTGTGGGACATTGCTGTGCGCAATTGGCTGCCGCATTCGCCCACAAATATACAGTCAATTCACTTTACAGTGTGTTCTGTGAAGCGCTTTGGGACGTCCTCCCGACGTGAAAAGCGCTATATCAAATGCAAGGATTATTATTATTATTATTATACGCTGATGGTACAATCTTAAAGGGGGTGAAGGAACAGAGAGACCTGGGGGGTTCGTATAAGTAAATGTTTGAAGGTGGCAGGACAGGTAGATAAAGCTGTTAAAAAAGCATCCGGGATACTAAGTCATTCACCTCCCAGCTGTTTGTGAAACTTCCCTATGTGTACATTAGGTGCCTTGTTCACCTACAACTATAGGCAGCCGAGACTGTGAGGCTGTGCTGATGTGGGATTTGAACCCACAACCTTCTGATCCAGATGCAACTAAATGAGGCTGATGGATGGACAGATCTGAGCCTGGGTAACAGCTGTAAAACTTACGTGGTATTGTGAATATCCATCGCACAGCTGCAGCGAATGATGGAGGCGAGAAGAACCCAGGTGCCAAACGTCCGGGCCTGCAGCCCATTCACTGTACAGGGAAGAAACACACAGCATTACACAGGCTCCTTCTACCCTGTCCATCCAACAACAACAAATTACATTTATATAGAGCGGTTCATGTCGGGAGGACCTCCCCTTTTTTGGGGGGGAAGCACTCCAGCGACAGTACTCGTTAGAGACAGAGTAACACTTCCTCTACATGTTTTTTGAATTAGACAACTGGATGTGTTAGGCCATCACAGTGCTTAAGAGTATTCAAACTTGACAGAAGTCCTAAATGTACCCATGGAAATTTCCGTCTGATCGTGTTTTGATGAAGTAATGGATGAAGGTAGTGCAGTTGATGTATGGATGTAAGCAAAATTGAAGCTCAGGAATTAAGGGGACAGTGGCAGCGAATACAGAACTGGCGGGGAGAAAGCAGAACGTGGTGGTGAACCATTGTTTTTTTGACTGGAGGGAAGTGTGCAGTGGTGTTTCCCAGGGGTCAGTATTGTGACCACTGCTGTTTTTGATCTATGTAAACAATAATAATAATCTTTGCATTTCAAATAGCGCTTTTCTTCTCGACGTCTCAAAGTGCTTCACAGAATATACTGTAAAGTGAATTGACTGTATATTTGTGGGCAAATGACTGGACTTGGGGATAGGGAGTACAATTTCCAAGTTTGCAAATGATACAAAGCTGGGAATAGTAGTAAACGGTGCAATGCAGTGCCTGAAAGGCTGGTGGAAGCGATTCAATAACAACTTTTAAAAGAGAAGTAGACAATTATTTGGGGAGGACAAGTTTGCAGGGCTGTGGGGAGAGCGCGGGGGAATGGGATTGATTTCAAAGAGCCGGCACAGACACGATGGGCCAAATGGTCTCCTTCTGTGCTGTATAATTCTGTAATTCTATCATATAGAATGTAATAATAATAATAATCCTTGCATTTGATATAGTGCTTTTCACGTCGGGAGGATGTCCCAAAGCGCTTCACAGAACACACTGTAAAGTGAATTGACTGTATATTTGTGGGCGAACGCGCCATCAATTGCGCACAGCAATGTCCCACAAACAGTCGTAGATTGAAAATGACCAATTTATTATTGTTTTGGGTTTTTTGGAGGGATTATTATTAGGCTGTGTGTGGAGTAAGGAAACTTGCCCAAGGTTTCGCCCTCTGCCTGGAATTGAACTCGGGTCTCTCGCTTGGAAAGCGAGTGTTCTAACCACTGAGCTACAGGACTCCACAAATGTACACACTCTTCCTGAATGGATGCACCTTGTTTTCCTAATTACAAAGAATGTTAGGAACAGATTGAGAAATCTTGACAACCCCAGAGTGTCTGTTGGGTTTTTGTGGAGTTTAATCAGATAAAACTCCATTGAAAGCACTGTCTGGCATTTACATAGCGCTCTTCACATGGGGGCTGTGTCTTGGAGCACTTAATAGTTGCGGAGGTTCACGTCAAGCTGGGGAGAGGGAGGAGGTGACCGTAGGTCAAAGAGGAAGGTCTTCAGATGTGATCCAAAGATCTGATATGAAGATGGGAAAGGAGGAGTCTCACAGGCTGAGTGAGAGAGTGAGCATAGTGGCTGAAAGCATGGCCACTGTCAGTGGAGTGGATGAGGGATGTGTAGAAGGCAGGAGGGAAGTCAGAGCCACAGATGAGAAGATGCTGATGGGAGGATGACTACTATCTTGTCAACATTTAGCTGCAGGACGTTGGTGTACTGAGGCAAAGAGAGGGCCAAAGATATGCCACAGGTGACCTGGTGGGATCATGAGGAGAAGCCATTTGATGAGCCATAATGGTGTTGGTTGCAGTAGAATTAGAACCTGGAGTGTAATCTCACTGAGGTGGATGAGGGAGGAGAAGCGGTCGAAGAAAATGGCATGATCAACAGTGTCCAAAGCAACAGAGAAGTCCAGGAGGACAAAGGAGGCAGATCAAATCCAGATCGCAGAGAGAGAGGTCATTTGTGACTTTCCAGAGCGCTGGCTCAGTGCTGTGGGCAGCATAGAAACTGGACTGAAGTGAGTGGAGAGGTGTGAGCGAGTTTAGTGACAATGCAATGCACTCCAATGCTGGTCTCTGTAGGTGTACTATTCACAAGTCTAACTCATCCAAATCTCTGCTACCCGCACCCTCACCCACACCAAATCTGCACCCATCACCCCAGTCCTCCCTCACTTTATACATGTAATTTGCTGCTGTCATTGCAGTCACTCTGCTGTCTCTGCGCTAGTCACTTTGTGTTGGGCAGTGCTGCCAATCTGGTGCGTACCCAGTGCTGGTTGGCCAGTGTAGATTTTCTCTGACAAGAAGCTGTGATCTCTAAAGCTCTGTATTGTGTTTCCAATGCCGATGACAGCCACCATGACAAGCCAACTGCGAAGCACATTCAGAAAACGACTCATCCTGGGGGAAAGAGACAAGATCTTGCACAAATACCACTGGGCACATTCCAACCTTCGTATTCCAACCTCCCTGAGTAGCAACACGGCAGAACTGGGACTTGTAAGGGCAGGACCTGCTCCCTCTTCAACACCACCCCCCACCTGTACCGTACACCCTTCCCCCCACCCCAGCACCCCCCCTACCTCATCCACAGATGCATTGCAGGCCCACGCACCCCCCACTCCATGCCAGAGTGCATTGATCCCTCCCCCCCACTCCATGCACGGGGGCATTGGAGTCCCTTCTCCACCCTCACTCTATGCACAAATACAGTGCAGCTCCCCCACCCCTTCACCACACACACATGCTCAGGGGCATTGCAGACCCCCCGCATTTCATGTACGAGCGCATTGCAGCACCCGCACACTTCATGCACATGTATATTGCACCTGCCTCCCTCCCACTCCATGCACGAGTGCAGTGCAGCCCCCCCCACCCCATTCCATGCACGAGTGTAGTGCAGCACCCCCCCCCACCCCATTCCATGCACGGGTGCACTGCAGCCCCCCCCCCCAACTCCATGCAAGGATGCATCGGAGCCCTCTCCCCCACACATGCACACTCCATGCACGAGGGCATCGCAGACCCCCCCCCCCCCCATTTCATGCACGAGTACATTGCAGCCCCACACCCCCATGCACGGGTGCTTTTGCAGCAGCTTCTCACCTGTCAATCTCCGGGTCACGCGGCGCCGCACCTCCCGCCCTCAACGAACCTATTGACCAATGGGAAGCCAGCGGCTGCTGAGTGACGCAGTTTCAACCAATGGGCGCGGGAGGCTGGGGGTTCAGGGAAGGCTCTCTGATTGGTCGTGGCTCGGCGGACCTTTGACCCAAAGCGGGGAGGGGGCGGTTGGTTGCTGAGGGTTGGATGCGGGAAGGGCGTCCCCTGGCCTCCGAGGTGGGGGGCTCCGGGCCCAGGCCACGTGACGCATCACCCTCCCCAGTCACGTGTCCCAGCCCTGGGCCAAGCAGCGCGTGCCGCGCGGAATAAGTCGCCACGCGAACTACGTTTCCCGAAGTGCCGCGCGCGTGGAATAAGTCGCCACGTGAACTACGTTTCCCAAAGTGCCGCGCGCGGCACTTTGGGAAACGTAGTTCACGTGACGACTTATTCCACGCGCGAGCTGACCGTTACTGCGCATGCGCAATAGCGTCGCTTATCCCCCCCTCCCCCGCCCCATCTTTCGCTCCAGAGCAACGGGGCCCGAGTGGCGCAGTACGTAATGGCGGCGGCCCGGGGCCCGGGCCCGGAGGCGTTGCCGGTGCGCGGGCTGCCGGAGGCGGCGCGGGCGGCGCTGCGCTCGGGGCTGGGCGTGGCCTCGCTGGGCCGCTGCGTGGAGGAGCTGCTGCTGAACAGCCTGCAGGCCGGGTGCGCGTGCGCGGCGGTGCGGGTGCACGCGGCGGCCGGTCGCGTGCAGGTGGCCGACAACGGCCGGGGTCTGTCGCGCGCGGCGCTGGAGCTGGCGGGCGCGCGCTACCACAGCGGGGCCGCGCGGGCCGGGCTCGGGCTCGGGGCCGGGCCCCGCGGGGAGGCGTTGGCCAGCCTGGCCCACCTGGCCGCGCTGCTGCTAATCGAGTCCCGGGCTCGAGGCCAGGCCGACACCTGGGCCAAGGTCTTCCGCAACGGCCGGGCCCGGCCCGTCAGCCCCGCCCTGAGCGGCCGCCCGAGCTCCGGCACCACCGTCACCCTCAGCGGCCTCTTCCACCGCCTGCCGGTCCGGCGCCGCCGCCTGGCCCGCGCCCTGGAGTGGGAGCGGCTGCGGCGCGGCCTCGAGGCCCTGGCGCTGCTGCACCCGCGCGTCTCCTTCACGCTGCGGGACGAGGCGGGCGGCGGCGGCGGGACGGGGGCGCTGGTGGTGCGGCTGCCCCGGGCCGGAGGCCTCCAGCCCCGCTTCGCGCAGCTGCACGGCCCCGTGGCCGCCGCCTCGCTGGTGCCCGTCCAGCAGCGCGGCCCCGACGGCCTCCGGGTCAGCGGCTTCATCGGGCGGTGCGGCCACAGCAGCAAAGCCCGGCAGCTGGTGTTTGTGAACGAGCGGCTGGTGCTGAAGACACGGCTCCACCGGCTGCTCGACACGCTGCTCCGGGGGCGGCTGAGGCCCGAGGCGGGAGGCCCCAAACCCCGCGCCGCCGCCGCTTTACACCCCGTCTATGTGCTGAACCTCGGCTGTGAGGAGGCGGCCTATGACGCGTGCTGGGAGCCGGGCAGGACTCTGATCGAGTTCCTGGCCTGGGAGCCGGTGCTCAGCTGCCTGGAGGCCGCGGTTCAGGATTTCCTACAGCGGGAGGGTCTCCTCCCCGCGGAGCCTGAGCAGCTCCCGGTGTCTCAGGGGGAGGCTGGGCCGGGGGCAGCCTATGGCAACACCGCGCTGCAATCTCGGGCCGTGTACCGGACAGATGTCTGTGTGCCAGAGCCTGTCAGCCCCTGTGTACCCGAGCCCGGGCCTGTCAGCCCCTCTGTACCCCCAGACTGCTGGTCTGATAGCTTTGCACAGGATCCTGAAGTGGCTGTTCACTGCCCCTCTCCAGATGAAGGACAGGCTTTAGACCTTTGCCCAATAGATGGTCAGCAGCACTCAACACCAGCTTCGGGGGGCCAGGGCGCAACAGATAGCGAGTCAGACTCCGACACCAGCCTTGAGGCTCAGTGTCAATCCTTGGGGAAGTTGGGGGGTAACAGATGCTTCAATGCAATTGGATATAAAGCAGAACAGGCATTGGACCTGAACGGGCAGAACACAGGGTTAAAGAACCAAAGGCAAACCAGGAGCATTCCTGAACTGCCAGGGCTCCACTGTGACTTTCCTCATCTCCTGCCCCAGAAGATAGAACCAGGCAAAAGAAAGAAAATTTATCTACGCAAAACTCCTCGGTCTGGTCTCTTCGGATCCGTAACTGCCCAAGAGGGAGAGGCTGAGGTGCGGCCTGGAAATTCAGCCAAAAGGATTACAGCATCAGGGGTGAGAGACTTTGTCACCAGCAACAGGAGAAGTCAAAATGGCAGAGCATCCTGGAACCGCACTGGGCTGGGAAGGGAGGTTAACCTCCCAAAGCTCTTCAAAACCTGGGAGCAGGTTGACCTAAAGGTTAGCGGGGGATGTGTTACTGCTTCCAGCACAGCCACCTACCCACAATCCAGGTTTCACAGGAAACTGAGTCTTTCTCTCATGACTGGATCTCTGGATGTATTTAGAAGAAAGTTTGGCAGAAAGGACAGTAGCAGTGAGAAACAGGAGCCTTGTGCTGAGGGTTCCACAGGCATTGACAATGATATAAGAGTTCCAGTTAGTTTGGGACATTCAATAAATGATGGGAATGCAAAGGACAGATCAGCATCTGCAGACCCTAGTGCCCCTGGACACTGCTCCCACAGTGACAGCTTAGAAAGTTACCAGGGGAACGATAGGTATTTGAAGAGATGGATTTCTAAAGCCAATGATTCAATACTCACTGAAAGGCAGAATCCCATTACACTGAAGGGTTATTCACAATCCAGAACGTTTTTGTCTGCTACTAAGTCCCATCGAACCCTGGCAGCAAAGTTGTCAGTGATGAAGGGGTTTAAGAAAGGCACTGACACCAGTACTGATTTGGCACAGTGTGAACAGCTACAACATCTGCAGCCTTCATGTAAACATGTCTCTCCAGAAACCTGTCCAGCAGGCAAACTGATTTCAGGAAGCTTTGACCTGCAGGGCACGGTGGAGGAAGATCAGTGTCCTGAAATGAATAACTTGGCCATTGGGCATGCAATACCTGAAAACCGGTGTGCAATTATTGAGAACAATTTTCCTAACCCATCTTGTGCTGGAGAAGCAATAGAGATTGGAACTGACCACCACGGCTGTGACCCTGCCCCCCACCGGGGCTCAGGAGGTGAAGCTGTTCCCCACCAGCGTTCGGAAGATGCTCGAATTCAACCCCCAGATGATAGTATGATTGATGGTGCCAGTGAAGGGCATTTGAGTGAGTGTGTGAGAGGTTCTTTTAGAGCCACGTGGACTGAAACCCTTGGTGTTCACTTTACCAAAGAAGCTATTGAGACCTCGCTTTGTGTATCCCAGAGTGATGTTTTTAAAGATTGTGCCTCAGACTGGCTGCAGTATTTTGATGCTACTCTTGGGAGGATGGTGTACGTGAACACGTTAACCGGATTAAGTAGTTACGAAGCTCCCCCAGAATGTGAGACACAGACTGCCTGCACAAAGGACTTCACAACAATGGCAGTCAATGTCATCACTAGGACTGGTGAGTGCACTGCAACTGAACACATAGGATCGTTATAGGTCGTGTAGCGTATAGAAACGGCAATAAATTGGATTTGTACTGCTATACACAGGAACTTCAGTGGAGCATGTGTGGCCACATTGGCTGTCTACAATTTACAAAGCCCAATATTGATATCATCTCATCCTGGTGTTCTTGAACCATGATAAAGTCTTGCACTATGGCCCTGACCCTTCTCTAAACTTCTCAGTTACAAACGGAATTATAATTACAAGATCTTGAAATGAGCATTTGGTACACCATTTCATTCAATTAGACAAGGACTGATAATTGTCTCACCAAAGTCATGTGAAATTTTAAAATCGTCTCAACTCATATATGACACCATTAGCTACCCGCTTTACATTTCTTTTTGCTTTTAAGTATCTGGAAACACTGCACCTCAGCTTCTCCAGATCACTGAATTAGTGCCCATTGGTTTTCATAATTTACCACTGCCCCTAATTTCATGCATTCCATGCGTTTAGACTCCTTTGATTTGATCAGGCAACCAAATATTTGTAAAAATGATAAACATTAGTGTTTTTAGTACTGATCAATGTGGCTAGCATACCACTGACATCTGACCCCCATTGAGTCAGCCTGGCTAAGTGGCCCTCTCTCACCTCTGAGTCAGAAGGTTTCAAGCCCTGAGTTGGGACTTGGAATTACATTGTCTAGGCTGACCTTCCAATACAGTGTTGGGGGGTGGTATTGCGTTGTTGGAGGTACTGTCCTTTGGATGAGGCTTCAAACTGAGGTCCCGTCAGCCTGTTCAGGTGGACATCAAAGATCCCATGGCACTATTTGAAAATAGATGGGAATTTCTCTCCCCTGGTATCCAGATCAACAATCCCCCAAATAAAATTGGTCACTCACAACAACAGCAGCAACAAAATTACATTTGTATAGCATCTATCACGTCGGTAGGATGCCCCATGAATGTCTGTGGGACATTACTGGGCACAAATTGGCTGCTGTGTTTTCGCAGATACAAATGCAAATAATCAATTTTACAGTATATAATGTGAAGCGCTGTTGGACATCTTGACAATGATAAAACTCTAAATTCAAAAATTATTATTGTATCTATCCATGCCCCTCTACCTGTGGCTTTCTATTAAATAACTAGCAGTTTAATATATTGTCATTTATTCCCAATGGGTCTAAACATTATACTATATCAAATGCAAGGATTGCCATTATATTATACATTTTTCAATTATGGGGAACCTCTTGTGGTCTGAACAAAATAGTCTGCTTGCATGTTATATGCTTCTCATCACTTTAAAGAATTGAATTAAACACCTCAATCATTTAAGTCTAGCCTGTGAACCTCGTCACAGAACTTAAAACATACGCCAAGGAATTGTCTTTCTTAGACCTCTTTCCATCAGGTCATAAATATCAAATGCAAGGATTAGTATTATTATTATATAGAGAACCCCAAAACTGCACTCGATTCCACATGTGGTATCACCAATGATCTCGTATTGCCTACAATGATGTCTTAATGTTAGAAAAGGTTAATTCAATAGAATTATTCAAAACTCCATACCCCCTTGACAACAATCCTTGCCAGGGTCCACTGGCTCCCAATCACCGAACCGATTGATTTCAAGATCCTCTCGCTTGTTTTCAAATCCCTTAATGCCTCGCACCTCCCTATCTCTCTGAAATGCTTCCCCCCACCCGCTGCCTCTGCTCGGCTGACTCCAGCCTCCTATTTGTCCCTCGTCACCTGCGCTCCACCTTCGGTGGCTGTGCCATCAGCCATTACATCCTGAAACTCTGGAACTCTCCCTCAGTGCCCTCCACCTTGCCCCCTCCCTTCCCATTTTGAAATTCCACCTAAAGACCTTCCTTTTTGATCGTGCTTACAGCCCTCTCTCTCCCCCTGGCGCGTTGTCCAAAGTGCTATGAAACGCTACCCTGTGTGAAGGGCACTATATAAATGCAAGTTGTTGATGTGAGCAGACTTGATTCATACTGATTACATAATTGAAGGATAGTGGGTTTCAAACTGATTAGTCTAAAGTGATATGGCAGATCAAACAAATTTCTCTACAAAGCAGTGGCTGTGCAAAATTGATTCCAACAAAATCAGTTAATGCTGCAGAGGTTAACTAACTCCTTAAGAATAAAATTGATATCCACTTGCGAGCAGTATTGGAGAGTATGCAGGAATAGGTAGATATAAGGGTATACAAACCAGACTGGGAGAATATATGCATATATCATTTGTGCATGAAAATATCCCTGTGTCACAAATGGAATGTGTGCTTTATTCAAAGGCCTGCATAGTATTTGATGCAAGTTGTTGTGACTCAAAGTCAGAGTGTGTGTTGGGATACGACTGGAGTTTATCCAGCTCAAAGCATGTATTGTGAACACTTTCTGGAAAGTTGCTTGTTGCCTCTCCAGCTAAGACCACCCTATCAGTTAGAACTGAGCTTTCAGGGTTAACAGAACCTGAATAAAAAATCCCTGCTCCCAGTGACTGACTGGTCTGCTCTTCCAGGTCCCGTCGATGAACAAGGTTGGCTAGTCTGTCAGTGCTTTGGGGTACTGTGAACCTGTCTAGCTCAGGAACTGAGCTATTGAGACCATTACACGGGATCGACTTGACTCCAATGTTCCATTGCCCAACACCTTGGAATAATCCTCAGAACAACAAATATTATAGACAACAACAAAATTGCATTTGTAAAGCCCCTTTCACGTCAGGAGGATATCCCTTAAGTAACCCCCTTTATTGGCCCGTTTGTTCCCTGTCACGACTTATACACATTTATCACCCTCCAATTAAACTTGCTTTGTTATGATCAGTTTGTTAGTTTGCCTGCAGAGTGTAAATGGCTCTTTGCTTTATTATTACAGGATTATTTATTATTTTATTACAGGATTCCAGTATCAATGCCATCCGTTCCGCACTGATAATGTACTCCCCTTCCTCCCTCGTGATGAGAGACAGACGCTAAGACTTGATAATAAAGGTGAGAGTGGCAGAGGATGGAGAGGCAGTGCCAGGGCTGAGAGGAAGAGGATAGAGAGACAGGATGGAGAGGCAGTGCCAGGGCTGAGAGGAAGAGGATAGAGAGGCAGTGCCAGGGCTGAGAGGAAGAGGATAGAGAGGCAGAGGATGGAGAGGCAGTGCCAGGGCTGAGAGGAAGAGGATAGAGAGGCAGAGGATGGAGAGGCAGAGGATGGAGAGGCAGTGCCAGGGTTGAGAGTCACTGGGTGCAGGATTCGACTGCTGCTGTCATTACTTGCCTTGTTGCAGCTTTGCTGCCCTCTGATGTCTGTGCAACTGATGTAGTTATTGTGTCTGTCTTCCCCCACCTCAGCAACATCGCTCGGCTCTGCCATTGTCCCTCACAGCAAACAGCTGAAATCCTCATCCAAGCACCCAGGCTCAACTACGTAAACTCCCTGCTTGTCGGCCTCCCCAACTCCTCCCTCCAAAGTCTGCAGATCATACAACTCTGCACTCGGTGTCCTCTCCCTCACTGTTTTTCTCAACCCTTTCACCTCCATCCTCGCTCGACTCCACTGGCTTCCCATCAGACAGAGGATACAGTTCAAGATCCTGGTCTTCACCTTCAAAGTCCTCCAAGTCTTGCTCCTCCCTACCTCTGTTACCTCCTAACTCTTTACCAAGCTGTCCACTCCCTTCGCTCAGCGGGCTCCAACCTGCTTCACATCTCACGCCTTACCCACCCCACTATTGGCGGGTGGGTCTTCAACCTCTCTGCCCTCACCCTCTGGAACTCCATCCCATAGTCCCTCTGCCTCGCCCCCTCCCTTGCCTCCTTCGAGACCCATCTCAAGACCCTCCTCTTCGACCATGCTTTCGGTCACACTGCCCACCCTCTACCCCTCCTGATCCCAACCAGTCAGGGTGCGGATCCCTGGCCTTGTGACGTCCTCCTGACATGAATGGTGCTGTACAAATATAATTTGTTGTTGTGTCTACATAGCTGATGCGGTTATTGTTGCTGACTCTTATTTACAAATATTTTGCCTTTTGCAGGTGTTCCGGTCGCCTGTGGTGACCTGCTGCAATCCTTGTTTGTGGAATGGAAGAATCCAGTGTTTCCCCGATGCCCAGAGGTAAGGAGCAGGGAATATGGATGGATACTGTATATTAATCTGTGGCTTGAATTCCCTGGATGATGGGAGGCTGGATACTGGTTTGGGCACCAGTCTACAGATTGTGATGAAACGCTGTCTACACTGACAGAGAATGTAAAACATGATGGACGTGTGCGCAAGTGAACGGCAATTGAAGGATTCTTGTCCAGAGAGCCCTGAAATTGTTCATCAGTGGCCTCTGAGCTTAGTACTGTCAGATTCTCAGCATGCGCTGATGCTGGCTGTGTTTCAGGTGGCTGTTGATGTAAGTAGCAGCAATGCTGTTGGGTTGGCAGTGAAGATCCACAACATTCTGTATCCATACCGTTTCTCCAAGGAGATGGTCAGCTCAATGCAGGTGAGACGCACACGACATCCAGCATTGCCCTGAGCACAACAAAGCTTCAATAAAGTACTATTTTTATATAAAGACACTTAACATTAAAATCCTGTGCAGCACTTTGAGACATTTTGACGATGTCCCCTGCCCGGCAAGCCTCATCTGCGTTCAGCCTCTTTGCCCCTACCCTTTGGAACTCCATCTACAGTCCCTCAACCTTGCTCCTTTCCTTGCCTCCTTCAAGGCCTGTCTCCTCTCCAACCACATCTTCGGTCACCCTCCCCCTACCCTCCCTGCCCTCCACCTCTCCTGATCCCAACCCCCTGCTCGAGTCAAAATTTACAGTACAGAATATGGTCCTCACGACATAAAAGGCACTACACAAATGTCATTTGTTGGTGCTGATGTGGCGTGGCACTTCAAATGCCAGGATTATTAAATATTTTAATTTGTTGCTTTTGAAATTAGAAATATCGTGAGCCAAGCTTTATAGCCTTACTCCCCACAGCCTCGCTCTGCTCTCCAGTTCTGAGATAATTCTAAATTGAATTTCAAGTTGTGAAGCTTCTTGCTCATAGGAATGTAGAAATCCATTATTTCAATCTCTGATAATATGAATTGTAATCCCCAGGTACTTAACCAGGTGGATAATAAGTTTGTTGCATGTTTGATGAACACAAGGGATGGGAAAGACTCCACACCAGGTGAGTGATCATAGAATTATACAGCACAAGGAGGCCATTCGGCCCATCATGTCTGTGCCAGCTCTTTGAAAAGAGCTTCCAAATCAATCCCATTCCCCGCGCTCTCCCCATAGCCCTACAAACTTGTCCGCCCCAAATAATTATCTACTGTTGTTGATGTTGGTAAAGTTTAGTTTATCTGGTGAGATGCGGGTGAGTTTAATTTCCAGCCTATCTAATTTTGACTTTCAGAAGTTGGAATGTATTTCAGTAATGTTGGTGTAAGGTAAAGCAGCAATGCAAAGGCAGATGTTTATTTTTGCTGTGTATTGGAGCTGTGATGTATGTGACCAGGGTTGCAATGTGCCATGTATTGGGAGTTCATTGTATTGGGTCCTGTGCCGTCACTCCAATGTAATATAAGGAGTTGTTGCATAGTTCAGCTCTCTGAGACTGGCTCATTGGCAGGATCTGGAAGGGCACACCAGTCACTGGGGACAGGGATTCTTAGGCTAAACTCCTGTTAATCCTGCAAACCAAAGTCCTAACAGATAGGGTGTTCCTAGCTGGAGAAGCAGTGGGAAAGCTTGCTGGACAGCGGCTGCAATTCCAAGCTGTACGGTTTGTGGTGGTTAGATGCTAGCTGTACCCAACACACACTCTGGGACCCCAGGCCTTGGCTCTTGTCAAGTTGCGCCTAATAATCTCCAAATTGGGTGAGCAGGATGCGTTAGCTAAATTGCTGCAGCAAGTTCCAAGTCCATTGGTCAGGATTTCATTTATGCCTTGTGTTGGGGTTTCAGTACATTTGGACATGATTGTTTTGTTGAGTGTATGTGTGCCTGTGTGCTGTATATGTAATATGTACATGTGTGACTGAGGAGCATTGTGAGCTGCTGTAGTCGTGAGTCTAACTCTCTGTTCTCTGCCCAGGGGGTAACCTGCTGGTGTTGGTGGATCAGCATGCGGCTCATGAGCGGGTCCGACTGGAGCAGCTTATTGCAGGTAAGAGGTGGGCGAGAGAGACCTGGGAGTGTGGGCGCACAGTGTAGAGGGAGCTTTACTGTGTCTCTAACCCTGACCTGGGAGTGTGGACGCACAGTGTAGAGGGAGCTTTACTGTGTCTCTAACCCTGACCTGGGAGTGTGGACGCACAGTGTACAGGAGCTTTACTGTGTCTCTAACCCTGACCCGGGAGTGTGGACGCACAGTGTGGAGGAGCGTTACTGTGTCTCTACCCCTGACCTGGAAGTGTGGACGCACAGTGTAGAGGAGCTTTACTGTGTCTCTAACCCTGACCTGGGAGTGTGGACGCACAGTGTAGAGGGAGCTTTACTGTGTCTTCAATTAATGCTGTTCCCTGGGATTTAGAGTAGATGGAACTTTACTCTGTATCTAATATGGTTCTAAGGTATAACGATCAGCAGCGAGATGTTGGAATCAAGTCAACCTTGATTGTAAGGTTGCTGAGCCAGGCAGAACTTGGAGAAGCTCAGAAATGGAATTGTTCCTTCTCAGCTCCTGTTAACTGCAAGTCAGAGGCTGACAGGAGATCTGCCAGACAGTGTTCATAATGACAAGTTTTGGTTTTATCGTGACTGTAGCTCAGTGGTTAGAGCACTCGCTTTGCAAGTGCGAGACCTGAGTTCAATTCCAGGCAGAGGGCGAAACCTTGGGCAAGTTTCCTTACTCCACACAGAGCCTAATAATAATCCCTCCAAAACCAAAAACAATAATAAATTGGTCATTTTCAATCTACGACTGTTTATAGGACATTGCTGTGCGCAATTGGCTGCCGCGTTCGCCCACAAGTATACAGTCAAATCACTTTACAGTGTGTTCTGTGAAGCGCTTTGGGACGTCCTCCCAATGTGAAAAGCGCTATATCAAATGCAAGGATTATTATTATTATTAAACCAGTAATACTCTGAACATATTGGGGTTGGCTCTTGCCTAAACTTTCTGGGGTTAAATCAGCCAGGTGTGTGTCTAGGGAGAGAGTGTGTATTCTATAAGCAAACCAAACATGTGGAATTCTCAGCAATTTGGTTTTGATTTTCCGTGTGTATCCGACATCCAGCGGCCAAAAATGAAACCTGTGTTGGGACATGTTAGGGTGCCACCTTGTGTGGGGACTGGGTATTATAGCAACACAATGCAGCTTCGGCTCGTCCCCTGTAGTTGCCTCTGGCTCCTGTACTTACCTTTAATCTTTGTCTGCAGATTCCTATGAGCTGGTGCTGGGGTGTCGGAGACTGTGCACCTCGACAGTGTGTCCCCCAGTGCAGGTCCACGTCAGCCAGGAGGAGGCCAGATTACTACGGTCAGTCGCACAGCTGAAGGCAACCACAGCAATATGTGTGATGGGTGGATGGTTGTTTAAAGCCGGACGATGAATCCTGGGGTTTGTGTGTGACTGTGAAAAACTGACATAGGTTGTACTGACATAGATAGTGGAGTCGAGTCCCGTAGTGTAGTGGTTAGCACACACAAGCGAGAGGACCTGGGTTTGATTCCCGGCAGGGCGAAACCTTAAGACAAATTTCCTTGTTCCACACTCCTCTGTTTACCCAGCAGTAGGAACCTGGTTGTTAGTCAATTGGCGGATTGCGTTTTAATAATTACTTGAAAAAAATAATAATTTGGTCACTCAATCCACGAGTGTTTGTGGAACACTATTTTCGCAATTGGATGTTGTGTTTCGCCCACAAAATATACAGTCACTATACTTTACAGTGTATTCTGTGAAGTACTTTGAGACACTATATCAGATGCAAGGATTATTATTATATTATTACATGTGTTTATGCAAGTATTAAATGTGTGTATCTTTTAACTCCGTTCCTGTTAACCCTGCGAGCCAAAGCTGTAACAGTGCTCATAGCTGGACAAGCAGCAGGAAAGCTCACGAAACAGTGCTCTCAATGCAAACTATGTGGTTGGGATTGCTTAACCTACAGCAGTCACCCCAGTATGCACTCTGGGGTCTCCAAGCTTTAGTTCTTGACAACTTGTGGAACTGGGTAAGCAGGAAAATATCCCTCCGGGGGAGAGTACGCATTCCAGTCTAGGGAAATTTTCATGTGTAGGTGACATAAATGTGGAACGAAAATAGAAATTGCTGGGAACACTCAGCAAGTCAGCAGCGTCTGTGGAGAAAGTAAAGTAAGTCAATGTTTCAGGTCCATGACCCTTCATCAGAACTGGGGCATGTTGGTGAGGAAGAGGCTTTTGAAGACTTAACAGAAGAAGACTTGACAAGAGCAACGAAAACAACAGAGAAAATGGGGTAGAGGACAGGGGATGATGAGTTAAAGAGGTGATAATGATACAAAACAAAGTGAGAGTGGAAATTGCAACAAAACAGGCAGACTAGTTTGGGTTAGTGATGGAGTTCTGCTGACATTTGATCTGCCCTTTATTAGGCCCTGGTGCCAATGGTAATGGGATGTTTGTGTTGTGCGCAGGACCTGTTTGCAGCATGTGGAGAAGGCGGGGCTACAGCTACAGATCCGAGACACAGATTACCCTCAGGTCTTGGTCAGGAAGGTACCAGCTTGTTTCATCGAAAGAGAAGCCAATGAAATTCGGAGGGGACGACAGACCATCGCTCAGGAACTTGTGGAGGTAAAAGTCTCCAAACACAACATCGTCAGTTAGTGTCTGAAACGTCACTTCAGAGGTGTTATTCTTAGGCTCTGACCCTACAACAACAACAACAACAAGATTCCATTTATAAAGCGCCTTTCACGTCAGGAGGACGTCCCAAGGCGCTGCACAGTTGGGTCATGACCCGAGCAGGGGGGAAATGGTCAGGGTGAGGGGAAGGAAGGGAGGGAGCGAGGAGGGGGAAGAGAGTCGAGAGGGGAGCTGAAGGCACCCTAAACCTGACCCCGCCACCACCTGGGGCGAGAATTCCCTGACCCCATGATCTCCTGGGACAGGAGCTCCCTGATGGGATGACAGATAATTTCCATTTAAATTCATCCTTAAAATGAGGGCAAAACGGGTCTTGACTGAGAGGAGAGGGAGGGGGAAGCGGTGGAAGGAGGTGGTAGTGGGAGGGGAAGGCAGGGGGAGGGGAAGGCAGGGGGAGGGGGAGGTACAGGGAGGGCAAGGGGAGGGGGAGGCAGTGGCAGGAGGGGAGACAGTGGCAGGGTGGGAGGCAGTGGGAGGGGAGTAGCAGTGGGAGGGGAGAGGCAGTGGCAGGTGGGGGAGGCAGTGGCAAGGGGGGGGAGGCAGTGGGAGTGGGGGAGGCAGTGGCGGAGGGGGGGGAGGCAGTGGGAGTGGGGGAGGCAGTGGCGGGGGGGGCAGTGGGAGGCAGAGTTCCTGAGGTTCCACGGTAACCTCTTTCTCTCACATACTCCAACCCTTTCTCTGTGTCTGTGCTGGGGTTGCAATCACAGTGCTTTTTTGGAATCTTGGGATTTGGGGGATTATAATGTCTCAAATCCCGGATCTTAAATCTTATTTTGAATTGGATGTGGTCATTCTCCGCACCAGTGGACACCTCCGAGAGAGCGTCCTCTGCGTGGAGAGGATCTCACTGTGGTGGGTGGAGTGGGGACAGGGGGTTCTGCGAAATCCCAGGATTCTCTTCATTGAATGCTGGGAATGTGGGAGCACCATTGACATGCAGGGTTGGGATTCCTGAGATTGTAATCCTTTGTCTGCACAGATATAATCTTCTAAACCAGAACCTGAGATTCCCAATCCCTTATTGAGAAGGTCCTTCATCATCTCCATCTATTTACACTTGTGTGAAGGGCATCGATTTCTGCCTCTGAGCTCATCCTCTGGTTTTGTTCCTACAGGAGTTTGTTCGAGAGCAGATTGAGGTGAGTTCTGTTTACACAGTTCTCTATCTTCACTATGACAATAGCTGATGGGAAGACATTGTGGGATCTTGGCTCCAAGTCTATAAATCATGAACATCTGCTTTTAGGTGCAGAAAGCAATCACAAAACCTAATGGGAAGCTTGACTTTATTACAAGGGGACTTTGTATACAATTGATTCGTTTAAAAGGCAAATAGATAAGGGGACTAATGGATATGAAAAAAAAGGTAGATGGAGATGAAAAGATAAAAATCTGGTGACAGTATTGTAAAACAGAAGGGAGTTTTTTCTGGAGTTTTTGCGAACAATTCTCCAGGTAAATTGGTCATTCCCTTCATGACTGTGTTTGGGATTTACTGTGCGCATTCATAACAACTGCTGAATTTGCCTACAAACACTTGACAGTAATGACCTGTGGTGCAGGTCACTCACGGGCCTAATAACCTTGTGAACAACTGTAAGGTCCCCAGTATGAGGGCTGATGCCCTGCTCCGCCCCTATCGAGCGTCCTAGGATGCTACCCTGAGGTGAGGGGCGCTGTATAAATGCAAGTTGTTGTTGTTGCTTCTTTTGCAGGTACTTCAGTCCACAGGCGGGGCCCAGAGTATGCTGCCACGCACAGTCCTGAAGGTGTTAGCATCACAGGCTTGTCACGGTGAGGGGACTTCTCAAATGCCCTCTTTGCCGGTCTCCCCACAACAACAAGATTCCATTTATAAAGCGCCTTTCACGTCAGGAGGACGTCCCAAGGCGCTGCACAGTTGGGTCATGACCCGAGCAGGGGGGAATGGTCAGGGTGAGGGGAGGGAAGGGAGGGAGCGAGGAGGGGGAAGAGAGTCGAGAGGGGAGCTGAAGACACGGTCAAAGAGAAAGGTTTTGAGACCGGCCTTGAAGGAGGAAAGGGAGGAAGCGGCGAAGGCACTGGGGGATGGAGTTTCAGAGCCTGGGGGCTGAGAGGCTGAAGGCCCGACCACCGATGGTAGGGCGGTTGGGGCGGGGGATGTGGAGCAGACCGGAGCCAGAGGAACGGAGGGTACGGGCAGGTAGGTAGGGGGATAGTAGGTTGGAGAGGTAGGAGGGAGCGAGGCCGTGAATGGCCTTGTAGGTGAGGATGAGGATCTTGAAATCAATCCTCTGGGGGATGGGGAGCCAGTGGAGGCGAGCGAGGGCGAGGGTGAGGGCGAGGGTGGGAGTGATGTGGGAGCGGTGTCTGGTGCGGGACAGTACACAAGCTGCAGAGTTCTGAATGACCTGCAGTGTGGAGGGAGGTGGCGGGAAGGCCGGCGAGGAGAGAGTTCCCATAGTCCAGCCTTGAGGTGACAAAGGTGTGGACCAGTGTTTCAGCCGCGTGAGGGGTGAGGTAGTGCCGTAGTCTGGCCATGTTCCGGAGGTGATGGAAGGCGGTGCCAGTTGTGGTGCGGATGTGAGGGAGAAAGGACAGCTCAGGGTCGAACAAAACGCCGAGGTTCCTGACTGGCTTTGAGAGGTGGAGAGTGCGGAGCTGATGGTGTCAGCGCCTGAGGTGCGGAGGCGCTGACGTGAGCCAATCAGGAGGGCCTCAGTATTGCACACGTTGAGCTGAAGAAAGTTGTCTCTCGTCCAGGACTCGATGTCGGACAGACAGCTGTCAGGACATCGGTGGTCGTGGAGTTGAGAGTAGAGGAGGAAAGGTAGAGTTGGGTGTCATCCGCATACATGTGGGAGTTAACTCCATGTCTGCGGATGATGTCACCACAGGGGGAGCATATAGAGGGTGAAGAGGAGGGGACCAAGGACAGAGCCCTGAGGGACACTCCATCATGCACAGGATCCAGCTGATCCAAAACTCAGCCGCCAGCATATTCACCCGTACCAAACTCTGTACCCCCATCTCACCAGTTTTAGCCAAACTCCACTTGCTCCCCATCACTTTCAAGTTCCTCACTCATTTTCAAATCCCTTCATACCTGGCACCTCCCAACCTCTCCGACCTGCTCGCCTTCCAACCCACTGTTGTCCCTCATGCCCATTCCACCATCGGTGGCTGCGCTTTCAACCACTACGCCTCGAAACTCTAGAACATTCTTCGTCTATCCCTCCGCTTTGCTCCTTCCTTTCTCATTCTCAGGTCGCATCTGAAGACCTTCCTATTCGAAAGACCTACGGTCACCTCCCTCCCCTCGGCTCGGAGTCGTGCTCCGCCACTGTCAATCACGCTGGGACACTACCCTGCACGTGGGGTGCTGTATTGATATGTTTGTTGTTGTCAGTCAGACTGCCCTCGTTTGATATATCCGGGTGGGCGGCATAGCCCAGGGTGTCCAGGTTTGCCACAGGCAGCATAGAGGATAAGATATAAGAAACAAGGACAAACTGTCTGTCTGACTGATGCTGCCTGACTCTGACAGGTGCTGTGAAGTTTGGGGATGGGCTGCGAGTAGAGGAATGTCGGAGCCTGATCCAGGCGCTGGCGGCCTGCGACCTGCCGTTTCAGTGTGCGCACGGCAGGCCCTCCATCTTGCCTCTGGCAAACCTGGACCATCTGGACACAGAAACACAGGTACCTGCTCAGTATCAGTGCTGCACATGGAGTTTTGTCACCAGTGCGTGCTCTGCAGTCAGTATGTGTGAGAGATGGCAGGTGGGGGAAGAGAGACTGCGCCTGTGTGTGAAATGGGTTGGGGGGGGGGGGGGGAGAAGCGACAGGAGAGGGGGAGAGAGACTGTGTGCGTGAGGGAGACGGGTGATGATGGTGGGGGGAAAAAGATTGTTTGCGTGAGACAGAGGTGAGGGGAGATACACTGTGTGTCTGTGTGTTTGCAAGAGACGTTGTTCTATGAATAAACCCCCAAATTAATTTGTTTGCAACCTGTAACTGTAAGATCTGTTGTTGTTGGCCTTTTAATCCTAGATTCACCTGAAGCCCAATCTACACAAGTTGAGGACGATGCAGCAGAAACATGGAGCACAGGAACTGCTTAATCTGGAATATCACAGCTGAGGCTGCGGCACAGGGAGCAGGGAACCTACAGCTAGGATCCTGTCCCCTTGGGGCGGGCGAGCGAGCACTGAGATGGTGTGAAGTGGAACCTTCCCTCGACAGGAGCTGGACTGAGGCAGTGCTGCCCTGAACATCTTCACTGGCGGAGGCTGAGCTGCGGTATGGATTGTGTTTGTACACCAATCGATTGCTTCGAATTCTGTTTCATCAATTCACGACATTTTATATTAATTTATTAAAATATTTGGGACCTGCTATATCTATTGTGCAAAGGTAATTATCCTGTCTTAGGCTGGCACACAGGAAGCACAGTAAACCATGCAACTCCACACAGTGAGACACTAATGTGGCGATTTCAGGGGGTTTATTGTTTCAGGTCGATGACAGGTTACATTTCATGATCGTCGGGATGGTAAAGCTCACTCATCAGCCGGTAGATGTAGGACGGGGCGTTCCCGCCGATGTTGGAGATAAATAGCGTAATTAGTTCTGGAGGCACATAATCAAAGACTGGAGCGTGCACATTCACTTTAGAGAGAATCTCACCTGCAGAGATGGGAACAGAGGCAGAGACAGTTAGAGAAACGGGAGTCTGGGTTTGGCTGGGGTGAGTGGGGAGGAGTGAGCAGAAGTACCTTCTGTGAATGGCAGAACCTCCTGTGGAGACACAAACTTGTGGAACGTGTTCTCTTCGTCGGGGAACTGCAACAAGGAATATATCAATCAAACATCAGCACAGACACCACTATCACAATGAGAGAGGAGAGTTGATAGGGCAAGGGAGTGAAGTGAAGAGAGACTGAGCGAGGCAAAGATATAAAGTGTCCAGGAACAGAGATGGAGGGAGCAGAGAAAAGAGACACTGAAGCTACCGGTGACGTTGTATGTTCCTACCTGTGGGGAGAGTTTGAACATGGGGGCGCAGACAATAACAGGGGTAGAGTGGTGTCTGGCTGCTAGAGCCAGGGTGTGTGCCCCATTCACTGCTCGCAACCCCCCGTTAGCTAGGATCGTCTTTGTTCCAATAATCACCTGGAGAAAGAGGATATCAGTGCCAGAAATTCACCCCCTCATACAAACCGCCAATCACTCCCCCCCCCCCCATACAGACAACCCCCCCCCCATACAGACAACACCCCTCTACAGTCAAACCCCCACATGCAGGCAACCCCCCACACCCCCCATGCTGACACCACCTCCATACAGATACCCCCCCATACAGACATCCCCATTCAGTGCCCCCCCCATGCTCTACATTCCCCCAAAACAGACATCCCTATTAAACATCAACTTGCATCTATATCGTGTGGGGTAGCGTGTGTGGTAGCGTCTCAGAGCACTTATTCACTCACTCCCATATACACAACTGACACACAGACTCATTCCTAAACCTACACCCCACACTCTGATAAATTCATACACCCCCATACATACACCTTACACCCACTTCATACCTGCACACACTCACCCACCCCTTTCTCACCTTATTAACACGTGACATGACAGCAAAGATGGCAGCATCAGTGATGACACTGGTTTCAATGCCAGCCTTGGAGAGAGTGACAGCCATCTCGTGCCCCTATAGAGACATCAAGAAAGTGCAACACAGAGTTAAGGTAACGGCACACGCAACACTAGGCAGGAGAATTCAAAGGATCCAAGCATTGTCAGTGTAGTGACTGCATTTGTAGGCAAACAAAGCAACCAATTTACACACATCAAATGTCCTAGAAAAAGTCACAGAATATAACTTACACTTATACAATTTGTATATAAGTCTTAAGTATTGGAGTGGAGCTACGGGAGCAGAGTCCTGTAGTTCAGTGGTTAGGGAACTCACCTCACAAGTGAGAGGATCCAGGTTCAATTACCAGACAGAGCGAAACCTTAGGCAAGGTTCCTTGCTCCACATAACCCTGTTTACCTAGCAGTAAGTAGGAACTCATTTGTTAAGTCAATTGGTGGATCACTTTCAGGGGTAATAATCTCTTCTAAAAAATAATAATAATTTGGTCACTCAATCCACAACTGTTTGGGGACACTGCTGTGCAGCTCTGCTGTGAATTGCAGTGTCCCCAAACACTGCTGTTCACTTTACAGTATATTCTGTGGTTTGATTCATCTCAACAACATGATAAGGAGCTATATCTAAATCAAGGATTATTATTATTATATACAGCCTGTCATGCCAGGCAGATAATAATAATAATAATAATAATAATCCTTGCATTTGATATAGCGCTTTTCACGTCGGGAGGACGTCCCAAAGCGCTTCACAGAACACACTGTAAAGTGAATTGACTGTATATTTGTGGGCGAACGCGGCAGCCAATTGCGCACAGCAATGTCCCACAAACAGTCGTAGATTGAAAATGACCAATTTAATTATTGTTTTTGGAGGGATTATTATTAGGCTCTGTGTGGAGTAAGGAAACTTGCCCAAGGTTTCGCCCTCTGCCTGGAATTGAACTCAGGTCTCTCACTTGCAAAGCGAGTGCTCTAACCACTGAGCTACAGGACTCCACGCCAGATGTACCAAAGCGCATTCATAATGTTGGCCACCTGAGCTGGGGAGCAGAAAGATTAACCAAACCTCAGTAAAGGGCATTTTTAGTGCCTTGAAAGCGGGGAGGGAGGGAGCCATAAAGTGAATAACCAACATAGCTGGTGTATTGTTGGGCAGGATTCTGGGAGACACTCCCATTCCAGCATCTTAGACAGCATCTAAGTTTGAGATGTCATGTGATGGTGTCACCTTTGCCAATGCACAGCTCCCCAGCACTGGACACCAGACTCAAAAGTATCCAACACCACAACTTTCTGACCCAGAAGCTACCAAGTTGACATGTACAGGATAACACTGGGAAAGCCAAGTGCCTGAATGCGGGTCCAGGTCACAGCTTACAATCCCCACATTAGGACGACTCCTGATACCCACCTGACAGAACGGTGCACATTCAGCGACGATGACATGAAACTTGCGTTTCCGTGCTGCATCTTTCAGAAATGCCTCGACTGTGCAGGACCTTCCCAACGTCATGATCACCTCGTTTGAGTGGATGTGCTCAAGGGCCTGCATCGCAATGTTATCCGTTGTCCCCTCTGAAAAACAGGAAACAACAGAATGCTGGGGGAGTGGAGCTCTGCCATCATCCAACAGCATCAACCACACCGACCGACCAACCCACCCACCCACACACAATAGTGCCTTTCATGAGGGATGAGCATCACAGATAAAGAGCAGGAAAAGGAAGCATTATTGATGGATGGTTAACAAAGGCATGGTCAGTGGACAAAAACACAGAAAAAGAGTAAGTGAGACAAAGAGAAGGGAACTGCAGAGAATTAATGGATCATGGACAAAGGCGGTCTGGATAAAACTCAGCTTTGGGAGAATCGAGCTCTGAGGTGACCAAAGCATAAAGGAGATTTGACAGAAAAAAGGTGAGGTAAAGGGTTGAGTGGCCAATATTCCTGACGTAAACAACATAACTGAGCAAGGGGACTCATCGTAGGTGTGAGAGAGGTATGTTTTAAAGTAGGATTTAAAGACAGAGATGGGACATTGATAGATGAGAGGAAGTTCCAGAGGTGAGCGATGTACTTATTCACTTGTTCACCAATGGAGGACACGCAGCAAGCCCTGATTATCCGAGTGGAAGGAGCGAACAGAGGAGGTACAAGAAGATCAAAGAGATGGGGGAGGAGGGGGGAGGGGCTTGGGGTGTAAAGTGTTTTTTATTCGCGGGTGAGGACCTTGAAATTGATCTGTTGGGAGACAGTGGAAGCTGACGAAGACCGGGAGGATGGGCATGCAGGTTGGTTCAAGTGGCAACTGAATGAGCTATAGCTCAATGGAACTGGGGAGGATTGTATTAGAGAAGTCAAGTCAGGAGGCAACAAAGATGTGATCGAGGATTTGAGGGAATTTTGTGAGATGTGGATATCGAGACAAGCAATATGTCAAAAGACAGTGATGTACATGACATGGGGGTCAACAGAACACTGAAGGGAAGCAGATACGATTGCCCACTAATTGATTTAGTAACATGGAGCTGGACAGTATAAACGTTTGGCGCTTGGTTTCCACTCACGTACCAAGTTCAGTTAGAAGTTCGTTAATGGCTTCAATGACGTTGGTTTTGAGTGGTGGAAAGTTCATACTAAAATCCTCACTCAGTCCTCCTGATGTCAGCAGCCGGTGCAGTGACTCCTGCTGGTCGCTCTCCTCACTGCGGCCTCGCAGCCTGTGCACAAACAAATAGTAACAGTGAATAGTTATGTGGGCTGTTCAGTACTAGTCCAGAGCAGGTGCAGCGGCAGAAACACAAGACCATAGAGCTCTTTACACAGTCTCAATCCTCATAGACTGTAGGCCTCACTTATAACTAACTCACTAACTCTGTACAACAGGATTCACACACACAAATAACTCACAAACACACACACTGACTCATCCAGGATCGTGAACTTCTAATCATTTGGATCTCTGCAACACATTTTTGTGGGGTGTAGGGGCAGAATGCAGCGACAGGTTAGCTACAAAGACCATATCACTCCACACTCCCAGGTCAGGGTTAGAGACACAGTAACGCTCCCTCTACACTGTGTGTCCACACTCCCAGGTCAGGGTTAGAGACACAGTAACGCTCCTCTACACTGTGCGTCCACACTCCCAGGTCAGGGTTAGAGACACAGTAACGCTCCTCTACACTGTGTGTCCACACTCCCAGGTCAGGGTTAGAGACACAGTAAAGCTCCTCTACACGGTGTGTCCACACTCCCAGGTCAGGGTTAGAGACACAGTAACGCTCCTCTACACTGTGCGTCCACACTCCCAGGTCAGGGTTAGAGACACAGTAACGCTCCTCTACACTGTGCGTCCACACTCCCAGGTCAGGGTTAGAGACACAGTAACGCTCCTCTACACTGTGCGTCCACACTCCCAGGTCAGGGCTGTCTAACCGGTTGTATTCCTCTCGGATAATCTTCATCACGCGTCGGACCATGTTTCCCACCGTGGTCTCCGAGGGCTGAGCAGCCGCCATCCTCCCACCCTCTTTCCGGATCAGCTCCAGTAATTCACCTAAAGCACAAGAAATTGAGGTCATCACCGAGGTCAGCGTCCCCCACACCAGGGTCAGCGCCCTCTTCCCCCCCCATGGTCAGCACCCCCTCCCCCCACCCCCTCCCCCCAGGGTCAGCGCCCCCTCCCCCCACCCTCTCCCCCCATGGTCAGCGCCCCTCCCCCACCCCCTCCCCCCAGGGTCAGCGCCCCCTCCCCCCCCACTTCTCCCCCCCAGGGTCAGCGCCCCCTCCCCCCACCCTCTCCCCCCCATGGTCAGCGCCCCCTCCCCCCACCCCCTCCCCCCAGGGTCAGCGCCCCCTCCCCCCCCACTTCTCCCCCCCAGGGTCAGCGCCCCCTCCCCCCACCCTCTCCCCCCATGGTCAGCGCCCCCTCCCCCCACCCCCTCCCCCCAGGGTCAGCGCCCCCTCCCCCCCCACTTCTCCCCCCCAGGGTCAGTGCCCCCTCCCCCACCCCCTCCCCCCCAGGGTCAGCGCACCTCCCCCCACCCCCTCCCCCAGGGTCAGTGCCCCCTCCCCCCACCCCCTCCCCCCCAGGGTCAGCGCACCTCCCCCCACCCCCTCCCCCCAGGGTCAGTGCCCCTCCCCCCACCCCCTCCCCCCAGGGTCAGCGCCCCCTCCCCCCACCCCCTCCCCCCAGGGTCAGCGCCCCCTCCCCCCACCCCCAGGGTCAGCGCCCCCTCCCCCCACCCCCAGGGTGAGTGCCCCCCCACCCCCCGCCGCCAGGCCGCGCAGCCTCGGCCTCTCCGCCGCTGGCGGTCGGGATGGTACCTGCGTTACTCCATCTGCTCTGAGAGACGATCTTGCGGAGAAGCCCCGCGCTGCTGTTGGCCACCTCCGCGGAGCCGCGCAGTTGCCCGCGTTTCAGACCCAACACAAACGCCTCGATTCGCTCCGACACATCGGACTCCTTATCCGCGGACGGCATCGCGCCCCAAAACAGACCGGTAACACCACCGTCCCCACCGGAAACACTGGAGCGCCATGTTGGTGAGGGGGCGCCATGTTAGTGAAGGAGCGCCATGTTGGTGAGGGGGCGCCATGTTAGTGAGGGGGCGCCATGTTGGTGGGGGGGCGCCATGTTAGTGAGGGGGCGCCTTGTTAGTGAGGGGGCGCCATGTTGGTGAGGGGGCGCCATGTTAGTGAAGGAGCGCCATGTTAGTGAGGGGGCGCCATGTTGGTGAGGGAAGAGTTTCCGTGTGCAGAGTGGGCAGTTATTTGCACGAAGACCAGTCGGTAAAGTCAGACCAGATCAGGACTGACTGGGTGATGGAGATGGGTTTAGTTTGTATATTCCCCGCCGCTATGGGAATGAAAGTCATCGAGGCCCTCCTCCCTGAGCTCTATTCTCACTCTCTTCCTTTCTGCCGTTGATGGCCCATCACCAGAGCCCATACAAACTCTCCTCCAAATCACTTGTCTTTCTGCCTTTCCGTTGACGTTAGAAACATTTTAAACATCATTGCTGTCACTGTGTGACAAGCTTTCCCGCTGCTCGGCCACCCTACCGGCATTGGCATTGGCTGCCGGGTCAACAGGAGAGGATTCCCTGTTGCCAGTGACAGGTCGGCCCTTCCCTGTCCTGACGGCCTGTGCTGTGCTGCCATCAGCAGTGAGTGTCCTGGACTACTGCGGACCCTCAAGGCTCAGGAGACGGACAAGAGATTACCAGAGAGGAGTGGTTCGACTTAACATTCTGACCCCAAATACGTCACCTTGGAGCCAGTTCAGTTCCAAGGAGCCTCTGCCTACCTCCCTGCCCAGGAATAAAGAGCAAAGTGTTTTTGATCTCTTGCTTTGCGTCCACCCTTCATTGACCATTTGCTTTGAGAAGGTTCTTTCTGTGAAAGGATCTGTATAAATCTAAGTTGATGACACACAGAATTTAAAAAATGTAAGGAAACTGAACACTACTTCTTAGTTAACATTTTATTATTGGTTACAAAACACAAAGTAGCTACAAAACCACTTTTCGAAAAGTCTTATACAGATGTCCATCACAGTTTTGACTCAATAAACTGAGAAATACAAGCAATACATGTCAGATAGTTCCAGTGTGTACAGGCTGTGGCTCAGGTGTGAGGCTGTGGTATGGGTGTGTACAGACTGGTATCAGATGCCTCCAGTTATTTGTTCTGTTTGATGAAAGCACTGCAGACAACAGGCACTGAGAGTGGCATTTCAACAACAACAACAATAACAAAATTACATTTGTAATTCACGTCGGGAGGACATCCCAAGGTGCTGCACAGGCAGAGTTTCAGATCCAAGCTGGGGGTTGGGATCGGGGAGGGTGGATCACAGGTGGGAAAGCAGGGAGATCGAAAGCATGGTCAAAGGGGGGAGTCTTGAGATGGATCTTGAAGGAGGCGAGGGGGCAAGGTGGAGGGACTGCGGGATGGAGTTCCAGAGGATGGGGGCAGAGTGTCGGAAGGCCCGCCCGCCAATAGTGGGGTGAGCGAGGCAGGGGACATGAAGCCGGCTGGAGCCCACTGAGCGGAGGGATGGAGCAGAACGGTAGGGGGTTAGGACGTCTCAGAGGTAGGGGGGAGCAGGACCATGGAGGGCTTTGAAGGACCAGGATCTTGAATTGTATCCTCTATGTGATGGGAAGCCAGTGGAGTCGGGTGAGGATGGGGGTGATAGGGTCACGGAGCCTGGTGCGGGAGAGGATGCGGGCTGCAGAATTCTGGATGATCTGCAGCCTATGGTGGGAGCAATTGGGAGGCCGACGAGCAAGGAGTTTGCAAGTCAGACCTCGATGTAATGAAAGCATATATTTCAGTTCTAAGGCTGCGGTGGCACTGGGCTTATCAGCAGTTTATACAAAAGTTGGATCCAGTTGGATGATTTCTAGTTAAACATGAGCTGATTAATGAGCTTTATAAAAAGCAGCAAGCTTCACAATAATATTGGGACATGGTGATCAGCTGCCCGGAGAAGGAATCAAAAACTGCCTTGATATGAATGGCAATGGCAATAAAACATATTTACCAGGCAACCCAACAGCCCCTTTGAGTGACAAATCTTTGCTTCCTCACTGGCCCTGAAGAATAAACACACTACTCATTGCAGCAGTACTGAAGGACCAGGATGACAATTCGATTCTCCATCTGTGTTGGTTTCAGTGAGGGCAGCAGTCAGGGCCCCTGGATTAAAGAGGGGAGGGGGGAAAATCAGGTAGTGTTCCCTCTTCCTAAAGTGCTCCTGTGTAGATGTTTGAAAACAGGATTGGGGCTCATCCTCCATGGTTAAATAACTTAAGTTGAAGGAAGCTCATTTGAAGAATGGCCAAAGTACTGGAGACATGTGTTGCCTGTGGGAGTATCTCAGAAAGAGTTAAACAAGTTGCTGTGGTTGTATTTTAAAATTTTGAACCAGATAGTGAAAGGCATACACTATTCTAATTTTGTGTAGTTGCCCGGGAGCAACGCATGGGATATTAGGAGAAGTCTTGGGCCGTTTACCTTCAAAGGGATATTCAGGTGTTTGGAGAAGAACAATAAAGTTGATTCTGGAACTTGGACTTTAACTTTTGGGTAGAGGATCACAGAACTGCACTTGTTCTCATTACGACAAATATAGAAGAGAACATGATCCAGATCTTAGAAATGTTGAGTTGTAAAAATGATGCTGCCCATGAAAAAGCTGTTTTAATGAAGATGGTGAGAGCAGAATGAGAGACACAGGTTTAACCTTCAGAATCCTACAGCAACACTACAGCTAACAAAATCAGTTGATGTTCCATTAACTTCTTAAAAGCAACACAGGGAGACTGGCTAGGAATGGTACTGGAGGATGTGTGTGTGGAGTATTGGTGACTGGATTTTAGTATAGAGAAATCTAGAGTGATGCATGGAGGAAAAAAATGATCATATGTTTAAAAAAAATGAGTAATGGAAATCTTAAATTTATCAAATAGAATCAAAATGATTACAGCATAAGTGGATACCATTCAGCCATCATGTCTGTACTGGTGCTTGCTTCACCAATGGAGCTCTCTACTCAAATCCCATTTCCCTACTGTTTCCCCAGTACTGTACTGGTGCTTGCTCCCCATTGGAACTCTCTAATCCCATTTTCCTGCTCTTTCTCCATCGTGTTGATGGTGGTTCTTGTCTTGCCACCCAATTGGAGCTGCCTACTTTAATCTCATTCTCCTATTCTTTCCCCATCATAGCTGTACTGGTGTACTCAGCCTTATGCAAATCTTCGCATCTCTGATCTTCAATAACCCCACTATTATGCTCGACCCCTCCATTGCTGCGTGTCTCCCACCCCCTCACGTCTTCATCAGCCAAGCATTCAGATTCTGTACCCCTAACCTCCAGGACTCCCTCTCCCCATCAGTCTAGTTCCCTCTCCATTACTTTAAATCCTGTCTAAAATCCTACCTTAACGGCAACTATGGTCAACTCCTCCACCATCCTACGCTCCCCCATGCTTGCCATCCCATCCTGTCTTTGTAAAGCACTCTGAGGTGTTATCCTATCTGAAGGACTCACTCCGCTATTGGAATTTCATTCCCTGCTCTTTTGTGTCTGTACTGGTTGACGAGAGATTTTTTAAATGATTTGTGTTTTTATTGTCAATAGGTATAAATTATTTCCACCGGTCAAAAGATCAGACTAGAGGGCGTCATTTTAAGATATTAGCAAAGGAGGAAGATTCTGAGGAATGTTTTTCACACCGAGGGTTGTTAGGATGTGGAATGCCCTTACGTGGGCGATGGTCGAGGATCCATGTCAGCTTTCAAGAAGGAACAAGATAGATATCTAAACAGCAGTAAATTGTAGGGATATGGTGGGGAGGAGGCAGGTAAATGGGACTGAATGGATTTTCTCTCAAAGAGTAGCACAGACACAATGGCCTTCTTATGTGTTGTACATTTCTGTGGTGCTAACTGTAGCTCTGATCTAAATCCTATTCCCCTACTCTTTCTCCGAACCCTTTGATTTTAGAATTTATCCAATTCGCCATTGGTTACAATAGTCATTTGTGGTAAAGCATTTCACAATTAACAATTTTCTGTGAAAACATTTCTTCTGGCATCGCGAGTATGACAAGCGCTCGCTGTCCCAGGCCAGGCCCAGGCTATCTGCACCCTCCAGCTGTACACACAGCTCCCCACGTCAGCTGCCTTTACCTTTCTCCGTGCTGGGGGGCGTGAGCTCCTGCACCACGGTGGGCACAGGGAGGAAGAGGCCGAGGAGCCAGTGGCTGCCGAACACGTCATGCAGGTTGGCACCCCAGGGTGTGCGGCGCACCACAAGACCTTTCCTCACTTGATACCAGGTGTGCCCCCGAGCGACCAACAACAGCTGCTGGCAGCAGAACCCGGTGCAGGTCAATCCGATCCCTAACCAGATATAGAGCATCAGGACCAGGAAGAGCTGGAAGGAGGGGATGGTGCCAAAGAAGAAGTAGACGAAGGAGAGAGGAAGGAGAGTGAGGAAGGTGAGCGGGTTGTGGAAGGAGAGCTGGTATTCGACACTCAGGTAAGCCACACCCAGCACCAGGGAGTACAGGCAGACCAGCGAGGTGTACAGCCCGAACATCAGGAAGTAGCGCATGTTCCTGTCGCCGATGCAGTTGGCGGTGAAGAAGCAGTGGTGATCCCGCCGCAGTATGAGCTTACTGCAGAGTTTACAGAAGTGGCTGCCAGGCTGTCTCTCCCCTCCTTCAGGGCAGCCCCGGATACTGCTCTGCAAACACTCAGAAGGGAACCACAGGATCAGGAAGTAGTTTCCCAGCACATTGGCAGATATGTAGAGGAAGAAACAGATGTGAGCGGCGCGGGAGCAGAGCACCTGAGAGGCAGGAGCTTCAAACAGGGTGGGAATGAAGAGGGAAAGCTGCAGCACCATGGTGGTACCAGAGACACCCAGGAAATAGGAGGGAGCGACAGCATTCAGGATCCTCAGTCTCAGCATCTTCAGTCAGTCAGTCAGTCAGGCCGCCTGCAACAAGCAAATGCCAATCATCAGAGCACATTGCAGCTAAAGCCTTCAGTCTGGATCATGGACCCCAGGGTGGGGCACGTCCCCAGCTCTGTGTCTAGCCTGGATCCACCGCAGGATATGGAGGTAGCTCTGTATCTCAGTGCATCTTTCATAGAATCATACAACAACAACAAAATGACATATGTAAAGCGCCTTTCATGTCGGGAGGACGTCCCAAGGCGCTGGACAGACAAGGTTACAGACCTGAGCTGGGGGTCGGGGAGGGTGTAGGGCAGGTGGAGAAGCAGGGAGATCGAAAGCACGGTTGAAGAGGAGGGTCTTAAGATTAGCCTTGAAGGGCAAAGGAGGGGGTGAGGCAGAGGGACTGCAGGATGGAGTTCCAAATGGCGGGGGCAGAGTGGCAGAAGGCCTGCCCGCCAATAGTAGGGTGAGTGAGGCGGAGACTTGAAGCAGGCCGGAGCCCGCTGTGGAGGGAGCGAGCAAGATGGTAGGGGGTTAGGAGATCGGAGAGGTAGGGGGAGCAAGACCACGGAGGGCTTTGAAAGTGAGGACCAGGATCTTGAACTGTATCCTCTGTGTGATGGGAAGCCAGTGGAGTCGGGCAAGGATGGGGGTGATAGGGTCACGGAGCCTGGTGCAGGAGAGGACAAGGGCTGCAGAGTTCTGGATGATCTGCAGCCTGCGGAGGGAGAGTTGGGGAGGCCGATAAGCAATGAGCTTGCATAGTCAAGCCTCGATGGAATTGAAAGCATGTATGAGGGTTTTGACGGCCTGCGGTGTGAGACAATGGCGGAGCCGGGCAAATACAGCACAGAAGGAGGCCATTTGGCCTTTTTTGAAAAGCCGGCTTTTTGAAAAGAGCTTCCAAATCAATCCCACCCCCCACTCTCTCCCCATAGTCCTGCAAACTTGTTTTCCCCAATAATTATCTACTCTCTTAAAAGTTGTTATGGAATCATATTCCACCAGCCTTTCAGGCAATGCCCAACAACTCACTGCATGAAAACATTTCTCCTCACCTCCCCTGTTATTTTTAACAACTATTTTAACTCGGCGTCCTCGGGTTACTGACCCACCCATCAGTGGGAATAGTTTCTCCTTCTTCACTCTATCGAATCTGCTCCAAATTCTGAAAACTCTATTAAAAAAAAACAATAATAAATTGGTCATTTTCAATCCATGACTGTTTGTGGGACACTGCTGTGCGCAATTGGCTGCCACGTTCGCTCACAAATATACAGTCAATACACTTTACAGTATATTCTGTGAAGCGCTTTGGGACATCTAGAAGACGTGAAAAGCGCTATATAAAATGCAAGGATTATTATTATTATTATTAAATCTCCTCTTAACCTTCTCTGTTCCAAGGAGAATAATCCGAGCTTCTCGAGCCTCTCCTGATAACTGAAGTCCCTCATTCCTGGTACCATTCTGGTCAATCTCCTTTGCACCCTCTCCAATGCCTTGACATCCTTCCTAAGGTGTGGGGCCCAGAACTGAACACAGTCTCTAACTGAGGCGTAACCAGTGGTTTATATAAAGGTTCATCATAACTTCCTGACTGTTGTATTCTATGCCCCTATTTATAAAGCCGTGTATCCCGGATGCTTTTTTAACAGCTGTATCTACCTGTCCGGCCACCTTCAAAGATTTACTATATGAACCCCCAGGTCTCTCTGTTCCTTCACCCCCTTTAAGATTGTACCATCAGCTTATATTGCCTCTCATTCTTCCTCCCAAAATTCATCACTTCTGTGGAGTCCTGTAGCTCAGTGGTTAGAGCACTCGCTTTGCAAGTGAGAGACCTGAGTTCAATTCCAGGCAGAGGGCGAAACCTTGGGCAAGTTTCCTTACTCCACACGCCTAATAATAATCCCTCCAAAAAAAAAAAAACAATAATTAAATTGGTCATTTTCAATCTACGACTGTTTGTGGGACATTGCTGTGCGCAATTGGCTGCCGCGTTCGCCCACAAATATACAGTCAATTCACTTTACAGTGTGTTCTGTGAAGCGCTTTGGGACGTCCTCCCGACGTGAAAAGCGCTATATCAAATGCAAGGATTATTATTATTATTATATATTACTTCACATTTCTCCACATTAAACATCATCTGCCACGTGTCGGTCCATTTTCTCAATCTCTCTATGTCGTCTTGCAGTCTGCTGCTATCCTCCTCATGTTTACTACTTTCCTCGCTTAGTATCATCTCCAAACCTGGAAATTGTCCTCCCTGTACCCAAGTCCAGGTCATTTATATAGATTAAGTGGTCCCAATACTGATCCCTGTGGGACACCACTGCACACTTCCCTCCAGTCAGAAAAAAAACCGTTCACCACCACTCTCTGCTTTCTGTCTCCCAGAGAGTTCTGTATCCATGCTTTGGCTAAATTTAATCTCCCATTATTATGACCTGTTAATAATAATAATAATCCTTGCATTTGATACAGCGCCTTATCACGTGTTTGAGATTTCTCAAAGCGCTTCACAGAATATACTGCAAAGTGAATTAATTTTGAGAGTGAAACGTGGCAGCCAATTGCACACAATAGTGTCCCACAAATAGTCGTGGATTGAGTGACCCAATTATTATTTTTTAAGAGATTATTATCCCCAGAAAAGCGATCCGCTAATCGACTAACAACCAGGTTCCTACTTACTGCTAAGTAAACAGAGCATGTGGAGTAAGAAAACTTGCCCAATGTTTCGCCCTGCCTGGAAATCGAACCCAGGTCCTCTAGCATGCGAGGCGAGTGCTCTAACCACTGACCAACTCAACAATTCACTTCTCACATTGCACTTCTCATATCCCTCAATCCATTTCTTTACCAAATATCTAATTCCCTCTGAGAAGTTGTTGACATAGTCTGCAGCTCTGGTTAGTCTATTCCACACCCTTAGGGCGAAACCTTGGGCAAGTTTCCTTACTCCGCACGACTAATAATAATCCCTCCAAAATAAAACAATAATAAATTGGTCATTTTCAATCCACGACTGTTAGTGGGACATTGCTGTGCGCAATTGGCTGCCGCGTTCGCCCACAAATATACAGTCAATTCACTTTGCAGTGTGTTCTGTGAAGCGCTTTGAGATGTCAAGAAGACGTGAAAAGTGCTATATCAAATGAAAGGATTATTATTATTTATTATTATTAGTAAGTAATTACAAGTAATTACAAATAATTACATTTGAACTATCTGTTCACCTTCCCTCTTCTGAGTTCGACTCTGCTCCCTGGCTATAGAGTCAGTGACTGCATTAAACATATTAGGGTTATCTATATGATCTTGAATATTTAAGTAACAATACTCGCCTTAATCTCTTCTCCAGAAACCAACATTCCCAGTGTTTCCTCAGAGCTCAGATACCTAGTTGCATTGCTGTTCTGTTAAACCCTTCTCATTTCAGGCACTGATAGCATTGATCTGGATGGATTCATACTTCATCTCACAGACAATGCTAAACCTCAGAGTCCAGTTCACTCCCCAAGCCTTATACTGAGCTTCACGTTTCCTCCCCATCCTCAGGCAGCCAAGACCAAATTCACAACATTATCATGTCCAGCTTCTCCCTCCATAGGTTGGCAACATTCAGAATGAGGCAGTCTGTGTCTTGTGCTGCATCAAACTCTGTGAGCCTCTGACCCCCCGCCCCCCGTTTCCCAGTAGATCAAAACCAACATTCTCGTCCTCACATTGCAGTCCCCCCATGGTTTCTCCCTCTCTCCCTCTGCTGTTACCCCACCTGCTCCCACCATTCAGTAAACACAGCTGCTTCATTTCCTTCAGAAAACCTGTTCCATCACCAGCAGCGAGCTTTCAGCTGTTCCCAGTTGACTCTGTGAGACTTTGAGATGTCCTCCCAATGTGAAAGGCGATGATTAAATACTAAATTGTTGCTTATTGCGGATAGTAATAACAATCCTTGCATTTAATATAGCGCCTTATCACGTCTTCGAGACGTCTCAAGGCGCTTCACAGAATATATTGTAAGGTGAATTGAGTGTATATTTGTGGGTGAAACACGGCAGCCAATTGATTGGCACTATCAGGTAAACATGGATCAGTTGCACCAAACCTCTCCTGAAAACAAAGTTTTTATTCCCACTATTTTTTGTTCCTCTGTCTCATCACTCTGTGTTTGTCCAAACTGAGCGGTGGGTCACTTCTCAGCCCAATTCCCTCATCTATTCAGATTTGCTCAGTCATTCACCGTTATTTTGCTACTCCCCAGTGTGGTATTACCAACCAATGTGGGAGGCACTAACACATCATAAATAGACAATATAATACACAGCCTCTCTCTCGCACTCTCTCTCTCTCTCTCTGGACAATATTTGTCTATTTATGATTTGGAAATCAAACAAAGAATATCTCTCAATTTCTCCCCCTCTCTCCCCCCTTAGTTTCACGGGGTCTGTCTGCCCCCCAATAGCTTCTCCCCCCCCACCCCCCACCGCCTGTCACACAACCCTCTGCTTTACCCCATCAACATTAGCCTTAAACCGCAACCTCCCGGTGTGTGGCGGACCCCCGCACAGCGGCCATCTTCATGGCTCAACAACAACAACAACAACAGCCGCCGCCGCCGCCGCCGCGCCCCTTACGGATTGGGGTCTCCGTCCCGGGGTTTGGGGTCTCCGCGTTGATGTTCTTTGTGAAATCCGCTCCATCACTGCGCGTTAACCTCCGCCTCTCCCTCTCTCTCTGATCATCAGAGGAACCAAAGGACTAAACACTGTGTCTGAAACAGCAAAGCCCTTCAGCCCCAACGATCAGCTTTACCCTCAAACCATGTTCTCGCGTCAGTTCTCGGTATATTTGTGCTGTGTTACTCTCTGTTGTGTGTGCAGCTCCATGTCAGTCAGTCGGTCTGTCTATCAGTCTGTCTGTCTGTCTGTCTGTCTATCTATCTGTCGGTCGGTCGGTCTGTCTATCAGTCAGTCAGTCAGTCAGTCTGTCAGTCAGTCTGTCTGTCTGTCAGTCTGTCTATGGCTGACCTTCGCGCACACACATCAGGAGGTTTGTGAGATGGAGGCGCTCGGCTGTCAGTGTGAGATCCCCGGACCGGACTGTCACAGTGACGGTGTGGCCTCCTGTACCGGGTCCAGAGGCTCTGCTTTTAACTGCAGCCCAGACCCGCCTCCCCGCCTCCCGACTCCCCGGCCCCGCTGTCACAGCCTGTGGGGGGGGAGGGGAGGGGGCTCCACAGCCCGAACCACAGAGCGGACCACCTACGGGAGATGCGGAGCTTTCAATACGACCCTCGGCATCAGGTACCCGATACACTGAGAGGCACTCAGTGCGAGAGACCAACACACAGTGAGTGACACACACACACACACCTATACACACAGAGACACACACACAGAGACACACACACACAGACACACACACACACACATACCTATACACACACACACACACAGAGACACACACACAGAGACACACACACACAGACACACACACACACATACCTATACACACACACACACACACAGAGACACACACACATACCTATACACACACACACACACAGACACACACACACATACCTATACACACAGACAGACACACACACATAGACACACACAGACACACACACACACACAGGCATAGATATACACACACACATAGAGAGAGACCCATCCACACACTGAGGGACACAGACACAGATTGTGCCTCCAATCACGACGCCATACAGTAGAAATGTATAAAGAGCTTAACTCGGTGTCTGGATCACAGACTGCGGCTCCGCTCCTCTCCGCCGCCTCCGCTCCTCGTGTCTGAGCCGCAGTCCGGGGGGGGGGGGGGGGGGGGAGATCTCACACAGACAGACAGACAGACAGACTGCTGCCGCCTCCACTGACAGCCCCTGTCACTGCCTTCAAGTGGGATTGGATAGAAACTTGTAGACTAATGGGAAAGGCTTTAGAGAGAGAGAGAGAGAGAGCAGGGAATGGGTTGGAGTACAGAGCTCAGTGGGGGAGCAGCCGCAGCACTATGGAGAAGGATTAAAGTCTCATCTCCACCTGTGCAGTACATCCCCGAGTTGGCACCAACACAAACTGACTGCCCTGTGTTACAATTACTGTCATATTACGCTCACACCAATGAGACAAGAAGGTACAGGGTCACCTCGAGGCTGAACTGGCTCCTAAGTGACATGGTTTATATCACTTCCCCACATCTAAGCCCTGACCCGCTCTGCCTTCCCTCACCTCCGTAACATCGCCTGACTCCGCCACTACCTCACCCCTCAGGCCGCTGAAACTCTTGTTCATGCCTTCATCACCTCCAGGCTCGACTATGCAAACGCCCTCTTGTCGGCCTTCCCAAATCCTCACTCCACAGACTGTAGATAATCCAGAACTCTGCAGCCCGTGTCCTCTCCCGCACCAAACTCCATGACTCCATCTCCCCTACTCTCGCCCGACTCCATTGGCTCCCTATCCTTCAGAGGATCCATTCAAGATCCTGGTCCTCACCTACAAAGCCCTCCATGGTCTCGCCCCACCCTACCTCTGCGACCTCCTAACCCCCTACCAATCCGCCCACTCCCTCCGCTCAGCTGGCTCCGGCTGCTCCACGTCCCCCAACCCACCCACCCCACTATTGGCAGGAGAGCCTTCAGCCACTCTGCCCCCAACCTCTGGAATTCCATCCCCCATCACTCCGCCTTGCCCCCTCCTTAGCCTCCTTCAAGTCCTTCCTCTTCGACCATGCCATCAGCCACCCCCCTCACCCTCCCCTCCTTTCTCCCTCCCTGACCCCAGCTCGGGTCTGAAATGCTATGCAATGTCCAGTGCCTTGGGATGTCCTCCCGACGTGAAAGGCGCTATACAAATGCAATGTCATTGTTTTTATAATGGAATGTCAGAATTGAGCCCAGCCTCTGTGGCAGTCTCTGTAGTTCAGTTTCTGAGCCAGGTGGGTCCATAGTATTCCAGGGCACTCACTGCTGATGACAGCACAGCCCAGCCTGGCACATCAGTAGGACTTGGAAGAGCAGAGCAGTCACTGGGAGGAGGGAATCCTCCCACTCAACTCCTGTTAATCCTGCAAGTCAAAGCCCTCACGGGTAGAGTGGTTCTACCTGGACATGAAGCGGGAAAGCTTGCCAGACAGCGATATCAATGCCAAGTTATGTGGGTTTAGCCGTTAGGTTCCATCAGTTTCCCTAACATACACTCTGGGGTCCCCAAGCTTTGGCTCTTGCCAACCTGTGCCAATATTCGCAGGAGTTTGGTAAACAGGATGCATTCCTCCAGGTATACATTATATTCCAATCCAGGAATTTCTTTGCACAGGTGGGAAGAATGGAGCTCTCAGTTTGGTTGGGATACTCAGCTTGAAGATGGGTTCTGCGTGTGTTAGCTGACCAAACAGAATACAATGGGGATCTCAGGAACAATTATACCTTGTCCTGAATATGTGAGAATATTACTGCGACTCTCTGCTATGTAGTGGGGCTGACAATCAGTGATGCAGGAGATGAGGGGCGAGCTGTGGTGTCACAATCAGGCAGATTGTGAGTGGCTAATGTGCAGTGTCTGTTCACGGAGCCAGAGCTCCTCTGAGTGTCATTAGGTGAATGGAGCTATTAGAACAATCTACAGTTATGTAGCAACTTTCCCATCAAGACGACATCTCTAATCACTTCAGACAGCTGACTGGGAGCTGAGCTGGTGGGAGGAAGGTGACCGGTAGGAAAGGTAGTTCTTTAGACAGGCTTTAAAGGAGGGGAGGCTGAGGGCGAGGGCAGGGCGGAGGAACTCCCAGATGCAGTTCCAGAGAAAGGGAATTGGTGGAAAGTTTGCCATGATGGGGATTGGCTGGGGTGGAAGACATGGAGCAGGCCCATGTTAGTTGGGTAGCGGATGCAGCAGGGTTGCCGGTGTTCATAGAGGTCGGTGGGGAAACGCCACAGAGGGTTTTGAATAACAACTTGGATTTATACAGCAGCCCTTCATGTGGGGTAGCAAAATTGATAGCTGCGTTTGTCCACAAAATTCACATCCCTTTTATTGTCACTTAGAGGAGGAGGTGGACACTGATGCCTTACAGCAGTGGATCCAACCTTCTGGCTGCCGGGTTCCCTATTTGAGAAATGTCCGCGAGCAGCATAATCAATATTTTTTGTTTCCCCTCCAGAAACATAACATTTACACAGCTCCTTTATCACGTTGGAAGGACGTCTCAAAGTGCCCCAGGAGGGAGGGAGGGAGTCCCCGCGGGTGGGAGGGAGGGAGTCCCGGTGGTTGGGAGGGAAGGAGGGAGGGAGCCCCGGGTGAGTGGTAGGGAGGCAGTCCCGGCGGGAGGGAGGGCGCCCCGGATGGGCAGCTCATTATCTGGCAAAGCAGCCACTCACCAGGGGAGACTGCTCTGATGGCCCCGCGCTGCCTGCCTCGCTATGTTGGCAGCGGCAGGAGAACCACTTGCCTTCCCCTCAGCTTCAGTATGGACCCAACAACATTCTCCCTGTGAGCAGCAGTGAATATGTGGATATCAGAATGGCTGGTGCCATCCACACACCCACTGGTGCTCACAGGGAGAATTGAGTGTTACTAGCTCCCCCCCCCACACTCCCCCAGTGAAGCTCTCTCTTCTAATCTCATTTATTGTAATATAGTATTATTATATAAGGCAATGGAAAGAATAGGCGAAAAATCATTTGATAAGATACTCTGAATTCATTCCATAGGTGCTTTATATCCAGTGATTAGAGGAACCAGTCTCAAATGAATTAGATGTAACCAGGACTGTGGAGTCCTGTAGTTTGCAAGCGAGACCTTGGTTCGATTCCCGGCAGGGAGAAACCTTGGGCAAGTTTCCTTACTCTACACGACTGATAATAATCCTTCAAAAAAAAATAACAGTTTGGTCGCTTCAATCCACGACTGTTTGTCGGACGCTGCTGTGCGCGATTGGCTGCTGCGTTTTGCCCACAAATATACAGTCAATTCACTTTACAGCATATTCTGTGAAGCGCTTTGAGACGTCGAGAAGACGTGAAAAGCGCTATATCAAATGCAAATAATATATTATTATATAAGTTAGGGCTTGTTTTCACACTGTTATTTGTATCTGCAAACAGAATGGTCAAACATTTCCCACTGCAACAATTTGTTACTTGTACTTTGCTTTACTGCTATTCCTACGAAATCTGCAGATTCTTATTGTCATCCTCTCAAAGCTGTCCCATTGCTTTGTTCTGGGACGTCCTCCCAATGTGGAAGGGGCCAAAGAAATGTAATTTTTTGTTGTTATTGTTGGTGTTGTTGGTGTGTGCTGGAGCCAGAATCAGGGTCTCCTCCGTGGAATTACACAATGATATGGCGTATGAACAGGCGTTCAGCCCAACTAGTCCCACCCTGTAGGTTACAACAGTAACTTGCACTTATATAGCGCCCTCCACACAGGGCAGAGTCTCAGAACAGTTGTGCCAAGGAAGCAAAAAAGAATGCAGCAGCCCTTCACCATCATCACCAGCCCCTCACCATCATCACCAGCCCTTCACCATCATCACCAGCCCCTCACCATCATCACCAGCCCCTCACCATCATCATCAGCCCTTCACCATCATCACCAGCCCTTCACCATCATCACCAGCCCCTCACCATCATCATCAGCCCTTCACCATCATCACCAGCCCTTCACCATCATCACCAGCCCCTCACCATCATCACCAGCCCCTCACCATCATCACCAGCCCCTCACCATCATCACCAGCCCCTCACCATCATCACCAGCCCTTCACCATCATCACCAGCCCCTCACCATCATCACCAGCCCCTCACCATCATCACCAGCCCTTCACCATCATCACCAGCCCTTCACCATCATCACCAGCCCCTCACCATCATCACCAGCCCTTCACCATCATCACCAGCCCCTCACCATCATCACCAGCCCTTCACCATCATCACTAGCCCTTCACCATCATCACCAGCCCATCACCATCATCACCAGCCCTTCACCATCATCACCAGCCCCTCACCATCATCACCAGCCCTTCACCATCATCACCAACCCCTCACCATCCTCACCAGCCCCTCACCATCATCACCAGCCCTTCACCATCATCACTAGCCCTTCACCATCATCACCAGCCCATCACCATCATCACCAGCCCTTCACCATCATCACCAGCCCCTCACCATCATCACCAGCCCATCACCATCATCACCAACCCCTCACCATCCTCACCAGCCCTTCACCATCATCACCAGCCCCTCACCATCATCACCAGCCCTTCACAATCATCACCAGCCCCTCACCATCATTACCATCATCACCAGCCGCTCACCATCATCACCATCATCACCAGCCCCTCACCATCATCATCACCAGCTCCTCACCATCATCACCCGCCCCTCACCATCATCATCACCATCATCACCAGCTCCTCACCATCATCACCAGCCCCTCACCATCATCATCACCATCATCACCAGCCGCTCACCATCATCACCATCATCACCAGCCCCTACCATCATCACCACCAGTCCCTCACCATCATCACCATAACCATTATCATCACTAGAACCATTGTCATCATCACAATCAGCATCATCATCAGCATAACCATCTTCATCACCATAACCATCTTCATCACCATCATCATCACCATCATCATCACCAGCCCCTCACCATCATCATCACCATCACCAGCACCTCACCATCATCACCACCATCACCAGCCCCTCACCATCATAACCATCATCACCAGCCCCTTACCATCATCACCACCAGTCCCTCACCATCATCACCATAACCATCATCATCACTATAACCATTGTCATCATGACAATCAGCAATATCAACATCATCACCATAACCATCATCATCACCATAACCATCTTCATCACCATCATCATCACTATCATCATCACCAGCCACTCACCATGTACTTTTTTGCTTGTGTTTTTCTCACTCTGATCGAGTAGAATTTAATTAGTTTCTTGTATCTTGAGATGAATAAGATCATTGCTGATCATATATTATGGAAAGGGTGGAAGCTCATGATATTAATTCCTTGTGTTTGATACAACACCTTTCATTGGGAGGACGTTTCAAAGCGTTTCACAGGATTTACTCTTTAGTGAAGTAACTGTGTATTTTGTAGGTGAACCTTGTACTGTCCTGCACATTGGGACATCCTGATGTGAAAGGCGCGATATCAGAAAAGAACAATTCCCAACTCCTTTTGCATTGTTCCGAAGGATTTTCAACGTCCAACTAACAACAGTTTGGTTTAACATCTCATCCAAAGGAAGGCACCTCTGATAATGCAGCACAAGGCAGCTTTGCACTGGAGTGTCAGCCTGGATTATAGATTTCATAGATTCATAGAATGTTACAGCACAGAAGGAGGCCATTCGGCCCATCGAGTCTGTGCTGGCTCTTTGACAGAGCGTCACTTTCACTAACCCCAATCACCAGTTTTCTCCCCATAACCCTGCAAACCTGTCTTCCCCAGATATTATGTGAGTTCTAAGTCCCAATGTGGGGTTTGAGCCTACAACCTCAGGCAAGAGTGCTACCAACTGATTGAGGCTGACACAGTGGAATACAAATAATGTTGCCTTCAAGTTGGGCCAATTGGCCTGTTTCCCTGTTGTATGTGCTGTTTGTGTTCAGGGCTGTGTTTTTTTGGATCTGCATTTTGCTGTTTGTTCATCATTTGGTGTGAGAGCTCCAGGGTTGGTTCCAAACCACTGAATAGCAACTCAGAGCTGATCAGGATCCCAGGTTTGCCTGCAGTGGTGGAGAGGCAATTACAACTAATTGCTTTGCTCTGCAGCTTGTGTCTTGCTGACTCACTTGCACTCAGAGGTACACTGTGCAGTACATTTGCAGTGACAGGATCATTACTCACCACTGTACTGTAGTAGCCTGCGGGTGAATCAGCGATTGGCAGCACTTTGCCTGCAGCCACACAAGCTGTGAGAAATCAGCAGTGGGGAGGTCCTTTGCTTATTACTGAACCAACAGACATCTGTGCAGTGCTGAGGAGAGAGCAGTCAGGAGCGGAGTCTATACAGTGTTCCTGCATCGTCAGACCCTTCGAGACTCCGCGCATTCCCTGATCCCTGTGTGTGTTCCTGGCCGAGGCTGACTGTTGGTGTGAGTACAGGGAGTGCATGTTCCTCAGTCAGTGCTGGAGCTGCAGCACATCTCACACTTTCTCTTTATTCAGAAGGCGTGTGAGTGAGGGCTTGTCAGCTGTGGCCCAAAAGCTTGTGTTTTTATATATTTTCTCCTTCCTCCCCCACATTCTCTCTCCCACTCCTTCGCTCCCATGCTTTGCTACCAGCCTTTCCTTATCCCCCCCTTTACCTCTCCCCACCCTACAATGTACCACTTGCCCCCAGGCCGCTGCTGTAGAATTTTGCTCAGTGTTTGCCAGGCCTTGGGTGGCTCAGGGGGTAAGTTACTGTTATGTGGTGTGTCTCAGCTCAGTGAATGCTGAGTGAGCTCCCAGTGCAGGTGATCACAAGATGGGATCTCGACTGATCTCTGTCTGGGCTTTGGATTCCACTCCTGATCATTAACCAGAAACTGCTGGAAGGTGCACGTGTGGCCCTCAGGGTCCCAAATTCTCTGTTTTAGGCTTAAGCAAATGCTTTAAAAATACCTAATTTTGCAAATGAATTTTTCAGTGTTAAATTTTGGAACTCCATCCCGCAGTCCCTCCGCCTCGCCCCCTCCCTTGCCTCCTTCAAGACCCATTTCAAGACCTTGCCTTCGATCACCCTGCTTCCCCCGCTGGCCTCCACCCTCCCTGATCCTGACCCCCAGCTTGGATCCGAAATTCTGACTATTTGGGACGTCCTCCCAACGTCAAAGGCGCTTTACACATGTAATGCTGTTGTTAATTTGAAGGGCGTTTCCATCGTTAAAAAAAACTAGAAAAACATCCTGAATTTAAAACTTTTTCAAAATTTAGCACAATCTCCCTTTTTATGATGATGGTCATCAGTCCACAAATCTGAGAAATTTAAGGCCTCAACGAGGATAGAATTCTGCTCATCTGCAATACTGACACTTGCTTCCAGTCTCACAACAACAACAAATTGCATTTATTTAGCGCCTTTCACATTGGGAGGGAGTTCCAATGTGTTGGACAGTGAGGTTTGTACCAAAGCTGGAGGATGGATTAAGAGGGGTGGGGAGCCAAGGGGGTGGGTGGGTTGATGGGAAGATAATAATAATGCTTGCATTTGATATAGTGCCTTATCAAGTTGAGACGTTGCAAAGCGCTTCACAGAATATACTGTAAAGTGGAGTGACTGTGTATTTTGTGGGCGAGACACAGCAGCCAATTGGTGTTGATCGAGCAGCAGTGTTGATCGAAAGCGAGGTCAAAGAGGAAGGTCTTGAGGCAGAACTTGAGGGAAGGGGCGAGGTAAAGGGACTTCGGGATGGTTACCAGAGGATGGGGAATAGAAAGGCTGAAGGCTTGACCACCATTGGTGGGGTAGGCAGGGCGGGGCCTGCTGAGCAGAGTTGGGGGGTGGGAGGGTTTTACAGGGTCCAGAAGTAGAACTGGAAAGATTTAAAAGTGAGGTCGAAGATCTTGATCTCTGGGAAGTCAGTGAAGCCAGGCAAGAACGGGAGCGATACGCTCATAGGCCTTGTTTTCATGAGAGAAGGTGTAAGAAAAGAATTCCATTGTAGGATAAGTTTGCAAACAATCTGTATAGGGAAGGGAATTATCAGCGCCTGTGTGTGTGTGTGTGTCCGTGTGTGTTGCGCACAGGGCACAGCCTGCCTCTGGTTCTAATTAAATTGAGTTTGTGCAACTTGTTTAGTGCATTTCTATGTTTGTGCTTTCAGTGATGTTTAATTATTGATTTCAAAATAAATCTCCCACCTGGTGGTGTCGGGCCTGAGTACAATTGGACTCCACCTGTAAAACGTGCTGAGATATCTGTGTATGTTATATATATAACATAGCAGGGTCCAACTGGAGTATCTGACTTTCCTCCCTCACCTCCATTTGCTTTAGTTTGTAGCACAGAAGTGATACATTGCTGTAACCCAAGCTGAGAATGGAGCTTACCCACTCCTCGTGCTCCCATCGTCTGTGTATAACAGGTGATGTGACTCAGGAATGCTCTGCACTGTGGCGATGGTCGAGAGTGGATGTTGGGGCAGCAGGAGGGGCAGGGAAACCTTGTGCTGGCTCCTGGAACCAGGCCTCTGCTGAGATCGGGCCTCTCCTGGAGCACCATAAAGCCCATGAGAATTTCAGTGACATCAGCGAGGGGAGGGGAAGTCAGCACTAAACTTGGTAAATGGAGACATCTGACCACACCTAGAACCAGAAGACCTTAACTATAACTTTCTTTTCAAACCATTCAAGCCTTGAAACCAGCTGACCTGTTACCTGTTCACTGAGAGCCCCCTAAGCAAACCATGTTTTAGCTGGTTGGTGTCCAGCAGTGCCAGCTCTCCCCAACCTTCACCTAAACTCTAGAGTTCAGTAGCCAGGGTCCATCCCTCCAGGGAGAGAATGTATATTAAGTTCCAAGGCAGTTTCTATGGTGGGTGGCAAACATGTGAAACACTCTCTGGTTTGTTTGGGCCAATTGGTGTGTTGGTGTGTTTCCGTGTCTATGCAAAACTGTGTAACAATTAAGCGCTCAAAGACACTGTCTGGCACGGAGGGCGCTGTATAAATGCAAGTTGCTATTGTTATTATGCAAACCTCTGTGTGAAGATGTACTTTGTTATTAGTATATATGTGTGTGTGTGTGTGCAAGTGAGTGTGGGTGTGAGATGTGTAAGGGTGAGTGAGGTGATTGCAGTAGCTTTGGTTTATACTCTGGAGAAACACAGAGTTGTATTGATTGCACTAATGGAATCTGCTGCTTTGTGCAGCCCTCAAACTGAGCTGTTCTCTTGTTTCAGTGCCTGGTATCTGCCTGCTGTTGTCTTGATCCCAGCGACTGCTGCAGCCTCTGCAATCCCAGCAAATGCTGAGCAATTCCTGCTAAGGGAAGCAATACAAAAGCTGTTCCTCTGTTCTGTGGGGAAGGGAATTCTGTGCTGCAACTCTGGGCCCAGATTCCATCCTAAACCCAGGATCCAGCTACTGTCACCCAACAATTCTATTACTCTGTTCAGGTAAATGCTGGGACTGGGTTTGGGGTTACCTGAGCACATGAACACAAGTATACTGCACTTATATACCTGGGAGAGTCTAAGGAGATGCTTGTGAGTGGATGTGGATGCATGGGAGTGCACCCTGGTCTGAATGAGTGTTTGTGGTGTTTACACCAGTGAATGTTTATGTAAATTTGTGGGTGAGAGAATGTGTGTATTCCTACACAAATCTGCATGTGTGTGTGTGTAGATTTGAGTATGTGAATATGTGCGTGTGAATGAGTTTGTAAGATGCCCAACTTCTATTCATAATTGCACTTAACTACTCTCAACCTCTGTCAGACATTAATGATGTTATCTAGAGTGACATTATATGGAGTTTATCCTCTGGGACATGGAGTAACTCGGGATTATCCTGTGTGTTTATCTGTGTACAGGAGGAGACGCTAAGACCAGATAGACACGATGGAGACCACTCAGTTTGACAATCACACGTCGTTCTCCATTCATGGGCATAAAATGCAATTCAATGTTATTAAGTTTCTCACCACAATAAACAATGTAACGGTCGGACACTGTTATAATTCGCAGGCCCGCAGCACTGTACTTCAGGGGCTACCCTTTGGCGGGATCCCCACTGTCCTGGCCACTAATGTTGTCCTGTGGATGGTAAGGGTTTGAACTGTCAGCTTGTTGTGTGTTACTGCTTGTTAAAGTTTCCAGCCCCTCTCACAGCCCCTCTCACAATCACAGCCCCTCTCACAGCCCCTCTCACAATCACAGCCCCTCTCACAGTCTTGCTGGTTAGCTTCCTGCTCTTTGTCCCGCTGGGACCTCTTTAACCATCTTGGAACTCGGTTATTACTCAAATAACCCTGGTACTACTCGAAATGAGAAACCAATCTTATCTCCCAGTTTCCTGGCCAACAATCCCTCAAATAAAATTAGTCATTCCTTTCATGGCTGTTTGTGGGTCATCGCTGTCTGCAGTCGGGCTGATGCATTCACCTGCAGATAATAGTCACTACATTTTACAGTGAAAGGCTTTAAGACCTCCTCCCGATGTGAAAGGTGTTATACCAAATTCAAGGATTATTATCGTCTAAATCCAAGTGTAAAGAATTGCAACCTTAAATTACAAATCTACTCCCATTGATAAGCCCCAGTGTCTGGCACTGCCTCAGTCACATCCCAGCTCCCTCCATCAACATGTGTGACTCAGCTCTGAGCTAACAGTCACACTGACACCACAGAGAGAACTCAACTCCCAGCTGTCACTGACCTGGATTGTGGACAGACAGTGCAGAGGGAGCTTTACTGTGTCTCCAACTCTGACCTCAGTGTGTGGACGGACTTACAGTGTAGAGGGAGCTTTACTGTGTCTCTAACCCTGACCTGGGAGTGTGGACGCACAGTGTAGAGGGAGCTTTACTGTGTCTCTACCCCTGACCTGGGAGTGTGGACGCACAGTGTAGAGGAGCTTTACTGTGTCTCTACCCCTGACCTGGGAGTGTGGACGCACAGTGTAGAGGGAGCTTTATTCTGTATTTCAGCATTCAGTTTAATAGATGTTCAGTACATTTAATGACAGATAGTGATTGTAATTAAGGGGAGATAATGATGGTGTCTGATGGTGTCTGTTCCCAGGTGCTGCTGCTGGTGTTCTCCTGCCTGAGGAAGGCGGCCTGGGATTATGGGCGCTTGGCTCTGTTGATGGATAATGACAGGTTGGAGCCTGAGAAAATATAGAATTTGGTGTCGGGTTTGCTTTATCATGTCTTTTCCCCGAGGGCTGGACTTTTCTTGGAATCTGGGGTGTCGCGCTTTCTGATCTGACATTTGAATATCCTGGAGCCAGACAATATAATCCTGTTTGGCTGATCTCAGAAAAAGGCCAACACCAGCCTCTCTCACACAAATTTTAATATCCGTCCTGAATTAACCCTCTGATCACCTGCTCCTCCTTGGTTGATGCAGCAGGATCCTAGATTACAATCAAATCAGATCCTGAGTCTGGCTTAAATCAGTTCAGCTCTGGGCAGAACATATCTGGAGAACTGAGTATATTGTGGTTGGTTACAGGGCTGGGGGGATGAACTACAAGGAAAAATGAGATAATCTTAGGGTATTTCAGATGTTCCCAGGCAGCAGAATAAGAGGGACAGGCTCAGGGTGTGAGGTTTAGTGTAGGCAGGTGGACGTTCACTGCTATTCTCTGTTGTTCCCAGTGTAACGTCTCTATTCTATGGGGAGCAGACGGATAAAGAGAAATCTCCATCTGAATCCAGCCCCTCAGATGTGGAGAGTAAGGATGTGGTAAGTTGGGTTCCTGTTGCTATAAGTAACAATGGACAGAAGTTCAGGTAACAAATGTCAATGTCATGGTTTTGGCTCCACTGTCAGAGATGCCATCCTTCGGATGAGAGATTAAACTGAGGTTACTTCTGCCTGTTCAGATGGACATTAGAGCTCCCATGGCACTATTTGAAAAGCGAAGGGAGTTTCTCCCCAGTGTCCTGGTCAATAAAACAAAATGGTCACTCATTCCATGGCTGTTTATGGGACTGGCTGCTGTGATTCACCCACCAAAATACACAGTCAAATCCACTTTACAGTATATCCTGTGATGCGCTTTAAGATGTCTCAACAGAGAGCCCAGCAGTGTGAGGAGGTTAACTGAGTGAGGTGGAACAGAGTGGGAATTTGCTGAGAGTGGGAACTTGGTGCAGGGGGAGAACTTGGCGCAGGGGGGGATCTTGGTGCATAATTATAAAATATATAAGTTATATTAATATAAAACATGTCTGGGAATACGGCAGGAGACCAGTTGCATGCACAATGTGTTTAATGCGGGAACTCCAGGATGCTTTATGTGTTCTGGACAAACATGTGTAGGAAGTGCCTCCGGCTGCTCGAGCTGGAGCTCAGGGTTGAGCTCGAGGAGAGGCTGGAGTAACTACATAGCACACGGGAGGCTGAAGAGTTCATGGATCGAACGTTTCAGGAGGTGGTCACCCCACAGCCACAGAGGGTTTGGAAAGAGAGTGAATGGGTGACCACCCGGCATGGCAGGAAGCGGGGATGGGCAGTGCAGAAATCCCCTGAGAGTGTGGCACTCACAAACCAGTTCTCTGTACTGAATCCCGGTGAGGGTGATGACACCTCTGGGGAGGGGAGTCAAAAATAAACAGATGCACAGGGGGACACAGGGAAGAGTCAGTGCAATGGTGAAGGGAGTGGACAGATGTTTCTGCAACCAAAGACGCCTGGTATGTTGCCTCCCTGGTGCCAGAGTTGAAGACATCACAGAATGGGTACAAAACATTCTACAGGGGGAAGGGAATCCAGAAGTCGTGGTCCATGTTGGGATTCATGACGTAGAGAAAAAAAGGGCTGAGATCCTACAAAGAGTATCAGAAACTAGGGAAAAAGCTAAACAAAGATGATGATCTCTGGATTACTCCCAGTGCCTTGTGCAAGTGAATATCAAAACAGCAGACAAATGGTGCAGAAAGGAGGGCTTCAGGTTCCTGGATCATTGGGACCAGTTCTGGGGCAAATGGGACCTGTACAAGGTGAATGGGTTACACCTGAACAGGGCTGGGACCAATGTCCTTGCAGGGAGGTCAACTAGTGCTGTGGGGAAGGGGGAATTTTGAGGGGGAAAGGGAATCAAGATGTAGCATTAGAGTGGACAAACACCTTACGTAGAGGATTGGGAGAGACGAATAGCAATGTAATGAGTAATCTAGAAAAAGGAGGGATTAGACGGGGGAAAAAATGCAGAACAGACTCGGTTGGTCTTGGAGTGCATGTACATAAATGTTTGGAGTGTGACAAATAAGGTTGGTGAGCTGCGGCTCAGATTGCCAAATGGGGTTATAATGTAGTGGCAATTGTGGAGACCTGGCTCAAACAAGGGCAGGAATGGGAGCTGAATATTCCTGGCTACAATGTATTCAGGAGGGATAGGGAAGGAAAAAAAGGAAGGATGGTGCGGGGGGCAATATTGATTAAAGACGTTGTTACGGCCCTGGAAAAGAATGATGTGCTAGAGGGTTCAAAAACAGAATCTATTTGGTTAGTGTTAAGGAGCAGAAAAGGAGCTGTTACTCTGTTAGGTATGTACTATAGACCACCAAATAGTGGGAAGGAGATAGACAAGAAAATCTGCAGCAGATTTCAGAAAGATGCAAAACCAATAGAATAGTGATAATGGGAGACTTCAATTATCCAAACATAGACTGGCAAAATAACAGTGTAAAGGGCAAGGAGGGGGAAGGATTCCTGAAATGTGTGCAGGATAACTTTCTGGATCAGTACGTTTCCAGCCCAACGAGGAAGGAAGCAGTGCTGGATCTAGTGCTAGAGAATGAAGTGGTGCAAGTAGAGCAGGTGTCAGTAGGAGAGCATCTGGACAACAGTGATCACAACACCATTAGGTTTAGAGTACTATGGAAAGGGACAAGGAACATTCAAAGATGAAGATACTCAACTGGAAGAGGCTAATTTCAGTGAGTTAAAAAGGGATGTAGCCAAGGTGGACTCGAAAGAAAGATTGGTAGATAAAACAGCTAATGGAGTCCTGTAGCTCAGTGGTTAGAGCACTCGCTTTGCAAGTGAGAGACCTGAGTTCAATTCCAGGTAGAGGGTGAAACCTTGGGCAAGTTTCCTTACTCCACACAGAGCCTAATAATAATCCCTCCAAAACCAAAAGCAATAATAAATTGGTAATTTTCAATCTACGACTATTTGTGAGACATTGCTGTGTGCAATTGGCTGCCGCGTTCACCCACAAATATACAGTCAATTCACTTTACAGTGTGTTCTGTGAAGCGCTTTGGGACGTCCTCCCGACGTGAAAAGCGCTATATCAAATGCAAGGATTATTATTATTATAATGAGCAATGGGAAGTCTTCAAGGACAGAACAAATACATTCCCACATAGGGTAAAGGTAGGGCATCCAAACCTCCCTGGATGAATAAGGAAATTGGTATTAAAATAAAACCGAAAAAGGAGGTTTATGATAAATGACAGGTTCAAAATACAGAAGATAATCAAATAGAATATAGAAAGTACAGAGGAGAACTGAGAAAGGAATTATTGTATGAGAAAAGATTAGTGGGTATCATAAAAGTAAAGGTATTTTGTAAGCATAAAGAATAAAAGGTTAGTCAAAGGTAGGATAGGTAGGGACCAAAGAGGAAATCTTCTTTTGGAGGCAGAGGGCATGGCTGATGTACTTTGCATCTGTCTTCACAAAAGAAAAGGATGCAGCCAATGTCACAATCCTCCTTGGACATTAGGGTGGTTCCAGAGGTATGGAGGGTTGCAAAGATTACTCATCTGTACAAAATGGGACAGAAGGATAAACCCGGGAACTACAGGCCAGTCAGCCTGACGTCAGTAGTGGGGGAACTTCAAGAGACTATAATCTGGGACACAATTAATTTTCACTTTGAAAAATATGGGTTAATAAAGGACAGGCAACATGGGTTTGTTAAAGGTAAATTGTGTCTAACAAACCTGATAGAGGTTTTTGATGAAGTAACGGAGAGGGTGGATGAAGATAGTGCAGTTGATGTAGTTTATATGGATTTTCAAAAGGTGTTTGATGATGTGCCACATAAGAAACTTGTCAGCAAAATGGAAGCCCCCGGTATTAAAGGGACAGTGGCAGTGGATACAGAACTGTCTGGGAGACAGAAAGCAGAGAGTGGTGGTGAACAGTTGTTTCTCTGACAGGAGGAAGTGTGCAGTGGTGTCCCCCAGGGATCAGTATTGGGACCACTGCTGTTTGTGATCTATATAAATGATCTGGACTTGGGTATAGGGAGGACAATTTCCAAGTTTGCAGATGATACTAAGCGAGGAAAGTAGTAAACAGTGAGGAGGATAGTAACAGACTGCAAGAGGACATAGACAGACTGGGAAACTGGGCAGACACGTGGCAGATGATGTTTAATGTGGAGAAATGTGAAGTGATGCATTTTGGGAGGAAGACTGAGGAGAGGCAATATAAGTTAGATAATAATAATAATAATCCTTGCATTTGATATAACACTATTCACGTCTTCTAGACGTCTCAAAGAGCTTCACAGAATATACTGTAAAGTGAATTGACCGTATATTTGCTACAATCTTAAAGGGGTTGAATGAACAGAGAGACCTGGGGGTTCATTTAAGTAAATCTTTGAAGGTCGCACAACAGGTAGATAAAGCTGTTAAAAAAAAGCATCCGGGATACACGGCTTTATAAATAGGGGCATAGAATAAAACAGTCAGGAAGTTATGATGAACCTTTATATAAAACACGGGTTAGGCCTCAGCTACAGACTGTGCTCAGTTCTGGGCCCACACTTTAGGAAGGATGTCAAGGCATTGGAAAGGGTGTGAAGGAGATTGACCAGAATGGTACCAGGAATGAGAGACTTCAGTTATCAGGAGAGGCTCGAGAAGCTCGGATTATTCTCCTTGGAGCAGAGAAGGTTAAGAGGAGACTTAATAGAAGTTTTCAAAATGATGAGGGGATTCGATAGGGAGAACAAGGAGAAACTATTTCCACTGGCGGGTGGGTCAGTAACCCGAGGGCACCGAGTTAAAATAGTTGTTAAAAGAAACAGAGGGGAGGTGAGGAGAAATGTTTTCACACGGTGAGTTGTTGGGATCTGGAATCCATTGCCTGAAAGGCCGGTGGAAGCTGATTCGATAAAAGCTTTTAAGAGAGAAATAGATTATTATTTGGGGAGGACAAGTATGCAGGGCTATGGGTAGAGCGCGGGGGAGTGGGGTTGATCAGGGCTATGGGTAGAGCGCGGGGGAGTGGGGTTGATCAGGGCTATGGGTAGAGCGCGGGGGAGTGGGGTTGATCAGGGCTATGGGGGGAGAGCAGGGGAGTGGGGTTGATCAGGATTATGGGGAGAGAGCGGGGGAGTAGGGTTGATCAGGGCTATGGGGAGAGAGCGGGGGGAGTGGGGTTGATCAGGGCTATGAGGAGAGAGCAGGGGAGTGGGGTTGATCAGGGTTATGGGGAGAGAGCGGGCGAGTGGGGTTGTTCAGAGTTATGGGGAGAGAGCGGGGGAGTGGGGTTGTTCAGAGTTATGGGGAGAGAGCGGGGGGAGTGGGGTTGATCAGGGCTATGGGAAGAGCGCAGGGGAGAGAGCGGGGGGAGTGGGGTTGATCAGGGCTATGGGAAGAGCGCGGGGGAGTGGGGTTGATCAGGGCTATGGGGAGAGCAGGGGGGAGTGGGGTTGATCAGGGCTATGGGGAGAGAGCGGGGGAGTGGGGTTGATCAGAGCTATGGGGAGAGAGCGGGGGGAGTGGGGTTGATCAGGGCTATGGGGAGAGAGCGGGGGGAGTGGGGTTGATCAGGGCTATGGGGAGAGAGCGGGGGGAGTGGGGTTGATCAGGGCTATGGGAAGAGCGCAAGGGAGTGGGGTTGATCAGGGCGATGGGGAGAGCGCGGGGGAGTGGAGTTGATCAGGGCAATGGGGAGAGAGCGGGGGAGTGGGGTTGAATTGGAAGCTCCTTCTGTGGTTTATAATTTTATGAAGTGCAGCTTTGAGCTAATTTTGGATGGCAAATTTCCTTGTGGGCAACACGGCTCAGCATGAAATGTGTGAGAGCACCATCTTCCACCATCACAGCTCGGGCACAACCCTTCCCATTGAGTGATGCTTCCACCATTTGCCCGTGTGGAGTTTAAGCAGCAGCTGCTGGCGTCTCCACAGGCCGATCACGGTGGATTCCAGGCGCTGGACTTACATATGTGTCACTAACCCTTTCCGGCAGCTGTTGTCTCAGATTTCCTCAACAGCAATCTGGCAGGCAGCTGCCTTCAGGATGGTGGGAGGACCATTACAGGACAGCTCATGACATGCCAAAACATTATTGTACGCTGGACCAGAAGATATGATGATATCTGATACAAGTTGTGGACTAATTCCATTAGTGAAAATTGCCCACAGACTGTCTGCAGGCTGTACCTACTCTGTGCCAAGAGCATTGTTATTGTTATTTGTATTGAATTTCCGTCTGTTCTCTTTCCCTCGCAGGGGTTCTGCTCCTGGCTCTCGTCTCTCTATTACATGAGGTAAGCACCAGTCTGTCAGGCACCGTTTGTACATGTGCTGCCGTTTGGAGATGATGTTATTTCTGTTTGTTTCCAGGGATTCGGAGATTCAGTGTAAGAGCGGCATCGATGCCACCATCTACCTCTCGTTCCAGCGCCACATCCTGGTGCTGCTCACACTGATCTGTGTCCTGTCCATTGGGATCATCCTCCCGGTCAACTTCTCTGGTGATCTACTGGGTAAGAGGGGGAGGGGGCTGAGGGGGAGAGGGGCTGAGGGGGTGGGGGGCCGTGTTTGGGGGAGGGGGGCAGTGGGGGAGGGGTAGTTACATTGTGAATATTTCTATTGCAGGTTCAAGTCCACAGCATTTCGGACGCACAACGATTGCAAATGTACCAGCTGAGTAAGTGAAGTGAAGAAGAGGGAGGAGCGCTTCACTCCTGTGTTTGTTGTAACTCTGCTGTGTGAGGCTGCAACACTAATAACAACAATATTACATGTGTACAATGCCCTTCATGTCAGGAGGACGTCACAAGGGGCTAAACAATCAGTGTTTTGGACCCGAGCTGGGGGTCAAGATCAGGGAGGGTGGAGGGTAGGCGGGGAAGGAGAGTGACCAGAGTAATGGTAGAAGAGGAGGATCTTGAAACAAGTCTTGAAGGAGGCAAGGGAGGTGGTGAGATGGAGGGACTGGAGGAGTGGCAGAAAGCCTGCCCGCCAATGGTGGAGCAGGCGAGGTGGGGGACGTGAAGCAGGCGGAGCCTGCTGAGCGGAGGGAGTGGGCAGGATGGTAGGGGGTTAGGAGGTGGCAGAGGTAGGGGTGAGCAAGACCATGGAGGCCTCTGAAAGTGAGGGTCAGGATCTTGAACTGTATCCTCCTAGTGTTGGGAAGGCAGTGGAGTTGAGCGAAGAGGGGCGTGATAGGGTCACGGAGGCTGGTGCGGGAGAGGACACATAGCTGCAGAGTTCTGGATGATCTGCAGCCTATGGAGGGAGGAGGCTGACAAGCAGGGAGTTTGCGTAATAGAGCTTGGATGTAATGAAGGCGGGTGTGAGGGTCTCGGGGGCCTATGGAGTTAGACAGTGGCGGAGCCGGGTGATGTTGCGGAGGTGGGGAAGGCAGAGCGGGTCATGGCGCAGATATGGGGTAGTTGAGGGACAAATGAGACCCCAAGGTTCGGGACTAGCTCAGTGAGGGGGAGTGAGCCCCATGGATGATGATACTGTCAGCGTCTGAGGTGAGGAGGCGCTGACGGGAGCCAGTCAGGATCCTCGGTCTTGTTGACGTTTAACTGTAGAAAGTCAGCTCTCTCTCTCATCCAGGACTTGATGTCTGACAGGACAGCAGTGACACTGACGCTGCTGTGTGAGGCTGTAAGGCAGTAACATTGAGACTGATGTTCTCTGGTTTGCAGGGATGGGCTGCTCTGGCTGCACAGTATCTTTGCACTGATTTATTTCCTGATGACAGTGAGCTGTATGACCCATCACTCGCTGCAGCTGGAATATCAGGAGAATGAGAAGGTGGGTCACAGTTAGAGCACGCGGGGGTGGGGGGGGGGGGGGCAGTGCCAGTGATGATCAGCTCATGTCTCTTTCTCAAGCAGGTGGCGAGGACGCTGATGATTGCACAGATTCCAAAGGAAATCTCTGACCCTGGTCTCCTCACCAAGCACTTCCAGTGAGTGGCCGGGGAGCGGGAGGGCCTGTGGAGCAGGAGGGCGAGTGGAGGGCTTGGGTAGGGGCTGGGGAGGAGCAGGGGTGTGGGTGGCGGTGGGCGGAGGAGTGTGTGGTGCTGGGTTAGGGGAGGGGCTGGGGAGGGGGAGGGCGATCTACCGTCAAAGAATGGTGGATTATAATGGATAATTCTACAGTAAATGCTCAGTAATTAGGTGATGGGGGTGTGGTTGGGGGCGTGGACGCTTCCAGCTGAACTGGATTCAAGGTGGACCTGCCTGGCAATAGAATTAGTACAGTGTGAGGCTTGACCGGCCGGGGGCGCGGGGCCTGACCGGCCGGGGGCGCGGGGCCTGACCGGTCGGGGGCGGGGCCTGACTGGCAGGCGGGACTCGTGTGGGAGGGGGCTGGATCCTGGTTGTAGGGGAGGCGCATGGAGTACCCCATGGCAGAGGCTGAGGCCCGCGCCCCCGGCCGGTCAGGCCTCACACTGTACTAATTCTATTGCCGGGCAAATCCACCTTGGATCCAATGTGTGTGTGTGTGTGTGTGTGTGTGTTACAGTGAGGCTGAGTGTGTGTGTGTGTTACAGTGAGGCGTATCCTGGCTGCACTGTCAGTGACATTCAGTTCTGCTTTGATGTTCGAAGACTCATGAAACTGGAATCTGAGAGGTAAGAAATCACACACACAGACGGGGAGCAGATCACAGGGGTGATGTGGGGGGGAGTTGGGGTTGTGGGTGGTGTGGTGAGATCATGGAGAAGGTTGAAGATGAGGCTGAGAAGCCTTTGGAGACAGTTGAGGACGAGGTTGATGGCGACTCCTGGCTGCTGATAGTCTGGCGCTGGTGGAGGGTTGAGCTGGGAGGCTGGTTAGTGCGGCATTTAACAGTATCGAGTCTGGAGGTTAATTAATTTGAGGATCTCAGCTGCATTGGTTGTGGTGCAGGTCAGGGGTGATGTGGAGGAAAGAGAACCTGGTCAGATACCAGATGGAAGGTTTGAAGGGGAGTTGAGGAATGAATAAAACTCTTGAGACTCAGCATAGAGTTGGTGATTTGGAGTCATATAATATTAATAATCCTTGCATTTGATATCACATCTTCAAGACGTATCAAAGCGCTTCACACAATATACTAAAGTGAATTGACGTATATTAAAATGCGGCAGCCAATTGCGCACGTTATTTTTTCGGAAAGAATTATCACCCTCTGGATAGGCGATCCACCAATCAACTAACAACCTACTTAATGCTAGGTAAACAGGCGTGTGGAGTAAGGAAACTTGCCCAACATTTTGCTCTGCCCGGGAATCGAACCCAGGTGCTTTTACTTGTGAGGCGAGTGCTCTAACCACTGAGCTACAGGCTCCACATATGATGTTAATGTGATGAGAGTACCTGATGGAGGATATTGTCCAGGATTTGATGTCTGACTGTCTGCTGCCTGGGAGTGGAGCAGGGAGTTTAGATCATGACATGTTCATGTGGATCCCATGTTGTCAGCAAGTGGAGTGGGGAGGGGGGTGGATTTAGATCTAGTGAGACTGAGGGTAGAGCCCTGAGGAGCATCATATCTAACTGTGTGAGGCAGGAAGACCTGGGACTAGGTAGGAGTGACAAATAGGGACACACAAAGGGTGTCGTTAGTGACTTTGACCAGTGGGTGGGACAGACACACACCCAGACGTGTACACAAGCTACAAAGATGTGCATGCTCACACAGACATCACAGACATGAATGTACACAGGCATGCAGACACACACACTGGGGTTGCTCTCTTATGAGTTTGCCTACAAAACACACAATTACTACACTTTACAGTAAATCCTGTCAAGCACTTTGAGATATGACGTGAATGGTGTTCTATGAAATGCTTTAAAGGTTCATTAATATTGTATAATTTCTCTCTCAGGCATAAGGCAATGAGAGGTCGATTGTATTTCACAGCCAAGGCCCAGAAAGAGGGGAAGATAATGATCAGGACAAACTCCTGTGCTCGAATTTGCTGCTGTGAGTGTGGTTTTGCGAAGGTGAGTGGGGTGGGGAGGTGGCATTTCACTTCCAGGATCTGGGCTTGAGGCTCGATGACTCCCTCCCATTAGAGAGGTTTAAGGTTGTCTTGGCTTTTCCTGGCCACGGGGTGAACACAGTCCCATCAACTGATGATGGGAAGAGGCCTTGAGTGCTCTCACCTGGATCTGGTTTTATGCAACATTTCAGAATATTTACGATTCGCTCAACACTTAAGCAGCCTTCATTCAGAGGCCATTATAGGAATATAGGAACAGGAGGAGGTCATTCAGCCCCTCTAGCCTGTTCCACAATTCTATTAGGTCATGGTTGATCTATACATTGACTCAATTTAGATGCCTTTGCCCCACATCCCTTGATACCCTGACCTAACACACATCTATCCACCTCAGTCTTGAAAATTCTGGAGATTTTGAAATGCTTCATAAACAAAGTAACTCTGGACCAAGATGGAATTTCTCCCCCATTAGGGGAATAGATGAGAGAAATAAATATACCCTAAGTAATAACAATAATCATTGCATTTGATATCAAGTCTTTGAGATGTCTCAAAGCTCTTCACAGAATATATTGTAAAGTGAATTGACTTTAATAATACATTCCTCAAAAAAGAAAGGTATTTCTTCAGTCCATTTGATCTTATTCTTTCAGAATCCCCACCCAAAGTCAATAAAAACGCAAATATATATTTTATATACGGGAGCAATAATAAGTAAACCAAGCCTCGCATTTCATACAGCCCCTCGAACACAGACATGTCTAAAGCGTTTCACAGGAAATTACAGTCAAGTATAGTGACTGTATGTAGGCAAACATAGTGCCCAGCAATATCCCACAAACATGAGGCAAATGTCTAATTTATCTACAAAATTAACAGATATGAGGAAATAACAAGCAAATGGGATTAGAGAGCTCCAGTGGGGGAGCGAGCCCCAGCACAGACACCATGGGCTATAGCTCACTGTACTGCCTCTCTCTGACCCTCAGGTGGATGCTGAGCAGTATTACAGTGAGTTGGAAGAAAAACTTACAGACGAGTTTTATGCCGAACTGAACCGCATCTCCTTAAAACGTTTAGGAATGGGATTCGTAACATTCCAAGATGATCGGATGACAGCAGTGTAAGTGTGTCTGCAACTCACGCACACCCTCACACACCCCCTCACGCCCGCACGCGCCCACACAACACCACATGCCCACACGCACCCAAATCCTCACACACTCACACCCTCATACACACACACACACGCGTCTTGAAGACATGATAATGATTATTATTATTATTGAGATGTTTTTCTGCCATTTACAATATTCCAGAATAAAAGGCATGGCTTCAATTAGGCAGCACTGTGCTGTGGTGGGTCTGTACAGCTCTGCACATCACAGCCTCTGTCTGTGTGTCCCTTTTGGTTTCTCACACCTCCGCCTCACACATTCTCTCTGTATCTCTCACGGTTTCTTACACGCTCTGTCTCTCTCTCTCTCACACGCTCTGTCTCTCTCTCTCTCACACGCTCTGTCTCTCTCTCTCTCACACGCTCTGTCTCTCGCTCTCTCACACGCTCTCTCTCTCTCACACGCTCTGTCTCTCTCTCTCACACGCTCTGTCTCTCTCTCTCTTTCACACGCTCTCTCTCTCTCTCTCTCTCACACACGCTCTCTCTCTCTCACACGCTCTGTCTCTCTCTCTCACACGCTCTGTCTCTCTCACACGCTCTGTCTCTCTCTCTCTCTCACACACCCTCCTGTCTCTCTCTCTCTCTCTCTCTCTCACACACACCCTCTGTCTCTCTCTCACACGCTCTGTCTCTCTCTCTCTCTCTCTCACATCCTCTGTCTTTCTCTCTCTCTCTCTCACACGTTCTGTGACTCTCTCGCACTCTCCAGTATAGTGAAGGATTACAGACGGACGCGGTGCCAGCGACGGCCGCAGCAATCCAGCATCACCACTGTGGTGAAGTCCCACCAGTGGAACGTGAGCTACGCACCAGCTCCCAACAACATCATCTGGTAGGAATGTCAGCGAGAGATGGTGGGGCCAGGAGCCAGGGTTCAGGTGGCAGCTCAGGCTCTGGGAACAATGTCCTGTGATTAATATTCGGGTTGTCAGGAGGGGAGGCCGGGCGGGGGCAGAGCCTCTCGGCTGAGATCACAAACAAAACTAGAACCAATTGTTCTGTTTTCATCAACACAACAAGGATTATTATTATCTGACACGGGGAGACGAGCTGCTGATCGGCTTCACCTATTTACACATGTAGATATTTACACGGAGGATTGTCTACAGGATTCTACTGTGAAGTGTAGTGACTGTGTTTATTGTAGGCGAACGTGGCAGCCAATCAGCACACACCAATATCCCCAAAAAACAGCCTGGAAGTGAGAAGCAATATTATTTTCGAGATTGTTGGCCAGTTTCCCGACACTGGGGAGCGTTTCCCGGTGGTGGGTTTCCAATACTTTGTTTGGTTTGGAGACTCTTTAGCAAAATTGTGTGTAAAATTCCTGCTGTGTTTGCCTTACAGACTCTGTACAGTCACTACACTGATCTGTAAACACCTCCACCTCCTGAGCCCTGAGAGTGTGTATCAAACCAGTCATTACACAGTCACCAAACAGTCTCTGTTTGTAACTATCCCATTTTCCTGTCGGTTCAGGGAGAATCTGTCTGTTCAGAGCACCGAGTGGTGGATTCGCTGCATCGTCCTCAACACCTTCCTCTTCATCCTACTCTTCTTCCTCACCACGCCGGCCATTATTGTCAACACCATGGACAGGTTCAATGTCACCAATCCCATCCAGAGCCTCAAGGTAACTCTTCATCCTAAACTCTCCCCCCCACCCCGTACCTCTCCCTCCTCCATATCTCTACTCTGCTTGTGACAGCCTGTGTTTAGGTGTGTGTGCTGAGGGCTGTGTGTATGCTGAGGGTTGTGTGTGTGTGTGTGTGCACTGAGGGCTGTGTGTGTGTGCACTGAGGGCTGTGTGTGTGTGTGTGCGCTGAGGGCTGTGTGTGTGTGTGCGCTGAGGGCTGTGTGTGTGTGTGTGTGCACTGAGGGGTATGTGTGTGTGTGCTGAGGGCTGTGTGTGTGCTGAGGGCTGTGTGTGTGTGTGCTGAGGGCTGTGTGTGTGTGTGCGCTGAGGGCTGTGTGTGCGCGCGCGCGCTGAGGGCTGTGTGTGTGTGTGTGTGGGCTGAGTGGTGTGTGTGCGTGCTGAGGGGTGTGTGTGTGTGTGTGTGCGTGCTGAGGGGTGTGTGTGTGTGCTGAGGGCTGTGTGTGTGTGTGCGCGCGCGCTGAGGGCTGTGTGTGTGTGCGCGCGCGCTGAGGGGGGTGTGTGTGTGTGGGGGCTGAGTGGTGTGTGTGCGTGCTGAGGGGTGTGTGTGTGTGCTGAGGGCTGTGTGTGTGTGTGCGCGCGCGCTGAGGGCTGTGTGTGTGTGCGCGCGCGCTGAGGGGGGTGTGTGTGTGTGGGGGCTGAGTGGTGTGTGTGCGTGCTGAGGGGTGTGTGTGTGTGTGTGTGCGTGCTGAGGGGTGTGTGTGTGTGCTGAGGGCTGTGTGTGTGTGTGCGCGCGCGCTGAGTGGTGTGTGTGTGGGCTGAGTGGTGTGTGTGCGTGCTGAGGGGTGTGTGTGTGTGTGTGTGCGCGCGTGCTGAGGGGGTTGTGTGTGTGGAGGTTACGGAGCAGGAATGTCTCCTCAGATGCTTTTATTTCTTTGCAGAATCCAATTGTGACTCAGTTCTTCCCGACGCTGCTGCTCTGGGGTTTCTCTCACGTTTTGCCGTTCATCGTTTACCGCTCAGCATTCTTCGAGTGTCACTGGACACGGTATTAACCACCACCCCCCCACCCCACACACAGCTGCCCCCTTCCCCACTCACATTCTCATGTTTATCATTCACTTGCTCGCTGTTATGGGATGCTGATTGCTGCAGATTGTCTGTCACGTTTCCCCACGAAACACAATTCGCTTCACTTTACAGTAAAATTCTTTGAAGCATTTTGAGAGAAGCTCCTGATGTGAGACATCGCATCAAATACAAAGCTGATGATTCACAGACACATCATGAGCTCGGATTCCCTCCAGTTTATGATCCTGTCCGTCCTAAACACACCTGCAAACGATAAAAGTGTTTCAGTATTTTCATGTGATTTGTTTCAGATCCACTGAGAACCAAGTGACGATGCACAAATGTTATTTCTTCCTGGTTTTCATGGTGATTATTCTGCCCTCTCTGGGCCTGACCAGGTATTGACTATTTACTATCCTCCTGACAATCCTCTGCTTTCACTTGAAAAAATATCCTTGAGGTTGGGAACTTTATATAAGAAACTGTCACAAATGCTGTGGGCTCCAATCACGTGATTACGATTCTCCAGATGAATTGATTGTTTCCCTCACGGCTGGTGGGAGACCTTGTCATTTGCACATTGGTTGTTTGATTCCCTACAAATAAAATCACTACATTTCCCAGGAATTCCCTGTGAAGTGTTTTGAGATAATAAAACGTTATAAGCAATGCAAAGATGATTATTATAAATTAGTAACCAGACACACACACCAACCTCCTGGATCATGGTGAAGTTTGGTGGAGATTCTGCCCCATTTGCCAGATGCCTATCGTCTGATCCTGGTGTTCACCAAGTTCATTTTGTATCTTTATAATGGTACATTTCCTACACTTGCCTCGTACAATGTACTTCTCCAGATTATACATCATCCCAAGCTCATCACTCACATCCTCACCAGCACCAAGGGTTTCCTCTCCCCCAGCGGATTGACTTTAAGATCATTATTCGACCATGCCATCGGTCACCCCCCTTCCCCTCCCCTCCCTTCTCCCCACCCCCCCCGACCCCAGCTCGGGTCTGAAATGTTATACATTGTCCAGTGCCTTGGGACGTCCTCCCGACATGAAAGGCGTGATACACATGTCATGTTGTTGTTGTTGTTAATGTCATTTTGAAAAGCTCCGGGTCGTTACCCTACCCCAGCTCTGGGATCACACTGCCCAGATCCACTCTTGTCACTGTGATAACCGACCTGCCCCCCCACCACCCCTCTCTCCATTTTCATTCTAACAACCTATCTCTTGACCTCTTCGGGTATCCCCCACTTCTAGGTAGCCCCCCCCACACGATGCTCAGCCGCCCACTCCATCCATTCGTTTCCAAAACACTGCACTTTACAGAATACCCTGTGAAGCACTTTGGAACGTTCTCCTGACCTAAAAGGCACTGTATCAAATGCAAGGATTATTATTATTGAAGAGATTTGACACATAACTCACTGTATTGTATTGTGAAGTCCTGCAAGTTTGAATCCCGGCCAGGACAAAATGTTGAGCAAGTTTCCTTACTCCACACGTCTCTGTTTACCTAACAGTAAGTAGAAACCTGGTTGTTAGTCAGATCGCTTTTCTGGGTGTAATAATCCCTTCAAAATAAAATATAATTTGGTTACTTAATCCACGGCTGTTTGTGGGACGCTGCTGTATGCAATCGGCTGCCTCATTTCGCCCACAAAATATACAGTTAATTCACTTTACAGTGTATCCTGTGAAGCACTTTGAGACGTCTCGAAGACGTGATGAGGCACTGTATCAAATGCAAGGATTATTATTATCACCTGGCTCTGCCTGCTCCCCCCACCCCTGGCACCGTCCTAACTCTGCAGTTAGGGCGATCTTTTCATGTGTGTGAAACTCTGCTTCTCTATTCCAGCCTCGACGTCTTTTTCCGATGGTTGTTTGACATCCACTTTCTTGATCAAGCCAACATTAAATTTCAGTGAGTTTTGCTTTTCTGGTTGTTTGTAGCAATGAGCAAAATGTTGTTTTTCACACACCCACACTCACACACCCAGAATCACACACCCACACTCGCACTCACACACCCACACTCACTCACACACCCACACTCACACACCCAGAATCACACACCCACACTCGCACTCACACACCCACACTCACTCACACACCCACACTCACACACCCAGAATCACACACCCACACTCACTCACACCCACACTCACACACCCAGAATCACACACCCACACTCGCACTCACACACCCACACTCACTCACACACCCACACTCACACACCCAGAATCACACACCCACACTCGCACTCACACACCCACACTCACTCACACACCCACACTCACACACCCAGAATCACACACCCACACTCACTCACACACCCACACTCACACACCCAGAATCACACACCCACACTCGCACTCACACACCCACACTCACTCACACACCCACACTCACACACCCAGAATCACACACCCACACTCACTCACACCCACACTCACACACCCAGAATCACACACCCACACTCGCACTCACACACCCACACTCACTCACACACCCACACTCACACACCCAGAATCACACACCCACACTCACTCACACACCCACACTCACACACCCAGAATCACACACCCACACTCGCACTCACACACCCACACTCAGTCACACACCCACACTCACACACCCAGAATCACACACCCACACTCGCACTCACACACCCACACTCACACACCCAGAATCACACACCCACACTCGCACTCACACACCCACACTCACTCACACACCCACACTCACACACCCAGAATCACACACCCACACTCGCACTCACACACCCACACTCACTCACACACCCACACTCACACACCCAGAATCACTCACACACCCACACTCACACACCCAGAATCACTCACACACCCACACTCACTCACACACCCACACTCACTCACACACCCACACTCGCACTCACACACCCACACTCACTCACACACCCACACCCACACTCACACACCCACACTCACACACCCACACTCGCACTCACACACCCACACTCACTCACCCACAATCACCCACAATCGCACTAATACACACAATCACACTCACTCACAATCACACCTATAATCACACTCACACCTACAACCACACCCACAATTACTCACACCCACAATCACACCTACACTCACACCCACAATAACACCCACACTCACTCACACTCACACACCCAGAATCACACACCCACACTCGCACTCACACACCCACACTCACTCACACACCCACACTCACACACCCAGAATCACACACCCACACTCGCACTCACACACCCACACTCAGTCACACACCCACACTCACACACCCAGAATCACACACCCACACTCGCACTCACACACCCACACTCACACACCCAGAATCACACACCCACACTCGCACTCACACACCCACACTCACTCACACACCCACACTCACACACCCAGAATCACACACCCACACTCGCACTCACACACCCACACTCACTCACACACCCACACTCACACACCCAGAATCACTCACACACCCACACTCACACACCCAGAATCACTCACACACCCACATTCACTCACACACCCACACTCACTCACACACCCACACTCGCACTCACACACCCACACTCACTCACTCACACACCCACACCCACACTCACACACCCACACTCGCACTCACACACTCGCACTCACACACCCACACTCACTCACCCACAATCACCCACAATCGCACTAATACACACAATCACACTCACTCACAATCACACCTATAATCACACTCACACCTACAACCACACCCACAATTACTCACACCCACAATCACACCTACACTCACACCCACAATAACACCCACACACATCCACTCATACACACACCCACACTCACATATTCCCATTCACACACACCTACTCACACCCACAAATTCACACAACCGCTCACACCCACACACACACATACACCTCACACCTACTCACACCCATACTCACGCTCACATTCACACTCACACCCACACATACACAGACTCACACACACCATCTCTCAGCTCCACTGGCTTCTGGCCACACACTCACAGCCACTCACTCACACCCACACTCACACACACTCCTCAGAGGATTGAATTCAATCTCCTCATCTTCGTGTTCAAGTCCCCCATGTCTTTGGCCACTCAACTTCTGTGACCTGTTTACCTAATGTCCCAGCCATTAATGTCCTTTGCTCAACTGCTCCATGTCGCCCGCAAAGGGACCCCTAAATGGGGGAACGTTTAGCCATTTTGCCCGCACTCTGGAACTCCCATCTTAGAGCCCCTCTGCCTTGCCTCCCCCCCACCCTCCTCCCAACAACCCCTTTAAATTCCACATTAAGACCTTTGCACTGTGATTTAGGCACCTTCCCCCCACCCCAGCTCTCCCTGTCCGCAGTTTGGGCTCCCAGTGGGCTGTGAAGTGTTTTGAGATGTCGTCCTAATTTGAAAGGTGCAACATAAATGTAAATTGTTATATTGTCCACTCCTTGGGTGGGGGTGTGGTCTGTTATTCTGTATTCCCATCCCCCCCCCAAATCCCTGGGTGAGATTCCAGCTCGGAGGGGGGGGGGGGGGTGGGGTGCAATATTCTATATATGACCCCCCCCCCCAACCCTTGAATTGGATTCCAGTCTGTAAATCGCTGTTATATCTCTCTCTGCCTCTGTTGTTCAGAATGTAATTCTGCACATTTTGTTGTAGATGTGTCTTTCTCCCAGATAATGGCGCTTTCTTTGTTAATTACATCATAACATCCAGTCTAATTGGTACCGCGATGGAACTTCTGCGGATTCCGGGTCTGATCGTTTACGCCTTGCGATTGTGCTTTGCTAAAACAGAACCTGAGCAGATCCATGTGAAGAAGGTATGTTCTGTGCACAATGTTTCTTGCTCGGCTCAGACTGTTGATTAACCAGATGGAAGTTACCCAGGGTTCAGCTGTGCTAAGGAAGCACATTTTACTTGTAATAAATAATAGGCGTTGTGTTTTATGTCGGGGCTTATCATGTCCCAAAATATATCAATCATATCACTTACAAATAGAAAGCTGATTAACGCAGAGCCTCAGTCTGTGGCAGTGAGTGACAGCAAATCCAACAATCTGGGAATACAAAAACACAAGTGGCTGGGAACACTCTGCCGGTCAGGCAGCTTCTGTGGAGAAAGGAAAGTGAGACAACCCTTCGAGTCCACAACCCTTCGCCAGAACTGGGGCATGTTGGGATGGAGAAGCTTTTAAGGACTAACAGAGAGCGGGGAGGCTGGGCAAAGAAAACAAAGGAGAAAATGGGGTAGAGAACAGGGGTTGATGGGTGAAAGATGCAAAACAAAGGGGGGCAGGGGGTGGAAATTGCAACAAAACAAACAGACCAGAGAGAGAAAAGGTATGTCTGGGACCAAGATGATGTAGTGATGCTCACAGGGGTGGGGAAGGTCAGCTGTTATGGTCTGAAATGTTTGAAATCAATATTGAGGCCAATCTGGGAAGTCAGATTATTTTTGTTGCTGGGACAGCAAATGGCAAATGCTGTTCAATATGGATAAATGTAAGTGATTATTATTGGAATAGGGTTCATTATTAGAATAGATGTGGGTACAGTGCTGGTCAGGGGAAAGATTCACTCCACAGCAGAAAGTGGATAGATGGAAAATTGGGTTGCATTAGCAGTGAGGCTGCTGTTTGAGGAGATTGATAACTCAGAAAATGCTTTTTTCCTCCACTGTTCACATGGAGAAAAAGTATTCCACCAACTGTGCCTACACTAGTGGCCATCAGACAGCTTGGGAATCAATCATCCGAAACCCTCATCTGTTTCTCACCATCATTTGCTGTTTTACTTGACTAGATGCAAACTGTGTGTCCCCATGCTGGCTCCTGTGTGTACTGTACTCTGTGCGCTTTGAGACGCTACCCTGTGTGCAGGGTGCTATATAAGTTGTGTTGTTATTGTACTGTACAATACAACAACAACAAAATTACATTTATAGAGCACCATTCATGTCGGCAGGACGTCCCAAGGCGCTGGACAATCGGGTCAGGATGTGAGCATGGGGGAGGGGTGGTGTAGGGGTGAGGGAAGGCAGAGAGGTGAGAGGGCGACCAAATGCACGATTGAAGAAGTGGATCTTGAGACCGGCCTTGAAGGGGGCAAGGGAGGAAGCGAGGCGAAGGGACCGTGGGATGGAGTTCCAGAGTGTGGGGGCAGAGAGGCTGAAATCTCGGCCACCGATGACAGGTCGGGCGGGAGACATGGAGCAGCCAGAATCCGCTGAATGGAGGGAGCGGGCAGGTTGGTAGGGAATCAGCAGGTCAGAGAGGTAGGAGGGGGCAAGGCCATGGATAGCCTTGAAAGTGAGGATGAGGATCTTGAATTTGAGGTAAAAGGCAGTAATTTACTCCCATGTGGAATAAAATTTCACTACTAGTTCCTAACCCTCTGCATTTGATTGTAATGCCTTCCACGTTGTGAGAAGTTCTCAAAGAGTTTCGCAGGATTTACTGTAAAGTGTAGTGACTGTGTATTTTGTAGATGAATGCAGCAGCCAATTTGCACGTAGCAATGTCCCACAAATAGCCATTACCATGCGAAGGACCATGTTTATGTGGGGGACTGTTGCTAGTATTGCCAATGGAATCTTTAACGTCCACCTGAGCAGGCACAGACAAGTCCTTGATTTAATGTTTAATCCGAAGGGCGGTGTCTCTGTCATGTGGTGCGGACTAGAGCATCAGCCTAGACTTTGAGTTCCCAGGCCTGACATCGGGCTTAAATCCACAAGTCTTTGACTTGGAGGCAAGAATGCTAACAACTGATTATGTGTGTGTGTGTGTACTAGTTCCCTTGTGTACAGTACACGTCCGATAAAAGGATTCATTCCCGTTTGGTGCTATCTGACTTGTGTTTCTGTGTCAGTTCCTGATTGTATATAATACAAAAGTAACACTTAGGACTTGTTTAAGCCATTCGGTTTTGTCAATTTTTGTTCAGTTGAAGGAAGTTCAGGTCTTGGTGTGTGAGTCAGGCTCAGGGCAGCCGAGATACTGGAGTTGAGGGAGAATTGAGCATTATCCATATTCACCTGGAAGTGAATGGTCTGTGACTGATGTCACCAAGGGGGAGAGGAACAAGGGTAGAACCCTGAGGAAGTGGGGGCAGGACATGGAGTTGTTTGGGAAGGTTTGCTGGGTACACACTGGTAACAGGGGATGATTCACTCCTCTCTGAGTATTTATATCTCTTTGTGTCTGCAGAGTCAGGCCTATGAGTATCAGTACGGGTTAGAATACGCCTGGACCATGTGCAGCTTTGCTGTTGTGATGACGTACAGCATCACATGCCCACTCATTGTCCCCTTTGGTGAGTGTGGAGTTATCACAATTGCCCCGCACACTCTCCCTCTTGCTCTTTACCTCTCCCATTCTCTTTTGTAATCACTTTTTACCTTCTCCCTCTCACTCACATTCAACCTCTCACCGTCTCACTCTTGCTCTCACACGTCTGTCACTTTCACTCTCTCTTTCCCTTATGCTCTTACTCTCATTCTCATGTTCACTTGGTCTCCTGCTCTCACTCACTTGTTTCCCCCTCTCGCCCTCTCCCATGTTCTCTCTCTCTCTCTCTCTCCCTCCCTCCCTCCCTCCCTTCCATATTTTCTCTCTCTCTCATGTTTTCTCTCTCTCTCCCATGTTTTCTCTCTCTCTCTCCCATATTTTCTCTCTCTCTCTCCCATATTTTCTCTCTCTCTCCCATGTTCTCTCTCTCTCACTCTTCCATGTTCTCTCTCACACTCTTTCTCTCGTGTTTTCATTTTCTTGTACTCGCGCCTCTTTCATATCCTGTGCTGCCTTCTCTCACAACATTCCCATGCGCTCCCATTCCCGTTTTCTCTCTCTCTCGTTTTCTTTCTCTCTCTCTCTCCATTTTTTTCTTGTTCAAACCCTGTCCTTTCTTCTCTCTCTCCCTCTGTCCTTGTGTGCAGGGCTGGTGTACATGCTGCTCAAGCACCTGGTGGATCGCTACAACATTTACTATGCCTGCGTCCCGACCAAACTGGATCAGCACATTCACTCTGCGGCTGTCAGTCAGGTCATCATGGGCCCCATCCTCTGCATGTTCTGGCTCCTCTTCTTCTCTGTATTGCGCTTGGGTAAGTATTATTACATCTCACCCACTGTATCTGCCCTTTCCAGTGCCCTGGGATGTCTTTCAAACCTGAATAGCGCTGTACAGATGTGATTTGCTGCTGTTGCTCAACTCACACACTGGGACCAGCAGTTGTTACAGAGGATATGTGGATGTATATGGGGGAGCAGTGCACATGGCTGGGGGGAGCCAGAGTATTTAATTATCTGGGTTCCCCCCCCCCCCACCCAAGCCCGAGTTCAGCATTGTGGGTATTTACCACCTTGTGTCTCTGCAGGTCCGGTCCAGCCCATCACTCTCTTCACGTTTATCACTCTGCTTTTTTGCATTATCTTCTCTATACTTGGGGCTTGCATCAAACGATTCAAGAAGCAGCAAGTTCCCAGCTACCAGGTGAGACTCTGCTGTTTCAGGTGTGAGACGCTCAGATCCTACAGGATGGTCATGTCCTTCCCTCAGCTCATACAAGCTCGGAAATCATCACAGCTGCCCGCGCTGGGGTTTCAAAGCAGAAGCCACACTCACTAACTGCCTGGCTGGGGCCAGGCTGGTGGCTGGGGCCTGGCTGGTGGCTGGGGCCTGGCTGGGGCCTGGCTGGTGGCTGGGGCCCGGCTGGTGGCTGGGGCCCGGCTGGTGGCTGGGGCCAGGCTGGTGGCTGGGGCCTGGCTGGTGGCTGGGGCCTGGCTGGGGCCTGGCTGGTGGCTGGGGCCCGGCTGGTGGCTGGGGCTCGGCTGGTGGCTGGGGCCTGGCTGGCGGCTGGGGCCTGGCTGGCAGCTGGGGCCCGGCCGGTGGCTGGAGCCCGGCTGGCGGCTGGGGCCCGGCTGGTGGCTGGGGCCCGGCTGGTGGCTGGGGCCTGGCTGGGGCCTGGCTGGCGGCTGGGGCTGGCAGCTGGGGCCCGGCTGGTGGCTGGGGCCTGGCTGGGGCCTGGCTGGCGGCTGGGGCCTGGCTGGCGGCTGGGGCCCGGCTGGTGGCTGGGGCCCGGCTGGTGGCTGGGGCCCGGCTGGTGGCTGGGGCCTGGCTGGCGGCTGGGGCCTGGCTGGCAGCTGGGGCCCGGCCGGTGGCTGGAGCCCGGCTGGCGGCTGGGGCCCGGCTGGTGGCTGGGGCCCGGCTGGTGGCTGGGGCCTGGCTGGGGCCTGGCTGGCGGCTGGGGCTGGCAGCTGGGGCCCGGCTGGTGGCTGGGGCCTGGCTGGGGCCTGGCTGGCGGCTGGGGCCTGGCTGGCGGCTGGGGCCCGGCTGGCGGCTGGGGCCCGGCTGGTGGCTGGGGCCCGGCTGGTGGCTGGGGCCCGGCTGGCGGCTGGGGCCTGGCTGGCGGCAGTGTTCTCTGGGATGGAGACATGAGGTAGAACCTCCTGATTATCTCTTGGAGTGAGGGTGAGGTTTGTTATTGGGTCAGATGAGGAAACACAAAGATACAGTGTGATCAGTTTCTCTTATTTGTTATATTCTGACACCAGGATGTGCAGCAACAAGGATGAAAGAAGAGAAAGACCCAAGACAGGTAGAAAGAACAAGATTATGAGGAAGAAAGATTTGTGGCCGCATTATTCCTGAGTAACTCCTGGAACGATTCCTGGTGTTACTACTGGTGACTCCTGGATTAACTGCTATGTACAGACTCCATTGGCTCCTTAGTCTAGAGCGAGGCTGAGACACAAACTATGTCTAACGTGCTGGACTGCCTCATGTATATCCATGTCGTGTGATATCTCTTCAACCCCTGCATTAGATTCCCATCTGTAACTCAGTACAGGGTTGCATTATTCTATATATTTACCCCCAAATTCCTGGATTGAATTCCAGCCTGTAACTCACTCATGTGGATCAGTTATTTTACAAATGAACTCTTGAACTAATAATAATAATAATCCTTGCATTTGATATAGCGCTTTTCACGTCCGGAGGACGTCCCAAAGCGCTTCACAGAACACACTGTAAAGTGAATTGACTGTATATTTGTGGGCGAACGCGGCAGCCAATTGCGCACAGCAATGTCCCACAAACAGTCATGGATTGAAAATGACCAATTTATTATTGTGTTTTTGGTTTTGGAGGGATTATTATTAGGCTCTGTGTGGAGTAAGGAAACTTGCCCAAGGTTTCGCCCTCTGCCTGGAATTGAACTCAGGTCTCTCACTTGCAAAGCGAGTGCTCTAACCACTGAGGCAATAAAGTTACTAATAATCCTAATTGTAATATCCATTTGAAAAAATGTCTAACTTTGAAGCATCTCAAAGTGCTTCACAGGAAGTAATTTGCAGCAAATGTGGTTGTTAATTTTGCACATTAATAAAGAATCAGTTATGAAGTACAGTATCCAGCTATCCAGATCCCATTTGTCCGCAATTTAGAATCTAAAATTTTGTGTGCTAAAAAATTCATTTCACATTTTTAAACTCCCGCCAGCCAATGTGGCGCACCAGTGGTGAGCACAGAATTATTATTTTCTTTGTCAATTGTATGTTTTGCCAACAATACATATAGTCACTCCACTTTACAGAATATTCTGTGAAGCGCTTTGAGACATCATGAAGCTGTGGTAAGGCGCTATAGAAAATGCCAGAATTATTATTTAAAATTATTCTTTTGAGTATTTTAAACGTTCAGGAGGATTTATTTTTATTTACTTTAAATGTAAGGATTAGCCGTCAGTGGGAATCTGCTTCCCGGACCGGATCTCCAACTACTAACAACAAATTGTGTTTATATAGTGCCTTCCACATGGGGAGACTAGTGAGATGAGTGTGGAGTTTAGTGTAAGTGGTGAGTGTGGAGTTTACTGTAAGTGGTGCATTAATGGAGGGAATGTTGGCCAGGACTCCGGGAGAAACTCCCTCCTGATCTCCCAACAGTATCGCAGCAGCTTAAAGCGTCTGAACATGTAAAGGGAACTTTGAATTATTATTGATCTGAAGGACGAGACCTTGGGACAGTGCTGCTCCCCCAGCACAGCACACTACTGAATCCTGTATAGGGTCTAACTTGACTCACAGTTGTACAGCAAACACACAATCTTCTGTATTCAATACGTAAATCTCCTTTATTTATTAATCTTTCGTTTGCAGATGGCAGACCAGCAGTCAGAGAGTGGCTTCACGGACACTGAGAGATCCAGCGTATCTTCAACACCAAATTCCACTGTAAATATTTCAGTGGCATTAAATGCTATACCTTTGGACTCTACATCTTTAACCTCTGGAACTCTTTCCCTCCCCTTCTGTCTTTTAAATCCTGTCTTAAAACCTATTTCTTCAAAAGCTGGTGGATTCAATAACAACTTGTAGATAATTATTTGGGGAGGACAAGTTTGCTATTGGGAGAGCGCGGGGGAGTGGGATTGAATTGGAAACTCTTTTCAAAGAGCAGCGCAGACATGATGGGCCGAATGGCCTCCTTGTGTACTGTATAAATCTATGATTCAACCATGTCTATGGCCGCCTCTCTCCATCTGCGAGTGACTCGTCTTTGTAAAGTGTTCCGGGATGCTATCCTACGTGAAGGTGCTATTTTAATTCACAGTTGTTGGTCCTCACCACATCCTGTCTTAACCACCTCATACCCCCTCCTTGACACCCCCTCCTCACCTCCCTCAGCCCCTCTTCACTCAGGTTTGACGAAGACTTGGTATGTTGATAGACAACAGTTGGATCCTGGCTTTGCTGGGCAGTTGGAAAGATTGATATGAAGCATTTCTTAGCCTTGTGTCTATTGAGGGAGAAGCTGCACTGAGGGAGAGGTTGTGGTGGAAATTTTATTTTCTGCTAATCTATCTGTGTCACTGTATCTCTGTCTATCTGTAGTTGTTCATCACACTATGTCTGTAGTTGTACATCACTCTCTCTGTCTGTCTGTCTGTAGTTGTGCATCGCTAATCTCTCTGTGTCTCTGATGCTGTAGATGTACATTGCTGCGGTTCTGCAGGATCCTGAGGTTGGGCTGACACCTGCAGCCTCGCCTGCACACCTGTCTTATGGAGCAATGGGAAACCGTGTGGAAGGGACTAAACTGGGAAACACGGATCAGATGCAAAGTTTGGAATCAGACCTGGAACGTCAGCAGGATTTGGCACCAGGATCGTTAATGGATAACGAAATCCAATATCACTAGCATGAGATATCAACGGGACATAATTTAGCGTTGCATTAACTGGCAGGATGCCTGTCACTGAGCAGAAGCTGTTTATATCCGGAGCTGGAGTGAGATGGATACTGAAATCTAACTGACTTGCCAAGTTGCTCTGCCAACAAGGGGGAAATGCTGTGCTGTTCAGATCAATTTCCATCACTTGTTCTGTCTCCGTGCTTTGGATGGAAGGCTCACTTAGACTACTCTGCCTGTCTCGGGAGCTGCATGTGGTGGTACCAAGACTCGGTGAGAAATGAGAAACCAGAGACACTGAACAGCATCCAGAGCCATCGCTTAACCCTAAGCTGCACCAGCCACTGACACAGGCGGCTTTGTACCTATCTATAGATACACAGGGCTTGTCAGTCGCATACTGCTGTTACTTTTTGCTGTAATATATGAAACTAAGTGGCCTTTTTCACTGCTCACCTGATGTTCCGATTGTGTTTTAACTGAACGTAATATTCGATAAATACCACGCTGCTCGATTCTGCTCCAGCTCCTTGGTTGTGTTTTTGCACTGTTACTGTTTCACAGAAGCTGCATTCCTCCTTGGCGCTCGGTGCATGTAATCTCGGAGCTGCATTAACAGGTGATCACTAAACGCTAAGCTTGTGGAGATGTGGGCATCGGTAGGAGCCGCAGTCATTGCTCTTCTCACCGCCAGGCGCTCTGCTCTTCTCAGTGCAGTTAGTGATAGTGGGGGAGCTGGGGTCAGCTGTGAGTGACAATGACTGACTCACGGGCAGGTAGATAAGGCAGTAAAAAAGGCATTTGGTGTACTGAGCTTTATTAATAGGGGCGTAGAGTATAAGAGTAGGGAGGTTATGGTTAATCTATACAAATCACTGGTTAGACCTCAGCTGGAGTACTGCGTCCAGTTCTGGGCACCTTACCTCAGGAAGGACATTAAGGCACTGGAAAGGGCGCAGAGGAGATTCACGAGAATACCAGGAATGGGGAACCTTAGCTATGAGGACAGTGGAGAAGTTAGGACTTTTCCCATTAGAGCAGAGAAGGTTACGCAGGGACCTGATAGAGGTCTTCAAGATCATGAAAGGTTTCGACAGGCGAGATAGGGAAAAGCTGTTTCTGCTGGTAGGTGTGTCTGTGACCCGTGGCCACAGTCTTAAGATACCTACCAAAAGAAGCAGAGGGGAGGTTAGAAGAAATGTTTTCACTCAGCGAGTTGTTAGAATTTGGAATGATCTGCCTGAAAGGGCAGTGAAGTCTGATTCGATAACAGCTTTTAAGAGAACTGGACACAGGTATCGGGGAAGACAGGTTTGCAGAGTTATGGGGAGAAAGCTGGTGATTGGGGTCAGTGAAAGTGACTCGATGGGCCGAATGGCCTCCTTCTGTGCCGTAACATTCTATGAATCTATGAATATTGTGGTTACAGGGAGATTGGGGCAGTTATTGCTCTGCTGTCTGTTTTCCAGTGTCTTGTATTCGCTACCACCCAACTTGGGATCTTCAGCTAATTTAGAATTTGTTCTACTGATGCCAAATTTTCAAATCATTGATAAACAAAAGACAGCAGGGGTTCCACATTATTTTTTCAAGCTGTGTCTTATGTAGCACCTTATCTAATGTCATCTAGAAATCTTTCTGTACAACGGGATTTTTTGATTCTAAACAATGATTTCTATCCACTCCTCACAATTTCTATTCTGTATTATTGTCTCTAGACGTTTCCCTACAATTGAGGTAAAACAAATGGATTATAATTTATTCCCTGTTCCCTCTTTTAAAATGATTGTAACGTTATCATCCTGCAGTACTTTGCTCAATTCTGTTTCAATCGACATTTTGGAAAGTTGTGGCCAGTGGTTATCTCCTCTCTGCCCGCCAATAAGATAAACTGTTACTAGTCAAGCCAGGTGGCTTTTCTATATCATATCCTCATAACTTTATTAATATAATATAATATTTGTAACCAGTGATGCTCCCTGACCTTTATCTAGATAAAAATTAAATCAAAAGAATTTTTGTCATGAGGAATATTGTTTGATCCCAGAAGAAGCTGAAATGTCCAGGGTGCACAGCCATCCCCAGGAAACCAAGGATGGACTGTGGTCCATGGGGGTGGGAAATGGAGGAGAGAATCCCAAGGTACCCTATGGGGGTGAGGAGGTGGTGGGGGCGACCAGGAAAGATAAGAGAAGATGGTATGTGTGAAATGTTTGGATTGTTCATGTAGTTCAGAATGGAATAAAATAGCAACACACTTCAACAGAGACACCCTCCATTATTATTAAATATGCTTTAGTCATTGGTTGGACCACAGCATTGCTCAAAAAATTACATTACACTGAAAAACACCACCGTCAGTGAGACATCAACAGTGAAATTAAACAAAGAACTTGTTCAATCCTGGAATTATTGCTTCAAATCTGTTCCAGACCCTGAACATTATCACAAGATTGTGAAATAGGATTTCTCCAAACCAGTAGCTGCTTCCCACACGATTTGGCATTATATTGAGGAATGTGTCTGGTGGCTGATCTGATAGGCTGGTTGTTATATTTGGGAGCTTCTGTAATTTCAGTCATTTCTACTCATTAATTTGATTACAAATCCATAATTATAAGCATCTACTCAAAGCTCCTGATTTATGCCAATAGCAAGACTAAATGTGCTGCTTTCTTTCAATTTGACCCCAAGAAAATGTGCTGCTTTCTTTCAATTTGACCCAAGAAAAGGATTATCTGTAAATGACTAAGATCTGACAGGAGGTACTCACCAACAGGATTGGTGTCTAGCACCGAATAACAACAGTTGTGTTGATTGGAGTGTCAGAAATTGCTCTCAATTGTAACTTCAAGTTTCATGAATTAAAAAGGAAAACATTTCAAAACTTATTTTTATTCTGAGGATCTTTTAAAATTTGAATATTAGCTTAGAAGCTAATAATTACTTTTGCCCAGTGGGTCATAGACAGTCACAGCTGGGTTCACTCTCCTGATGGTTTGGGGTCTCTAACCGTGAGGTGACATCTCGCTGTGTTCAATAAAAACATATATACCACAGTTTAAACAATGTTTTTAAAATTTCATTAAATACCTTGTGTATCTGGCTTAGTTTTCAATTGGACTAAATATTTAAGTAATTCTATTGCCTTCCTCAGATCTTGCTGATCCGGCTCGATAGCGCCCCCCAGCGGTCATTGGCTGAGTGGCGACCCCTGGTTTGGGGCCGTTTACAGTAGCTCAGAGGTCGAGGCTCCATCAGCCAGTGGAACTCAGAATCCAGTCACCAAACATCACCAAACATCACTAGCTGTGGACTTGAGGAACTCATTTCACAGAGAGAGGCCTCAATATTTTAGTTTCATTCTCAAGCCTATCCTAAACCTAATACCTGTCTAACCCAAGTAAATTGAAGAGCATTGGAAACCCTGAGTAAGTGCTGTTGATCCTCTTTGGGATGCCCTTTGAAAGAGCAGCCATGCCCCTAATAGCCCCCAATAGTTTCTCAACATTTCAGTATCATGATATTTCCCAATTTAAAGTGGTAACTAACAAAGTATAAAAACAAAGAGCTCAACAGGAATGAGCCTCAGTGCCGCCCTGTCCCACTAAAATTCCCAGGATTCCATCCACTTCAATCCTGCCATGGGACTCCGAGGATTGTGAGCAAGAGGTCCAACCATACCATAGGACAATGGCAGAAACAAGTGGAAGCTGAAGGAAAAGGATCCACAGGAAGAGAACGATTAGTTGTTGGACAGATTGCTGCACAACTACTGTAAATGAATCAGATTGAAGTCAACACTGGTGTGTGGGCTGGGAGGGGGTACAGTGAAATTGGATCACTAGAGGCAAGGTTCCTGCTACCTTATGATCTGCTTCATCAAGCTGTAAGACAACACCCCCTGCAGGCTGAGGGGCTTTAGCTGGATAAGCAGGAAGCTTCTCAGTGCATTGTCTGAGGTTTATAGCGCAAATAAATTAAAATTAGGTTTTTCATCTGTGTTGCCTGATATGTGCATAAACCCATCATTGTATATATATATAACAATCCTTGCATTTTTTATAGCACCTTATCACATCTAGGTTCACGCTTCACAGAATATACTGTAAAGTGAATTGATTATATTTTGATGGCGAAATCCAGATAGATATTATATATTTGTTATATGAGAGAGGTATTGTATAATATATACATAATACAATATATATGGTTTATTTTATACAGTAAACCTCACATTTCAGCCTCAAAATATACAGTCAATTCACTTATATTCATTGTATTCTACATTCTATGTTATACATTATATTCTGCGAAGCGCTTTGCGACGTCTCAAAGTTGTGATAATGCACTATATCAAATGCAAGGATTATTATTATTATAAGTCACATCAGTCGGGACCATAACATAATAATAATAATAATAATAATAATCCTTGCATTTGATATAGCGCTTTTCACGTCAGGAGGACGTCCCAAAGCGCTTCACAGAACACACTGTAAAGTGATTTGACTGTATATTTGTGGGCGAACGCGGCAGCCAATTGCGCACAGCAATGTCCCACAAACAGTCGCAGATTGAAAATGACCAATTTATTATTGTTTTGGGTTTTTGGAGGGATTATTATTAGGCGTGTGGAGTAAGGAAACTTGCCCAAGGTTTCGCCCTGCCTGGACATATGACTTGTGTGACTCCAAATTGCAGGCAAACTGTGGGAGTTGTATAAAATCCGATTTAATCAATAATCTAAGTGTGCATAATTCACTAAAGCTGGTTAGTGTGCATGTGTTGATAGATTAAGACTACGTTTCCTACAATTCATTGAGAATATTAAGCACAGGGCTTTGGTTTTCAGGGCTAATAAACGGTGAGTGGGAAGAATCCGACTCCCAGTGACCTGTCTGCCTCCCCAAGCCCTGGTAATGAACCCGACTTGTTTGTGATGGTCTTGAAGGATCCATAGCTGCTGACAAAGAACTGACTCAATTCTGACATTTATTGCATCACATCACAGCTCCAACAGGAAGGAGAGCTGAGTGAGCACACAATGAATCTACCCTTTGCTGTAGTTGATCGCAAACTGCTGATGTGACAGTGACAATAAAGGGAATTTTTTTGTGTACTAACATTGGACCTGACCTAGAGCTGGAAAAAAAAGGAAAGAACCTTAATTTGAAGCACTTGCAGTAATTAATGTTAAGTGAAGTGACTGTTTGATCGGCAAACATGACAGCCATTTTGTGCACAACAAGGTCCCACAGCCAATGAAGTGAACAACTGATCAGGGGAAATATTTGGCAGGACATAGGGAGCAGCTTCCTTCTCACAGGAAATGTCACAGGACCTTTAATATCTATCTGAACAACAGGCAGTGGGACCAGGGTTTAATATTTTAATGGAAGGACAGTCAATTCTGGATTAGAAGTGTCTGGGATTGAATTCATAATCTTCTGAGCCAGAGTTGAGAGTGAATTGTTTGAAAACGCTCACATCTTGATAATTAAAGAAAATGTAATTACAGCTTCAATAGACTTTAAATCAAAAAATAATGTATTGTCTGCATGGTGCCCTTTATGGAACTATATTGTTATTCACCAGCACACTTTTACCCAACTGCATTAAGATAGATCAACTGCACTGACACTGAATCAGATTTTGTGCATATTCTTAAAAGTGCTGTGTAAATACATGTTGCTGTTGTGGATGTAGATTATTGTTGTTAATAATGCAACTGAATTCTGCTGGGTTAGAATCTATGCCACTTTGTTCAATGCAACAACAATTAGATTCCATTTATAGAGCGCCTTTCACGTCGGGAGGACGTCCCAAGGCGCTGGACAGTTGGGTTGGGACCTGAGCAGGGGAGAAATGGTCAGGGTGAGGGGAGGGAAGGGAGGGAGCGAGAAGGGGGGAAATGGTGAGGGGAGGGAAGGAGGAGAGTGAGGAGGGGGTAGAGAGTCGAGAGGGGAGCTGAAGGTACGGTCAAAGAGAAAACAGAAGCCTGGGGTTGTTCTTCGCCTCCAGGATTATCCTGGAGTAGAAGGACGATTTGGCCGAGGCTAGAGTGGAGCGGTAGATTTTGAGGAGGTCCAGCCAGATTTGAGGCAGGTGCGTTCAGCGGCCCACACCTGGCTCTTCAGTGAGCGGAGGTGGGTGGTGAACCAGGGGGAGGAGCGAGAGTAGGAGACAGTACAGGAAGGAGAGGGTGTTGTGGAGGAGGGTGAGAGCAGAAAAGGGGTCAGTGAGGGTTGAAGGCCAGAGGGAGAGGAGTTCAGAGGACTCCAAGGCAGCGGTTAGGGATTGTGGGGGTAACTTCTTCCAGGGGCGGTAGAAGATGATGGTGGGTCTGGTGGAGGTGGGGAGGGGGGTGGAGGTGGTGAAGGAGATGAAGTGGTGATCGGAGACGGCCTTGTCGGTAATGGTGACATCCGAGACACTGAAGCCTCGGGTGATCACCAAATCGAGTGGGTGGCCGTGACTGTGAGTGGCGGAGTTGATGTGGGGGGAGAGGTTGAGCGAAGAGAGCAGGGAGGAGAAGTCTGAGGAGATGGAGCAGGAGGGGGTGAAGTGCAGGTTGAAGTCGCCCAGGATGATGAGGCGATCAGAGCAGAGGCAGAGAGATGTAAGTAGGGTAGAAATATCGGAGATGAAGGTGGGAGAGGTTTTAGGGGGCCGGTAGAGGAGGAGGATTTTGAGTGAGAGGAAGGAGGGATGGGAGAGGGCGAGGTGCACAAAAGAGGGGAAAGAGCCAGAGGAGTAGGGGGATAGAGCAAGTGGTGTCCTTGAGATAAGGACTACACCACCGCCACGGCGGTTGGGGCGAGGGACGTGGTGGGAGGTGTAGCCGGGTGGTGTGGCCTCTGTGAGGAGGAAGGTGTCGCCTGGGGTGAGCCAGGTTTCCGTTAAGGCCATGATGTCAACGGTCTCATCAAGGATGAGATCGTTGATGACCAGGGCCTTGTTACAGAGGGAGCGGACGTTTTGTCGTCTGATGTGGAGGGAATGGTTGACAGAAGGGTGTGTGGGGAGGGAGTGGGGGGTCCAGGTTGTGAGGCAGGGGTGGGGGGAATGGATATGAGGGAGGAGAGGTTGGCTCCCTGGGTCTGTGTGTGGGGTGGCTGGCGAGTGTGGTGGGGAATGGAGCAGTCGGTGTGGCTGCTGCTGGACAGCCAACGCCGAGTGCCGCGGTGAGCCCGGCGGAGGATTCCCAGGCTGGAACTGAGGGAGGTTGTGGGAGGGTCAAGTGTGGATAGAAGGCGAGAGGGACGGAGAGAGAGGAGGACAGAGCGGGAGAGATGCAGAGGGGGGAGGGTTTGGGGGGAGAGAGGAGGGGGAGGGAGGGGGTGAGGGGCCTTGGGTCAGAGCGGCAGCCATAATGCGCACCCGGGGACCGGGAGCGAGTGGTCAGGTGGATGGCATTAGCCCATAGGCTGGGGCTGGGGCAGCCAACCCAACAGGACCATTGTGGGCCCTGATGCCAGCCCTGGGGGGGCGCAGAAGGTTTTTTTTTTGTACGCCCACACTCCTGAAACTAAACTATGACGTCAGCGGTTCCCCCGCTCCGCCCTCTCCCCGCCTCCCCCCCACACCTCGAGCTGAACTCCCTGCCGCCTCGTGCTTTATACTACTTGAGAAGGTAGGCCCAGGCTCCTCCCCGCGCAGTCCTGCTGCCGCTCCCCGTAAACCATCAATTGGCCAAAAAGAATTTTAGGAAAATGTAGTGACTGACCTGTAGGCACAGACAAGGCCAAGGAGAGCCATACCCCCCAGGTACATCCCTCGAGCAGCTGCAGGTCTCAGGAAAGTGTCACAGCTCTGCAGTAAGATGTGCCAAGTGATTGCTAGGATAGAAAAGGAAACTCGTGACAAGCAGCAGAAATTTACTCTACACCAGGGGAGAGGGCAACCTGTTGGGTGTCGGGGGCCAGAGGCCCTATTTGAGAAACGTCCGCAGGCCACAAAACCAATATTTTTGTTCTTCCTTTCCAGAAACGTGTAAGAATCATATAGAAATCCTAGGTTTTGAATTGTGATACTGTATCACTTAATAATCATCTCAAATGGAAATATATGCAGCAATTTTTTTTTATTGGGGTAAAAACATAACTCAGCACATGGGAGAGCTAAACAGAGAATGCTCAACAAAACCCAAATAGATTAATCCACTATTGCAAAACTAACTGTGAACTTCTTCAACACAGATCTGACTTACAAGCAAACAAGACAATTTCATTTCTTTCAACAGACAAGTAATCCACTTCCCACCAATGCCAAAATCCTGCACCTTCCACATCTCATACTGAGGCTTCTAGTTCTGTAGTTTTAGAATTGCAAAATCCTCCTCTTCTTGCTGCTTTGGCTGTGCCTCACTGGGCTGCTCCAGGCTGAAGCAGTGGGTAGACGTGATGGGGAGGGGAGGGTAAGGCTGGATACCTCCTGCTCCGCTCACTTCCTGTCACTCTCTGTGTTGCCTCAGAGAGACCAACCAGAAGAGGAAGAGCCGGATGGAAAAACAGTGAAGTGGGACATGATTTGGGGGCCAGACAAAATCATCCTTTTGAAGTTTGGGGCCCGTCTGCTCTACACTATGTGCAGTCCCACTCCAGCTCGGTCTCAATTATAGCCGTTCTTAATGCAGGAGACATAAGATCCAGTTGTAGACAGTGGTGAGTGTATTAAAGACAATGGAATGGACCACACAGTCAATTCTGGGTTAGAAGTGTCTGGGATTGAATCCATAATCTTCGAGTCATTGTCTAAAAACCCTCACATCTTGATAACTAAAGAAAATATTTAATTAGAGCTTTAATAGACTTCAAATCAAAGAATAATGTATTGTCTGCATGGTGCCCTTTATAAAACTATATTGTTATTCACCAGCACACTATTACCCAGGTGAGTATTGGGACGTCCTCCCGACGTGAAAGGCGCTATACAAATGTAATCTTGTTGTTGTTGTATATGGAATAGACCACACAGGGAGGTGATGGAAGTAGATAAAATCAGCATATTCAAAATGAAATTAAATAGCAATTTGGAGCAGAAATTGATTGAGGGATATGTACTTTTTTAAAATTTGAAATCACAGATGGATTACATTCGTCTTTTTCACTCCTTGGCACACTATGTCTCTATGTTAGAACCCACACACTACATTGCCACAGAAATGTTAAAGAATTATGAGGACACAGTTATGAGAGTGGTTCCATGCCACAATGGCATTGAGTCTCAATCTCTTTAAGCCATAAAATAGGAGTGTTGCAGTTACATTTAGGGTGATACCGCACGCAAACAGTCCATTTGGCCCAACTAGTCCATCCCACATGCAAGAGCCCAACGAGATAAATGAATCAAGTAGGTGGACGGACCCTGCTTGGATTCTGCTCGAGGGTGAAACCAAATGGCTTTTATTAGAGAAATCTCACATACCTGTTAACATGCTGCTGAAGAGCATTGCAGGAAAATAATGATGATAATAAAGTATTCGACCCATCAGGTAAAAGGGTAAATAATGGAGTAGCCAAGCAAGCAACACTTGACCACCACCATTCAACACTGTACGACTGCGGTCTGGAACCAACAGATAGCAATCTGTTAACACACTACTCAGATCTTCCTAAACTAGAACATAAATCCCCCTCCCCAATAGCAATTCATAGCACAGAACCACTGAAGGTTTACACAAGGATACCATTGCCTTGTGTTTGTCTAGGGAAGTCCTGTAGCTCAGTGGTGAGAGCACTCGCCTCGCAAGCGAGAGACCTGGGTTCGATTCCCAGGCAGGGCCAAACATTAGGCAAGTTTCCTTAGTCCACACGACTCTGTTTACCAGCAGTAAATAGGAACCTGGTTGTTAGTCGATTGACAGATTGCTTTTCCAGGGATAATAATTCCATCCAAAAAATATGATAATAAATTGGTCACTCAATCCACAAATATTTGTGGGACGCTGCTGCGCGCAATTGGCTGCTGCATTTCGCCTACAAAATATAGTGTCAATTCACTTTACAGTATATGTTGTGAAGCACTTTGAGACATCTTGAAGACATGAAAAGGTACTATATCAAATGAAAAATTATTATTATCCCAATGCAGTTCTATACTCTAACCCCACTCTCTGGATTTTTCTACAATTGGGGATCCAAAATTGGCGGTTGATCTCCAACTAGCAACTTTATGTTCCAACTAATGTCTTATAAAATATAAAAATTACTTCCTTACTGTTATATTAAATGCCTCAATTTAATTCTGTTTTTCAGAGCTTTCTCTGCACACAGCCATAGAATCATAAAATTATACAGCACAGAAGGAGGCCATTCGGCCCATTGTGTCTGTGCCATCTCTTTTAAAAGAGCTTCTAATTCAATCCCACTCCCCCGGTATCTCCTCATAGCCCTGGAAACTTGTCCTCCCCAAATAATTATCTACTTCTCTCTTAAAAGCTGTTAACAAATCGACTTCCACCGGCCTTTCAGGCAATGCATTCCAGATCCCAACAACTCGCTGTGTGAGAACATTTCTCCTCACCTGCTCTCTGTTTCTTTTAACGACTATTTTAACTCGGTGTCCTCGGGTTACTGATCCACCCGCCAGTAGGAATAGTTTCTCCTTGTTCACCCTATCGAATCCCCTCATAATGTTTAAAACTTCTATTGAGTCTCCTCTTAACCTTCTCTACTCCAATGAGAATAATCCGAGCTTCTCGAGCCTCTCCTGATAACTGAAGCCCCTCATTCCTGGTACCATCCTGGTCAATCTCCTTCACACCCTCTCCAATGCCTTGACATCCTTCCTAAAATGTGAACTGAACGCAATCCTGCAGCTGAGGTCTAACCAGTGTTTTATGAAGGTTCATCATAACTTCCTGACTGTTGTATTCTATGCCCCTATTTATAAAGCCCAGTATCCCGGGTGTTTTTTTAATAGCTTTATCTACCTGTCCGGTCACCTTCAAAGATTTACCATATGAACCCCCAGGTCTCTCTGTCCCTTCACCCCCTTTAAGATTGTACCATCAGCGTATATTGTTTCTCCTCATTCTGCCTCCCAAATGCATTACTTCACATTTCTCCACATTAAACTTCATCTGCCACGTGTCTGCCCATTTTCCCAGTCTGTCTATGTCGATTTTCAGTCTGCTACTATCCTCCTCATGTTTACTACTTTTCCTAGCTTAGTATCATCAAATTGTACTCCCTATACCCAAGTTCAGGTCATTTATATAGTTATTAAACAAGTCTTGTATTAAACAAGAATCTGGTCTATTTTTAACGAATAAACCAAACCTTAGCTTCAATTCTCCACCACTGAAGGTCTCGGCTGCTGTGACTGTGGGATTGCAGTCTGCGCTGGATACATTACGACATACAAAGCGATTATTGTATCACAGGATATTATACCCTGGTCGTGTGAGTGATCCCCACAATGATTAGGCCTGAAGCTGCCTTTCTATTCATCAGCCCACATTGAGTGCCAGTTCCCAGTAATCCAGCTTCGTGTATCAATTACTTTGGTGGCTTCAGACCCAAACTCTGAGGGTGTCAAAGTCACAGCCAGAAATTGGTGGACAGAATTCCCCATTATCATATAGTAAATTTACTTTCTTTGTTCTTCCTCACAAAATACAAACTTTACATTTCTCTGGTGCCTTTATCTACCATTACAGTGTTTCCCTTAGTTTGATGTCGCTTCCAATTTCACTAACCTTTGATGTGAGAAGTGAGCTTGCACCTTCGCTGTAAACAGACGGCAGTGACGCAGGAGAGGATCAGATAGAGGAGGAGGCTACCCAAGTTCAACCACCAGATCACCTGACAGATAAAGCACAACCTTCAACATAGAACAGTACAGCCCTATGTTAGCTCAGCCAGCAGGACTAACTCCTGAGCTGAATATTACAAATGTCAATTAGGAGCACTGCCCATTGAATGTCTCATGATATGTTTAAAATGGTCACAAACTCTACACACTCAAATTCAAGAAGATTTATATTAATATAAATGATCCATTTATATAAAATGATCTGTGATTACACAGAAGTAGAGAGTGTAGCTAACAATGAAGATGGTAAGCAACTTCAGGGGAAGACAAATTAGTTGTTTGGGCAGCGAAATGGCAAATGTAATTTAATGCAGGTAAATGCAAGATTATACATTATGGGAGGAAGAACAAGGATAACAAGTTTGTTTGGTGGTAAAATATTAAAAGGAGTGGAAAAGCAGAAGGACCTGTGAGTGGGTAGTGGCGGGGTAACATACATAAATCATTAAAGGTGGGAAGTCAGATGGACAAAACTGCAAGAAGCAAATGGAATTGTGGGTTTTATAAACAGGAAATACTCAATATGATTTGGTCACTCAATTCACGAGGTCTTTAGATAGGATTTAAAAGTGGGGAGGGAGGGGGCAAGGCGGAGGGATTGAGGGAGAGGATTTCAGAGCTTCAGGACATAGTGGCTGAAAGCACGGCAGCCAATGGTGGAGCAAGGGGACGAACAGGAGGCTGGAGCTGGCCAAGTGGAGGCAGCGGGTGGTGGAGTGAGAGGTAAGCAAATCAGATTGGTTGGGAGGTGTGAGGACATGCAGGTTGAAGAGGAGTTTTACTCGGGTGATTCCAAGGATGATGATTCCACGGCTGAGTGCTTTTGCCTAGAAGCAGAGACTGGAGGGACTTGGATAATTTATGTTGGATCAAAGAAGGTTGAGGGGTGACCTGAAAGAGATCTTTAAAATTATGAGGGGTTTTGATATTCAATAGGGAGAAATTATTTCCACTGGTTGGTGAGTCAGTGACTGGAGGACGTCAATTTACGACAGCTGGCCCACGAGCAAATAGGGATGATAGGAAGAATATTTTCAAGCGCAGGATATTTAGAATATCCGCTGGCCGGAGAGTGGGTTGTTGAGGAAGAATCTATATTAACTTTCAAAAGCAAACTGGATGAATATCTAAAGTGGATCCAGCAAAAGGGGTATGGTGAAAGGGCAGGTAAATGGGACTTAAAAGAGGCAGCACAAATGGGCCAATGGCTGTCTTCGGTGCTGTAAATTTCTATGGTTCTTGAGAGAAGCAAAACTACTCTGTGTGCCTATCTCTACACTATTAAATCCCATGAACATAAAACCCAGAGGGCACCTAAAGGTCTCTGTGTCCAGGGCGTTTAATAGTGCAGAGCACAGATACAGTTCAGAATATTGTATATTTCTATACATCCTGCAGCTCAGTGGTTAGAGCACTCGCCTCGCAAGCGAGAGACCTGGGTTCGATTCCCGGCAGGGCGAAATACTGGTTAAGTCTCCTTACTCCACACACTTCTGTTTGCCTAGCAATAAGTAGGAATCCGGTTGTTAGTAGATTGGTGGATCGCTTTTCCGGGGGTAATAATTCCTTCAAAAAAAAATTGGTCACTTCAATCCACGCCTGTTTGTGGGACATTTCGGCCACAAAATAGTCAATTCACTTTGCAGTATATTCTGTGAAGCGCTTTGAGACGTCTTGAATACGTGATAAGGTTCTATAATCCTTGCATTTGATATAGCGCTTTTCACGTCGGGAGGTTGTCCCAAAGCGCTTCACAGAACACACTGCAAAGTGAATTGACTGTATATTTGTGGGCGAATGCGGCAGCCAATTGCACACAGCAATGTCCCACAAACAGTCGTAGATTGAAAATGACCAATTTAATTATTGTTTTTGGAGGGATTATTATTAGGCTCTGTGTGGAGTAAGGAAACTTGCCCAAGGTTTGGCCCTCTGCCTGGAATTGAACTCAGGTCTCTCACTTGCAAAGCGAGTGCTCTAACCACTGAGCTACAGGACTCCTCTATAACAAATGCAAGTATTATTATTATTGTTATACGTGGAACCCAGCACTGTACAGTCCCAAAATAGTCCCTGTAGTAAACACCACACATATAACATAACATGCAGGAGCAGGAGTAGGCCATTCGGCCCTTCGAGGCTGCCCCGCCATTCAATCATGGCTGATCTTCTAATCTAACTCCAGCTAATAACCTGACCTGCCTTATCCCCATATCCCTTAATCCCTTTTGCAATAAGAAATCTATCTATCTCAGTCTTGAATATGTTCAAGGACTGAGCGTCAACAGCCCTCTGGGGTAGTGAGTTCCATACATTCATACATTCAGTTCTTCCTCAACTCAGTGCGAAAGGGCTGCCTCTGATTTTAAGGTTGTGACCCCTGGTTTTAGTTTCTCCAACCGGGGGAAACAATCTCACACTATCTACTCTATCATGCCATTTGATGTTCTTATAGGTTTCTGTAAGATCCCCTCTATTTCTTCTATATTCTAGAGAATATAGGGCCAAATTGGTCATCCTATCCTCGTAACTCAACCCCTTCATCCCTGGTACTAACCCAGTAAATCTACCCTGCACCCCCTCCAAGGCAAGTACATCCTTCCTTAAATGAGGAGACCAAAACTGCACACTGTATTCCGGTGTGGTCCCACCAGGGCCCTATACAATTGCAGCAAAGACTTCCCTATTCTTATACTCTAATCCTTTCATAATGAATGCTAACATACGTTCGCCTTCCTAATTGCTGCTGCACCTGCAGACTAACTTTCTGTGATTGGTGTACAAGGACACCCAAGTCCCTCTGGACACCAACACGTTCCAATCTCTCCCCTTCTAAAAAATAACCCGCTCTACTATTTTTGCTACCCAGGTGGATACATTATACTTCATCTGCCACCTAACCTATCTGTGTATCGCTGCATTTTTTTGATGTCGTCCTCTGTGTTGACACTTCCTCCTAGTTTTGTGTCATCCGCGAATTTAGATATATTAACTTTGATGTCCTCATCTAGATTGTTGATGTAGATGGTAAATAGCTGAGGCCCAAGGACTGATCCTTGTGGCACTCCACTAGTCACATCCCGCCAATCTGAAAAGGACCCGTTTATCCCTACTCTTTGTTTCCTACCTGTTAACCATTCCCCAATCCACGTTAATATGCTCCCCCCAATTCCATGGGCCCTTATCTTTTGGACTAACCTTTTATGTGGCACCTTATCGAATGCCTTCTGGAAGTCCAAATAGACCACATCCACTGATTCACCCTTATCTAGTTTACTGGAAATATCCTCAAAAAACTCTATGAGATTTGTCAAACATGACTTCCCTTTTGTAAAGCCATGTTGACTTGGCCTAATTATATTGTGCTCCCCTAAATACCGCACTACCACATCCTTAATCAATGATTCTAAAATTTTTCCTATCACTGATGTGAGACTAACTGGCCTATAGTTCCCCATCTTTTCCTTTCCACCTTTTTTAAATAGTGGTGTGACATTTGCGATCTTCCAATCCATGGGGACTGTTCCAGAATCCAAGGAATTTTGGAAGATCAGACATAAGGCCTCCACTATCTCATAAGCTCCCTCTTTTAAAACCCTGGGATGCAAGCCATCCGGACCAGGGGATTTGTCACTTTTTAGTGCTAACAGTTTCCCTAGCACCAATTCTCTACTAATGAAAATTTCCCTAAGTTGCTCCCTGTCCTTATCCCTTTGGTGCATCTTTATTGTTGGCAGACTTGTTGTGTCTTCTCGGGTGAAGACAGATGCAAAGTACCCATTTAGGGACTCTGCCATGTCCTTGTCTCCAATTCCAACTTCTCCCGTATCTGACTGCAGTGGACCTCCATTTACCCTCACTAGCCTATTCCTCCTAATATATTTGTAAAAACTTTTACAATTGGACTTAGTGTTCCTAGCGAGCTTACCCTCATACTCCTTTTTCTCGCTCTTAATGAGTTTTTTAGTTTTATTTTGCTGGTTTCTAAAACTCTCCCTATCTTCAGATTTGCCGCTTTTCTCTTGGCAGTTTTATAAGCCTTTTCTTTTAATTTGATGCTTTCTCTAACTGCTCCAGTTAGCCATGGATGAATTGCTTTCCCTGTGGTACTCTTATTCCGCAAGGGAATATGCGACCGCTTTTTAATTTTTAGAAAGGTTCATTTTATGGAAACTCTGGAGCACTCTCCCTCGATACCTTCGCCTTCCCCCTCTCTTCCCTTTTTCAAGTCCTGCTTGAAAATTTTTCTTTTTGACCGTGTTTACGGTCACCTCCCCCAGCCCTGCTCGGAGTCAGGCTCCGACACTATTAAATGCTCTGAGGCGCTACCCTGGGTGGAGGGCGCTATATAAGTGCAAGTTGTTGTTGTTTATGTGTTTGGTGGTTTGTACAGAGAAATCGGAACATGCTCCTTTAAAAGTGAGGCTGTTTATTCTCTCTGTCTGAGACATGTACTTACAGGATTTCCTAATAAATATACTCGATATTCGGTCTCATTTGTTCCAGAGAAACGAAGGCCCTGTAGAAGAAAGCAACATGAGATTATACGCCACTTACCACATTGCAGAGGCCTGGGGAACTAAGCTAAAATATACAACAGAATCAATCTCCACATCAGAATTTGTCTTCTGCCCCCATCCTCTGAAACTCCAACCCAGTTTTTCTGCCTCGCCCCTTCCATTGCCTCCTTCAAGACCTGCCTCAAGACCTTCCTCTTTGACTGTGCCTTCGGTCACCCTCCTACCCCACCCCTTCCCGCCCTCCTCCCCTCCTGATCCCAACCACCAGCTGTGGATCCCTGACTGTCCAGTGTCTGACACACCCACAAGCTCATCACCATGTTCCAGCCAAAGGGAAATTTATGTGTATAGCTGCCACACATATCATGGAATCATAGAATCATGGACTCTTAACAGCACAGAAGGAGGCCCGATCGGCCCATCAGGCCTGTGCCGGTTCTTTTAAAGATCTATCCAATTAGTTCTACTCCCCCACTCTTTCCCCACAGCCCTGCAAATTTTAAATTTTCAAGTTTATATCCAGTTTCCTTTTTGAAAGTTATTATTGAATCTGCTTCCACCACCCTTTCAGGCAGTGCATTCCAGAATGTAACAACTCACTGCAATAAAATATTTGTTATCTACCCTCTAGTTGTTTTGCCAAATTATCTGTGTCCTCTGGTTACTGATCCACCAGCCAGAGGAAACAGTTTCTCCTAATTTAATCTATCAAAACTCCTTATAATTTTGAACACTTCTACTAAATCTCCCCTTAACCTTCTCTGCTCTAAGAACAACAATCCAAGCCTCTCTAGTCTCTCCACATAACTAAAGTCGCTCATCCCTGGTACCAATCTGGTAAATCTCCTCTGCACCCTCTCCAAAGCCTTCATATCCTTCCTAAAGTGTAGTGCCCAGAATTGAACACAATATTCCAGCTGAGGCCTAACCAATGACCTATAAAGGTTTAGCAGAACTTCTTTGCTTTTGTACTCTATTCCTCTATTTATAAAGCCAAGGATCCCATATGCTTTTTTAACAGCTCAATCAACCTGTTCTGCCACCTACAAAGCCATGTGTATGTGAAACTCGAGGTCTCTCTGCTTCACAACCCCCTTTAAAAATGTACCATTTATTGTATATTGCCTCTCCTCATTCTTCCTCACATCACACTTCTCTGCATTGAACATTGAATCTACCATGTGTCTGCCCATTTCACCAGTCTGTCTATGTCCTCCTGCAGTCTGCTACCATCTTCCTCACTGTTTGCCACATTTCCAAGTTTCGTGTCATCTGCAAACTTTAAAATGTTGCTCCTATATCTAAGTCCAAGTGATTTATGTATATCAAAAAGAGCAGTGGACACAATACAAAATTACATTTGTAAGGCGCCTTTCAAGTGGGGAGAACGTCCCAAGTTATTAAATTATCCTGCCACCTTCAAAGATATGTATATGTGAACCCCCAGATCGCCATGTTCCTGAACCCCCTTTAAAACCATCATTTAGTTTATATTGCCTCTCCTCATTCTTCCTCCCAAAAAGTATCACTTCACAATTCTCTGCATAAAATTTTACATATTGACTGAATGTTTTGCCTACAAAATATATACTGAGTTTACTTTACAGTATATTCTGTGAAGCACTTTAATACATTTCAAAGACATGATAAAACGCTGTATCAAATGTAAGAATTATTATTATTATCATATGCAAGAATTATCAAACTTTACACTTTCCAATAAAGTGTCCAGGGAACAACACCACAACAAGTTGACATGCGTATAGCTCCTTTCACTTCGGGAGGACGTCCCAAGGCGCTGGATAGTATATAGCATTTCAGCCCCGAGCTGGGGGTGGGGGGGGAGGGGAGAAGGGAGGGGAGGGGAAGGGTGGTGACCGATGGCATGGTTGAAGAGGAGGGTCTTGAGGTGGGACTTGAAGGAGGTTAAGGAGGGGGCGAGTAGGAGTGATTGGGGGATGGAATTCCAGAGGTTGGGGGCAGAGTGGCTGAAGGCTTTCCCACCAATGGTGGGGCGGGTGGGTCGGGGGACATGGAGCAGGCCAGAGCCGAGTGAGCGGAGGGAGCAGGCAGGTTGGTAGGGGGTTAGGAAGTCACAGAGGTATGGTGGGGCGAGGCCATGGAGGGCTTTGTAGGTGAGTACCAGGATCTAGAACTGGATCCTCTGAAGAATAGGGAGCCAATGGAGTCAGTTGAGAGTGGGGGAGATGGGGTCACGGAGTTTGGTTGGGGAGAGGACACGGGCAGCAGAGTTCTGGGTTATCTGCAGCCTGTGGAGGGAAGAGTTGGGAAGATCGACAAGCAGGACGTTTGCATAGTCAAACAAACAGGAATTGAAAGTGAAATCAGTAAAATAACTCTTGCAATTCTCAGACATTTCTAATAGCGACCAAGAAAGTAAACCTCTAAATAAGCAAACAATTTGAATTCACAAAATTAGACATACTCAAAGAGACGACCTAAAACAAGTTTCTTAAACATGTGTTGATAGATTGGCAACTGTGCCCGAGACCTGATACTTAATCTGATGATTAATTACCTGATAATTAATTGGCCAGTGCCAGGGTTTGGAAGTGACTTCATTGTCCTTTGGTTTTAGCCCACTGTTACTCTGTTAGAAACATTAAAAAATATAAATATAAATATCTCTCGATAATCAGTTTGAGCTAACAAGGCAAAGTGGTTTTGGGAGTGACCGCTGGAGGATGGGGCATGATGGTTTAAGGCTTTGATCACCTTTAAAGACCTGTACATCGAAGTCCCTGTATTTTTCTAATCTATTTAAAATCCACTTCCTTTTCCATTCTTCCTACCAAAATAAATCATTTTCCATATTTCAGCATTATACTGCGGTAGTCATCTATCTGCCTACCTCGATAGTTCATTTATTTGCTTATAAACCATATCCATAGGATTTTTAAAATCTATTTTCTGTTATTTATGCAAAGAATTCTATCTTTTAAGTCAGTACACATTATTCTTAGTTTTTATAAAGCAATTCCTATTTGTAAACACAATCAAACTAATTCAAATATTTGCTATGCAGTACATTGGAGTAGTTATTGTACAGTTATTCCAGGATTAGGTATTGATCCAATCATTACAGCCTTGGTGGCTTTTCAAATAGCACAAGGGACAGATTGACTGACCCGGATCATGACGATATGAGACTCCATCAGTATCTCTGAAAAGGATGGTTTGAGCACCTCCAAGCTGATGTTTGGCACTGGGAAAGGAAGAGCTCTATTAACCACCGGGTGACAAACAACAGACTGACATCTAGCATTTTACAATACAGTGAAATCTGTTAAAGCAATCACTTCTATTAGCAACCATCCGTCTATCGCACGTGGCCAATCTTTTTTTTAGCCCTGTCTGTGTACAGGTACCTTTTTAAATCAATGGCCAGTTCTAAGTGAACTTATTATTACTTACCAGTGACCAATTTCTGCACGCTCAGGATTTCTGTAGAATCCATTTGTGGAAGGATGTAGTGTCGGTCTAGGATAATGCTAGACATTTACATCAGGATTTGATTTCATTTCAATTGCAAATGAAAGAAAGTGGAATCTGAGGAGCCAGTTTGCAGGGTGTAAAATTAACCAGAATATGGTTAATTATAATATGTATATTACCATGTATTTGATGTTGGCATACAATAACAACACTAACTGGTGCAGTTAAATGCATATTATTTATTAAGATTACTTGCAGTTTGATATATGGGTTTGTATGTGCACTGTATTTTGCTATAAACTTATACACTTAGAAATTCTACATACACCAACAAACCCTTACTCAGAGGCCACCCTTACATAAAGGCCATTTTGGTCCAGTCCCAAATGGTTGCTGAAAGCAGGTTTGACTGTAATTCAAAACAAATATTGAGTTTCAGAAATAATATCCTACAGAAAGATCATTTTCGATATTAACTCGTCTATCTTCATGTACGAAAATCACCTCTTCTCTAATCTCCTTCAGTGGATCATGCCAACAGCTGTGCGTGTGATGCACGTGAGATGATGCTCATATATTTAATACGTTGCAGTTCCAGGAGTGCTGTTCTACATTGTATTACTTACACTTTGCATTAATGTGATCCTCAATGTTCCAAAGTGAGTTGGGGGTTTCTCTGAGGTATGGACTGCAGCTGACTTCAACCTGCTCCCAACCCCTGGAAAAGAAACTCAAGAAGATGAGTTAGAAAATGCAAAAATATTCAAGAGCATTCAGGCATTTTATCATTACTTTCACTACAATACGATCAATTCACTTTACAGTATATCCTGTGAAGCCCTATCCAACACATGTGAAAGACTCCTTGTCTGTATCAACTGAGCACTTTGTAATGTTCAAGAGCTTTGAGACATTCTCCTGGTGTGAAAGATATTATATAAAGCTAAATTGTATTGTAGCAAATCATAGCAAACTTTAACCCTTGAAAAGAGATCGAGCCAAGTAACCACTGCCAATCCACATAAGATGGAACTTAAACTTTATGGAAAAATTAAGGAATTTGGGCTTGTTCAATTTTGATAGGAGACTTAGAGCAGATTTAATTAAAGTTTCCACGATTATGAAGTGAGTGAAAGTTGTTGTTGTGTCAGAGAAATTAAACATCAGGAGACTAAGTTAAGATCAGTAATTGAGAAAGGAGGAAAAGGGGGACATTTTGAAGCAAAGGGTAATCGACTTAATAATAAACCTTGCACTTCATATAAGAACCTAGAACTTCAAAGTATTTCCCAACTTTAAAGTGCAGCGACAGCGACTGTGTGTTTGATGGCAAATATGACAGCCAAATTTGCACACAGTAACGTCCTGCAAATAGCCATAAAGTGAAAAAAACAATTGATCTGCAGGGTTGTTGGCTAGGACACAAGGAAACTCCCTCTTTTTCAATTAGCGTCATGGCAGAATGACTCTCAGTTTAACATCTCATTAATAAGGAAGCCATCTCTCACAATGCAGCACTCTCGCGGTGATCCACTGCAGTGTCACTCCTAGTGCTGATCAATTATGGTGAGCTATAAACACTGGAGTCCAATAGCTCAGTGGTTAAGAGCGCTCGCCTTGCCTTCAACTCCTGGCAGAGCAAAACCTTGGGCAAGTTTCACTCACTTCAAACACTTGATAATAATCCCTCAAGAAGAAAAATATATAAATTGGGCCACTTGAATCCACTAGTTTGTGGGACACTGCGGGCGCAATTGGGTGCCGTGCTTTGCCCACAAATATACAATCAATTCACTTTACATTCTGTATATTCTGTGAAGCGCTTTGAGACGTCTAGAAGACGTGAAAAACGCTATATCAAATGCAAGAATTATTATTATAATGGTAAAAACTAATCTCCTGGAAGATAATTACTTGGACATGGTACTCCATTAACCCAATGGCTGAGTGGATCTACTGGGATTCAAACCCAGAACCTTTTGTCTCGAGGTTGATGCTCAAACTGGCTGAGGTCCCAAATGGTTCACTATCTGTTAAGAAAGGGGATAGAGATTTAATAAGAGGCATAGTAGCTAGGATTATGATGCAGGCGCAATCCCCTTAGGGAACAACATTTATGGTCTTTTCTAGATTCAGGATTCTCTTGCATTCTTCCGGTTTTGCCTCAAAACTGTGCTCAGTCCTGGCCCGGAAATTTGACAGATTTCCAACATCTGCAAATACAGAAATCTGCTGACAATCAGCAGCAGCCAATACACAGTTACCACGTGCCCTTGACAAGAGTCAAACTCTTACTGTGCCAATGTGCCAATGTCAAACAAGGACACTTAGAAACTCAGTTTTAAAGAATCACCTCCCCAATTCTCCTGTTAGGGCTGCTGCAGGGTGTGAATGAAGGAAAGACTTGGTTAGCATGAAATAGACTCACCATTTGGGCAATGTTTTCCCAGAAGAATACAGGACACAGCCAGTTGCTAAATGGGTTAATCGAATTTTGCTTCTTAGAACTTTAATCAGATCCCCATTCTGTCCGCCAACCACTTCAATCCTCCAGAAATCATTGGAGTCCCCAGTTCCATTCTGTAAATACAGTGGAAGCCGCTTTAACCGGACGCCGGCTAAATTGGACAAACGCCCGGCCCCGATTCATTTGTATTTCTATCTGTTTTAAAGATGCCAGTTAATTCGTACAACAATCTGGTTAATCCAGACAAAATGCCGCGCTGATCAGCACTGAATGTCCTCACTCGGGCTTCTGTATCTCGTGCAGCTCCAGGATGGAGGAGTCAAATCGCGATTGTTTGACAGCAGACATTCGCAAGCAGCTTTGGGCTGTGATTCCCATTCCCTCCCCCCCGTCCCCCCAGTGATGGGGGGGGGGGGGAGGGGGAGAAGAATGGGGCAGGAACAAGGGAGGGAATGGGAGGAGTCAAATCATGAGTGATTGACTGCTGGAATCACTTGTGATCGGCATGAATGTATGAGCTCTAATCAATCACAAGTGGCTCCAAGGCTGTCCTGGGAGCCACTAATTGGCCCCCTCCCTGTCCAATGGGAATAGCAATGGGAGGGAGGAGGTGCCACCACTTAAGACAAATAAAACTGGCAGCCAGCAGTCCCACTGTGTCCATCTTAACCGGCTTCCGATGTAAATATATGTAGAAACTTTGAATTAAACATAACACATAATTCAAACAGTTACATATTTGCTGCAATGGTTTTTGAAAGTTATACAACAACAACAAGATTCCATTTATAGAGCGCTTTTCACGTCGGGAGGACATCCCAAGGCGCTGTACAGTTGGGTCAGGACCCGAGCAGGGGGGAAATGGTCAGGGTGAGGGGAGGGAGTGAGGAGGGGGTAGAGAGTCGAGAGGGGAGCTGAAGGCTCGGTCGTAGAGAAAGGTCTTGAGACCGGCCTTGAAAGAGGAAAGGGAGGAAGCGGCGAACGCACTGGGGATGGAGTTCCAGAGCCTAAGGGCTGAGAGGCTGGAGGCCACCGATAGTAGGGCGGTTGGGGCGGAGGATGTGGAGCAGACTGGAGCCAGAGGAACGGAGGGTACGGGCAGGTAGGTAAGGGGAGAGTAGGTCGGAGAGGTAGGAGGGAGCGATGCCGTGAATGGCCTTGTAGGTGAGGATGAGGATCTTGAATTCGATCCTCTGGGGGATGGGGAGCCAGTGGAGGCGAGCGAGGGCGAGGGTGGGAGTGATGTGGGCGCGGTGTCTGGTGCGGGACAGTACACGAGCTGCAGAGTTCTGAATGACCTGCAGTGTGGAGGGAGGGCCGGGAAGGCCGGTGAGGAGAGAGTTCCCATAGTCCAGCCTTGAGGTGATAAAGGCGTGGACCAGAGTTTCAGCCGCGTGAGGGGTGAGGTAGTGCCGTAGTTTGGTGATGTTCCGGAGGTGATGGAAGGCGGTGCCAGAAATGGCGCGGATATGAGGGAAGAAGGACAGTTCAGGGTCGAACAGAACCCTGAGGTTCCTGATGGCTTTGAGAGGTGGAGAGTGCAGCCTTGGATGCTGATGCTGTCAGCGCCTGAGGTGCGGAGGCGCTGTGAGCCAATCAGGAGGGCCTCAGTTTTACGCACATTGAGCTGAAGAAAGTTGTCTCTCGTCCAGGACTCAATGTCAGACAGGCATTGGTTTAAATTTTGCCTTTTTTTATCCCCAATGCAATCTAACAGATTAAGTCTCCTAGTGCCCTCCACGTAACATAATTGGCTATTCACCCATAGTTGTAAACTGTTGCTCTGTGTACAAAATTTGCTGCTGCATTTGACTATACTTTACAATAAATTCTATTTAGCTCTTTGTCACTCATTGATGATGTAATAAGGCATTATATCAAATACAAGGATTCGTTTTATTTTGGCCCCAAAACTTCCTGAAGGTTCTTGAACATCTCACGCTTTCTAATCCCATAAAATCCAGCTCTATGTGAAGCCCAATATTCCCAACACATCAGGACAAATTCATCACAGCACTTTCTCCCTACAGTGAACTCCCCGTCATCTTGACAATGCCATCACACTCGAGGAACTCTTTCCTTACCATTCCATACCCTGTGACTTGTTGGTGTTTCTTTGTTAAAGGAGCCTCATGCTGGTGACTGTGGATATTACGAGACGTTCTATAAAACCAGACATGGAAAAGGTTAGGAGCTGAACTATCAGTAAACAACATATGGTAAAGGAATGCATCTCCAGACACTTACTCTTTGTGCTCAAGTCTGATAACATGACCATGATGAACATGTTCCACAGGGCAATCTGGATCTTGAAGGATTAGGGAAAGAAAGAAGAGAAATATTAACATAACATTAACTTTTTATTAATAGAGGGGAAGATTACAAGACCCATTTATAATAATAATAATAATAATAATCCTTGCATTTTAATATAGCGCTTTTCACGGCGGGAGGACGTCCTAAAGCGCTTCACAGAACACACTGTAAAGTGAATTGACTGTATATTTGTGGGCGAACGCGGCAGTCAATTGCGCACAGCAATGTCCCACAAACAGTTATAGATTGAAAATGACCAATTTATTATTGTTTTTGGTTTTGGAGGATTATTATTAGGCTCTGTGTGGAGTAAGGAAACTTGCCCAAGGTTTCGCCCTCTGCCTGGAATTGAACTCGGGTCTCTCGCTTGCAAAGCAAGTGCTCTAACCACTGAGCTACAGGACTCCATTTCTCTGGACCTTGCAGTTCTGTATATTTTCTATAGGGAAAGCAGAGGTCTCTTCCCCCGTAGAGGGAACTCAACAAAAATTAGAAAGCAATTTCTTCACACAGAGGATTGTGAGAATATAGAATGCTCCGTCTCAAGGCTCCACGTTCAGTTATACAACGGATCCTGGTTATAAGATGGTTGAGATTCTTCAATTCCTAATCTGCTTCATAACAGCAAGGTTGTCAGTCAGAACTTCTACATTGTGACGTTACCTTCATGCAACTGGACAAGCTCGAACCTCCTACCCATGAGCTAGCTAGGACCTCCTACCCATGAGCTAGCTAGGACCTCCTACCCATGAGCTAGCTAGGACCTCCTACCCATGAGCTAGCTAGGACCTCCTACCCATGAGCTAGCTAGGACCTCCTACCCATGAGCTAGCTAGGACCTCCTACCCATGAGCTAGCTAGGTCCTCCTACCCAATAGGAGAGGTTTCTGTTCCAATGTCAGAGCACAATCCAGGAAAAAATTGGAAAGTTTGAAAAATTTGGAAAGCCACCAAATCACTGAATGCACTAACCTGGGTTGTGTTCTGGCTTCTTGATTATCCAGAGGTTGTTGTGATCTTTGTGTAAATAGGTCGTAACCTGGAAAATCAGAACATGGTTCACTAGAAAACTGTGATTTCCGAACACCTTCAGCTACCACCACCTTGAGACAGTTACAACTGACCTGTTGCTGTCTGACTCCAACCCCTTCAGGATACAGGTGCCAGTGGGAATGCAAGTATCCACCTGCTGTCCGCGCATTTTTTACTGTGATGATGGATCCATAGGCAATGTCTATCAGAGATGGAAGAGCATTAATTACATTGTGCAAATGAGTATCAACAGCCTGGGACTTAATTGACCAGAAGACTTAGTGTGAATAGTTACTGTGTATCAGTCCGGCCCGGCACAGTGTACTAAGGCTCTCCCCTGCCTTCTTGCTCTCCTGAACTGTCCCACTATCTCCCTCTGCTCAAGCCTGGGAATTCTCTGCTAATCACACTGACGATTGTCCTAAAATACCCCATTCCCCCAGTCCCACGCCCCCCTGGAGCAAACCTTTTTAGCCATTGTCCCCTTACTATCTGTCAGTTTTGCCTCCCAGCACCTCACACAATGTCGGCCTCCAATCTCTCTCAAAAAATTCTCGTAGTCTATTGTTCATCCCCCCAAAAAACTATTGGCACATTTCTTCCCGGCATCTCCTCCCTTCTATTCTTCTCTCAGCCTCTGATCTGGACGAGACTGCAATCTCCATTTCACCCCTACCTGCTCAACCTCTGCCTCTCCTTCCTCTCCTTTCGCAATCTCTCCCTCCACAACAACTCTGCCATCCATATCCACACCTTGAACTGATGATGATCTGTGGTCACTCCAACTTGGACATCATCATCACCAGTAAAGCCATCTCCGATCATACCTTCACCTCCCTGAACTCCTACCCCCTTCTCTACCACCATCGAATTTAAGATCCTGTTTCTCTATGGTCTCGCCCCATTCTGCCTTTGTGACCTCCTCAAACTACAATGACCCAGTCACTTCCTTCACTCAGCGAGACCAGCTACTTCAATGTCCCCCGCCCTATCCACCCCACCATTTTGCCCCACTCTCTGGAAGTCCATCCCCCTCCTCACCTCATTCAAGGTTCATCTTCAGACTTGTCTATGTGACCACAGTTTCAGTCATCTTTCCACTCCCCATCCTCCTCAGGTCCTACTCCCAGCTCAGGTGCCCAACCAATACTGTTATGCGCTTTAGACATCCTCCCAACATAAAAGGTGCTACATAAGTGTCAATTGTATTATTTGTATTTATGATATTTTCTTTGATGTCTGCTCTTTCCTTATAGCATTTGGTATCACAGCTGGACACACTCTATTCCCCGCCCTCCGCTATCCACACTCGCGCACACTCTCTCTTCCCCCACACATATACACATCCCCACTGCAAGCTCATATTCGCAACCCTGACAATCTACCCCTCACACTCCCATCACAGTTCCAGCTTCAGCCCCTATCCTCCCCTCACCCTGACCATTTCCCCCCTCCTTGCTCCCTCCCTTCCCTCCCCTCACCCTGACCATTTCCCCCCTCCTCGCTCCCTCCCTTCCCTCACCCTGACCATTTCCCCAATGCTCGGGTCATGACCCAACTGTGCAGCGCCTTGGGACGGCCTCCTGACGTGAAAGGCGCTTTATAAATGGAATCTTGTTGTTGTTGTTGTTGTATCCTAGTTCTTGGTATTTTGGGAGAGGTTTTGAGATATTCAGAAAATATCGCAAGCTTGTGTTATATACACAACAACAACTTGTATATATACATACGCTCTGGCATTGATGCGTTGTGTAAATTATTGCCAATCAGGCGAGATTGAAAAGCAGAACTGAAGAATCCATCGCCAGGGCCACTGCAAGAAAGAGACAAAAAAACATGAGTTGGAAACACTGGCAAAATAAGAAAAGTAGAGAGCTGCTGGCCTTCACACACTCATTCAACAACTACAGTCCCTGACAAACACTAGTCCTACCATTTGCCTAGTAATGCTCAAAACATAAATTTATACACCACCTTTCATATCAGGACATCACACATTGGACTGGGAGCCTGATCTTGGGGTGGGGGTAGGAGAAAAGATGGGAGGTGGGGGCAACTCAGAGGCAGCGAGACAGCTCCTGAAGTGGATGGATTTACAGCTCCTTTTTGTTTTCTCTTCCCCCCCACCCCCAAATTGCCAGACCTCTCTCTCCCGCCAAGTCAGAATGGAGATGGTAATCTCATGATTTGGGTCTGAAAAAAACCTCTGGAACTCCATCCCGCAGTTCCTCTGACTCACCCCCTCCCTTGCCACTTTCAAGACCCACCTCAAGATCTTACTTTTCAACCGTGCTTTCGATCTCCCTGCTTCCCCCCTGCCCTCCAACCTCCCCCACTCTGACCGCCAGCTTGGGTCCGTAAATCTGTCTGTCCAGTGCCTTGGTACGTCCACCTGATGTTGTTGTTGAAGTTGCACCCAGTTCCCAGCGGTGAGAGGACGTAGGTGAATTCAGTGGGCACATTCCCCTAGTTTTGTTTTTTCATAGATCAGGATACGAGACTTGGATAGAGTTGATAGTCATAAACTCACCTTTTGCTCAAAACTAAAAAATGAATTCCAAATAATGCTGTGTAGAAGGCTAGAGGCAGGAGAATGAGGCATAACATCCTCGCTAGCAAGTGCTTTCCAAACGCACCCTGTAGCACAAGAAATGAAGGTGAACAAGAATCCACGAATTAAAAAAAAATCTAACTTAGCTCCACCAATACTCAATGCCACACACAGAATAAAATACATCCAGCATTGTTTTGCGGCTTCAAAGGGAAACCTGGAGGAGTTAATAATAACTTACATTTATTAGCACCTTGAGGTAGAATAACAGCTTTACAATCACAGGACAGACACTGAGTTGGGGGTGGGGGGGTGGGGTGGGGGGTGAATAGGAGGTGACTGTAGACTATAGACACTCCCCTCGGCCCAGCTGATTCAAAACTCTGCTGCCCTCACACTTACCCATATTAAATTCCATACCCCTATCACACCAGTTCTAGACAGGCTCCACTGGCTCCCTATTGCCAAAAGGATCAATTTCAAGATCCTCACACTGATTTTCAAATCCCTTCACGCCCTGGTACCCCCCCAACCCACAATCCACTGCCTCCGCTCGACTGGCTCCGGCCTCCTGCATGCCCCTCTTGCCACCATTGGTGGCCGAGCTTTCAGCCACTTCGCCCTGAAACTCTGGAACACTCGTCCACTATCCTACACCTTGTCCTTCCTTCCCACTTTTCAGAGCGTGCCTGAAGACCTTCTTCTTCGACTGTGCCTACGGTTCCCTCCTCCACCTCCATGGCTTGGCGTCGTGCTCCACCACTCTCAAGAGGTCTGGGACACTACCCTGCGTGAAAGGCGCTGTGTAAATGCAAGTTGCTTTGTTGTACTCAGCTATGTTACAATGAGAAAAAAGTGCTCACCAACGAAACACGAGTGTTTCCCAGAAGCTGCCAGAGGTCACACATTGTGTTAAGTCCAACCAGAACAATCACAAAGATTCCAACAAACTTCACCCCAAGCGCTCCAGCAAGATTCAGTCCAGTCAGTGTGAGCCAGAGCCACCAGTACACACAGAAAGGCCTGGAGACAACAGGAAAAAACACAGTGGAATAATTGAAGATTTTATTGGGATTAAACTGGATTCGATTTGAATTTTGAACATAGTATTGAATGTTAATTGAGGTGTAGCAGGTGTGTTCTGTCTTTTAGCAAATATAAGAGAGAAATTTGAAGAGTGTCACTATCATTCACTGTGTCACTAATTGGCTGTCGCTTACTCGGGCTGGGGCTCACCGTGCCCGACCGTGCCGGGGCTCACCGTGCCCGACCGTGCCGGGGCTCACCGTGCCCGACAGTGCCGGGGCTCACCGTGTCAGCAACAGAGAAAATTCAGATTGTTTCTTTACCTGTCCCTCATGACGTTGAACTTGAGCATGCACAGTACAGCTCCCAGAATGAAAAACATGAGAATTGGATCCAACAGGATATATTGGGAAATAGTAATACATCCAGTATCTGCCAATAAAGCACAGGTTACAGAGCATCACATGCATTGCAGCTTACATCTAACAAAAGGATATGCTGTAAAGCACAAGTCTCAACCTAGCTCAGGTAGTAGCACTCTCACCTCTGACTCAGAAGTTGTGGGTTCAAGCCCTTCATTGGTACTTTAGACTCACTGACACTCCAATGTAGTGCTGGGAGTGCACTGAATTGCTGGAAGTGCAGTCTATTGGCGGAGATGTTAATCCAAGTCCCTTCTGTCTGTTCAGAAAGATCTGACGGCACTATTAGAAAAAGGAGTTTCTCCCAGTGTCGAGCCAACAATTCCCCAGATACAATTGGTCTTTCACTTCATGGCTGTTTGTAGGGTATTGTATTGTGTGTATGTTTGCACATGAATTGTGACATCCTCCCAACATGAAAGGCGCTTTATAAATCTAATGTGTTGTTGAATGAGGCAGCCAATTTATAGTTACTACACTTTACAGCGAATCCTATGAAGTGCTTTGAAAGATCTTCCAGGCATAAAAGGGGCTATCTCTGATTCAGTGAGTATTTAATTATTTTAATAAAATATTTGAATTATTTCAGTTTGGTATATTTCCATCCTTATTTCTTGGGAGACTGGAATGATTTCCTGGTTATAGTAGGACTGGATTTGTCTGCGCTTGATGCTTGCACCAGGCTTACTATGCAGCAGCTGCTTAATCCAGGTCCTCACGGGGAGACCTAGTACCCACTGAGGGAAGATCTGCACGTGTCAGAGGTCAAATAATCAATTTGTGGTGATCTGCTCAGGGTGGGGGGGGGGGGGGGGCTGTGTTGGAGCCAAGAATATCAGAATAGAGTCAATCCTCTGTGGCGGTCTTGGTGGTCTGTTTCCTGAGCCAGGCGGGCCTGCAGTACTTCAGAGCACTGCTTATAAAAGACAAGCCAGCTGAGCTCATCAGCAGGACTTGGAAGGGTAGACCAGTCACTGGGGTGGGGAGTCTTCCCATTAAGCTCCTGTTAATCCTTCGAGTCAAAGCCCTAATGGGTAGGGTGGCTCTAGCTGGACAAGCAGTGGGAATCTTGCCAGACAGTGCTTTCAATGGTAAGCTATAATAATCCTTACATTTGATATAGCGCCTTATCACTTCGAGACATCTCAAACCGCTTCACAGAATATTTTTTGGGTGAAACATGGGAGTCAATGTCCAAACAGTGACCCACAAACAGTTGTGATTGAGTGACCACATTTTTTTTTAAGCGATTATTATCTACGGAAAAGCGATCCGCCAATCAATTAACTAAATTCCTATTTTCAGCGCCTTGGGACGTCCTCCCGACGTGAAAGGCGCTCTATAAATGAAATCTTGTTGTTGTTGTATTTACTGCTAGGTAAACAGAGGTGTGTGAAGTAAGGAAACTTGCCTAAGGTTTTGCCCTGCCTGGGAATCAAACCCAGGTCCTCTCACTTGCTCTAACTACTGAGCTACAGGACTCCAGAATGTTGTTTTTTTAATTGGGGAACCTATGCTGCAGAATGTGCCATCTGCACATCTCATTATAACAGAGATCTCAAATTTGCTCCATTTCATATCTCTTGATGATCTTATTAAGTAACTTACCAAACACAAGGATAGCCGCAGACAGCAGCGCTGCAGTAACTGAACCAGTCAGCTCCAGCACGATGAGATATGCAAAGGGAATCAGACAAGACCCTAAGGTTGCACAGAGCTGTACAGATATTGGAAACAACATGGAAAGAGAAGTTTGTAGACGGAATTAAACAGATCAACTGAACAGATGTAAAAATAAAAAACGCAAGTAAAACTGTCATTTTTGTTTGTCAGTGGGATGCTTGACACATAAGGAAACCTATCACCATGGTAAGAATATTCTAATTACACATTGAAATTCCCATGTCTGGAATGGAATGCACAACCTCCCTGAAGGGACACTTCCTGTTTACCTATTTCTCCAGGCGCAGGGTGACAAACGCCACTATAGCAAGTGTAAGGATTATTATTATTATCATTACTGTTATTATGAATTGATATAATTGATTCACAGTTAAGTGAATGTAACAACATTTGAAAACATGAGACAAGTAATTTGGGCTGCTTGTTACAATCCATGCACTTGCCCACCTCCTCATCATAGCTTACACTCAAATACTGGCTTACTCAAGGGAATCACTATTATTGCTCTGTTCACGGTGACGTTTGTTTTTTGTTACTTAAAAGTAAATTATGTTATAAGTCAGGAGGGAAGAACGAGTCTAATACATGGACACAACATGCATCATAGAGATGTTCTCAAAGCACTTACCAATCGTAGCAGTGAGCAATGAGCATGAAGTGTTAGAAATTTAGAGGTGACAAAAGCTACATTTGAAGAGATAAATCGTTAGGGAGGTAGTGAAGGGCACTACGCATTTGGCAAATACAATAACTATTCTTCATCAATATCATCCTCAAAATGTAATGGTTTAGTGACCTGTATTATGGTCAGTTTGGAGGATATTTTATATTGTTGATAAAATGTTTTAAAACTCTTCCAAGTCCTGCTGATGAGCTTGGATGGCTTGTCTTTCCTGTCGATCCCACCATACCAACACATCTTACCGCTCTCATTCCATAGTAACGGTGCTGCTCGTACTTATCACCGGGTTTTTTAAAGGGAAAGGTTCCATCATATCCCGTCAGATATCCTGATAATCCGATTAACATCTGGAAACAAATACATTTTAAAAGGCAATTTATAATAAAATTGAAACCTAGTCACATATCCAAGTATAAAAATTTGAATAATAATTTCCGCAAAACTATTCCAAATATACTTCATGTGTGGGGTGGTAGAAAATGAATATAACCACCTGCAGCTTCCCCACATGTACAACATTGTGACCTTTTCAGAGATATTAATGTTAAAATGTGAGTTCGCAACATACGAACAGACAACACCAGAATATTACTTGCATTTGGAAGGCTCTCCTGAAACATTTCCAGTAATAATAATTATTATTATCCTTGCATTTGATATAGAGCCTTGTCACGTTTTGAGACATTGCAAAGCGCTTCACAGCATATATTGTAAAGACTGTAGATTTTGAGGGCAAAACTCAGCAACCAATTGAGCACAGTATTGTCCCACAAACAGCCGTGGATTAATGACTACATTTTGTTTGGAAGGATTATTACCTTCCTTCCCCATTTTCAGATTGCGCCTAATGACCTTCCTATTTAACCGTGCCTATGGTCACTTCCCCCTCCCCCCTGGCTCAGGGTCATGCTCTGCCATTGTTAAGCGCTCAGGGACACTACCCTGCGTATATAAATACAAGTTGTTGTTGCAGTAAAGAAAGTCAGGGGTAAAAGTCTGTCCACCGTATGTTACATTTAATATAGCACCTACATGCAAGATAATATCTTGGGAGCGCTTCACAGTGAAGGGGGTGTCACTGAGCAGGGGACAAGGTAGGGTTTGAGGTGGGAGTTGAAGCCAAGCGTGAGAGTGCACAGCCCTGCATTGCTCAGTGGATGTTCAGTGTGAGATCTCAGGATGCCACGGAGACTTTCTCCAACCCATTTCTCTGGCCAGAAAGCGATATCAATGGCAACCTACATGGTTTTAGCTGGTTAGACTCCAGCAGTTATCCCAAAGCACACTCTGCGGTCCCCAAGCCTTAGTTCTTGCAAATCCACCCCTAATACTTTCCAAAATTAGGTATGTGAGATGTGTAGAGTGTGCATTACATTCCAATAAATGTTGGGGGAATTTCCATGTGGGTAAATCTCTGAAGCACAGTGATGGGTTCCCACATGTGTCAGACACCCGGCCGACCAGAAACAATCAGTGAGAGTGTCCAGCCCTGTGCCACAGAGCCCTCAGCGTGAGAGGGCACAGCCCTGTGCCCAGAGCCCTCAGCGTGAGAGGGCACAGCCCTGTGCCCAGAGCCCTCAGTGTGAGAGGGCACAGCCCTGTGCCACAGAGCCCTCAGCGTGAGAGGGCACAGCCCTGTGCCCAGAGCCCTCAGCGTGAGAGGGCACAGCCCTGTGCCCAGAGCCCTCAGTGTGAGAGGGCACAGCCCTGTGCCCAGAGCCCTCAGTGTGAGAGGGCACAGCCCTGTGCCACAGAGCCCTCAGTGTGAGAGGGCACAGCCTGTGCCACAGATCCCTCAGTGTAAGAGGGCACAGTCTGTGCCATGGAGCCCTCAGTGTGAGAGGGCACAGCCCTGTGCCACAGAGCCCTCAGTGTGAGAGGGCACAGTCCTGTGCCACAGAGCCCTCAGTGTGAGAGGGCACAGCCTGTGCCACAGAGCCCTCAGTGTGAGAGGGCACAGCCTGTGCCACAGAGCCCCCAATGTGAGAGGGCACAGTCCTGTGCCATTGAGCCCTCAGTGTGAGAGGGCACAGCCCTGTGCCATACAGCCCTCAGTGTCAGAGGGCACAGCCCTGTGCCACAGAGCCCTCAGTGTGAGAGGGCACAGCCCTGTGCCACAGAGCCGTCAGTGTGAGAGGGCACAGCCTGTGCCACAGAGCCTTCAGTGTGAGAGGGCACAGTCCTGTGCCACAGAGCCCTCAGTGTGAAAGGGCACAGCCTGTGCCACACATCCCTCAGCGTGAGAGGGCACAGCCCTGTGCCATAGAGCCCTCAGTATGAGAGGGCACATCCCTGTGCCACAGAGCCCTCAGTGTGAGAGGGCACAGTCCTGTGCCACAGAGCTCTCAGTGTGAGAGGGCACAGCCTGTGCCACAGAGCCCTCAGCGTGAGAGGGCACAGCCCTGTGCCATAGAGCCCTCAGTGTGAGAGGGCACAGACTGTGCCACAGAGCCCTCAGTGTGAGAGGGCACAGCCCTGTGCCCAAAGCCCTCAGTGTGAGAGGGCACAGCCTGTGCCACAGATCCCTCAGTGTAAGAGGGCACAGCCTGTGCCATGGAGCCCTCAGTGTGAGAGGGCACAGCCCTGTGCCACAGAGCCCTCAGTGTGAGAGGGCACAGTCCTGTGCCATAGAGCCCTCAGTGTGAGAGGGCACAGCCCTGTGCCATACAGCCCTCAGTGTCAGAGGGCACAGCCTGTGCCACAGAGCCCTCAGTGTGAGAGGGCACAGCCCTGTGCCACAGAGCCCTCAGTGTGAGAGGGCACAGTCCTGTGCCACAGAGCCTTCAGTGTGAGAGGGCACAGTCCTGTGCCACAGAGCCCTCAGTGTGAGAGGGCACAGCCTGTGCCACACATCCCTCAGCGTGAGAGGGCACAGCCCTGTGCCACAGAGCCGTCAGTATGAGAGGGCACATCCCTGTGCCACAGAGCCCTCAGTGTGAGAGGGCACAGTTCTGTGCCACAGATCCCTCAGTGTGAGAGGGCACAGCCTGTGCCACAGAGCCCTCAGTGTGAGAGGGCACAGCCTGTGCCACAGAGCCCTCAGTGTGAGAGGGCATAGCCCTGTGCCATAGAGCCCTCAGTGTGAGAGGGCACAGTCCTGTGCCACAGAGCCCTCAGTGGGAGAGGGCACAGCCTGTGCCACAGAGCCCTCAGTGGGAGAGGGCACAGCCTGTGCCACAGAGCCCTCAGTGTGAGAGGGCACAGCCTGTGCCACAGATCCCTCAGTATGAGAGGGCACAGCCTGTGCCACAGAGCCCTCAGTGTGAGAGGGCACAGCCTCTGACATAGAGCCCTCAGTGTGAGAGGGCACAGCGCTGTGCCACAGAGCCCTCAGTGTGAGAGGGCACAGCCTGTGCCACAGAGCCCTCAGTGTGAGAGGGCACAGCCCTGTGCCACAGAGCTCTCAGTGTGAGAGGGCACAGCGCTGTGCCACAGAGCCCTCAGTGTGAGAGGGCACAGCCTGTGCCACAGAGCCCTCAGTGTGAGAGGGCACAGCCTGTGCCACAGAGCCCTCAGTGTGAGAGGGCACAGCCTGTGCCCAGGCTCTCAGTGTGAGAGGGCACAGCCCTGTGCCATAGAGCCCTCAGTGTGAGAGTGTCCAGCGCTGTGCCACAGAGCTCTCAGTGTGAGAGGGCACAGTCCTGTGCCACAGAGCCCTCAGTGGGAGAGGGCACAGCCCTGAGCCACAGAGCCCTCAGTGGGAGAGGGCACAGCCTGTGCCATGGAGCCCTCAGTGTGAGAGGGCATAGCCTGTGCCACAGATCCCTCAGTGTGAGAGGGCACAGCCTGTTCCATGGAACCCTCAGTGTGAGAGGACACAGCCCTGTGCCACAGAGCCCTCAGTGTGAGAGGGCACAGCCTGTGCCCAGAGCCCTCAGTGTGAGAGGGCACAGCCTGTGCCACAGAGCCCTCAGTGTGAGAGGGCACAGCCTGTGCCACAGAGCCCTCAGCGTGAGAGGGCACAGCCCTGTGCCATAGAGCCCTCAGTGTGAGAGTGTCCAGCGCTGTGCCACAGAGCCCTCAGTGGGAGAGGGCACAGCCGTGTGCAACAGAGCCCTCAGTGTGAGAGGGCACAGCCTGTGCCACAGAGCCCTCAGTGTGAGAGGGCACAGCCTGTGTCACAGAGCCCTCAGTGTGAGAGGGCACAGCCCTGTGCCACAGAGCCCTCAGTGTGAGAGGGCACAGCCTGTGTCACAGAGCCCTCAGTGTAAGAGGGCACAGCCCTGTGCCACAGAGCCCTCAGTGTGAGAGGGCACAGCCCTGTGCCATAGAGCCCTCAGTGTGAGAGGGCACAGCCTGTGCCACAGAGCCCTCAGTGTGAGAGGGCACAGCCCTGTGCCCAGAGCCCTCAATGTGAGAGGGCACAGCCTGTGCCACAGAGCCCTCAGTGTGAGAGGGCACAGCCTGTGCCACAGAGCCCTCAGTGTGAGAGGGCACAGCCCTGTCCATAGAGCCCTCAGTGTGAGAGGGCACAGCCTGTGCCACAGAGCCCTCAGTGTGAGAGGGCACAGCCTGTGTCACAGAGCTCTCAGTGTGAGAGGGCACAGCCCTGTGCCACAGAGCTCTCAGTGTGAGAGGGCACAGCCCTGTCCATAGAGCTCTCAGTGTGAGAGGGCACAGTCCTGTGCCACAGAGCCCTCAGTGGGAGAGGGCACAGTCGTGTGCCACAGAGCCCTCAGTGTGAGAGGGCACAGCCCTGTGCCACAGAGCCCTCAGTGTGAGAGGGCACAGCCTGTGCCACAGATCCCTCAGTGTGAGAGGGCACAGCCCTGTGCCACAGAGCCCTCAGTGTGAGAGGGCACAGCCTGTGCCACAGAGCCCTCAGTGTGAGAGGGCACAGCCTGTGCCACAGAGCCCTCAGTGTGAGAGGGCACAGCCTGTGCCACAGAGCCCTCAGTGTGAGAGGGCACACCCTGTGCCCAGGCTCTCAGTGTGAGAGGGCACAGCTCTGTGCCACAGAGCTCTCAGTGTGAGAGGGCACAGCCCTGTCCACAGAGCCCTCAGTGTGAGAGGGCACAGCCCTGTGCCACAGAGCCCTCAGTGTGAGAGGGCACAGCCTGTGCCACAGAGCCCTCAGTGTGAGAGGGCACAGCCTGTGCCACAGAGCCCTCAGTGTGAGAGGGCACAGCCTGTGCCACAGAGCCCTCAGTGTGAGAGGGCACACCCTGTGCCCAGGCCCTCAGTGTGAGAGGGCACAGCCTGTGCCACAGAGCTCTCAGTGTGAGAGGGCACAGCCCTGTCCATAGAGCCCTCAGTGTGAGAGGGCACAGCCTGTGCCACAGAGCCTTCAGTGTGAGAGCGCACAGTCCTGTGCCACAGAGCCCTCAGTGTGATAGGGCTCAGCCTG